TCCACCCCTACTCACCCTCACCTTACCACTCCCTCATCAATACCCCAACCATACCCTTTCACCCTCAGCCCCACTCCCATAGTCAACCAAGCATTTATCATTCCTCAAACCGGCCTTTTGTCCAGACTTGCATTATCATGGTAAGGAAATAGCAATATTTAGATCTGTCAAACCAGTATGCCGCAAATGTTTTTTCATATTAACATTACCAGAAAAAATTTGAACTTGTTTCCTTGTTCCCGATGATAATATTACCAGTATTGTAAAGTATTGTATCTGATATACACTAAAGCTTACTCCCTGAATTTATATAATATTGATAGTGACAAATAAACCCATTCAAATAGACCCATAGTCTGTCATACAGACCCTGAAGCAAATATATCCAAGAAAGCCCATGCAAGTCTAGAAATTGTGGCAAGTCTAGATTTCCACAGCCTGAAAATGAAGAGTCTCTCAGTTCCTTTTTATTGTATTTATGATTTTAATGTAAAAAACTTTTATTTTATAGAACATGTGTTCATTTCAGGGACTAGCTGTTAATCTAGGAGACCCAATGAGTTGGTAGATTCTTGTGGAAATCTAGACTTGCTTCATTAGGGCTTCAGCATTGCAGGGAAGGCTAGGTAGTATGGTTAATGATGTGGTTCAGGGATTGTGAGACGGACTATATCTGATACAGTTGTATTTCAATAATGAGCTGGAGAACAATTGCTCACCAGTATGGAATGGGCTCTGGGGATAGTTTATTGGTTCTGATAAACTGTCCTCCAATCCTAGATAGTATCCAGTTATCCTTGCACCCTTTGGCCTCCGATTTTGTTCAGCGCCTGGGGCACTAATTACTGGCAATTAGGTTGATATTCTACTTACTGTAGACATGCTATTGGAATGACTGACAGTTTGCCCATAATATGCATATGCTTCAGGATGTCACAATATGTTGCATTTATAGATTGTGCCTGGAGTGTGCCATGTGTTTCCTTATTTTATTATTAGTGTGTCTATGTTTCTTAGTAAATTCCATTTGCATTAGATGTGTTTTGAATAATGCCAGCATCAGCTTATGCACCAAGGAAAACTCCGCTTCTCTCAAATGTTTCACATTTCACAGCATTTTCCTTAAGCCACAGGAATATTGTGTGGTATCAGTATCAAGATTGAGGGAATATAAACAGTGTATGTGAGGTGATAGTACCAGCAAGCTTCTCAGTGACTGGCAAGTCAACAGCCAGGGTGTGCCTCACATAACACAGCTAACTCCTGCTTGGAGTACTTGAGAAGACATCTGCAGTATGTAGGCTGACATTTGATACTGGGAAGACCTGCTGCACCTCACATTATGCAAGGAATGATTTAGATGGATGGATGGATCAATGGGTGTCACAGCAAGTTCTGTGGTCAGTTAGAGGGTTGCTTTGGGTTTGTCACAGCAAGTTCTGTGCTGGGGTAGAGGGTTGGTTCTGGCTGGGTAGAGGGTTGTCTTTGGGTTTGTCGCAGCAAGTTCTGGCTGGGTAAAGGGTTGTCTTTGGGTTTGTCACAGGAAGTTCTGTGCTTGGGTAGAGGGTTGTCTTTGGGTTTGTCACAGCAAGTTCTGAGTTGGGGTAGAGGGTTGTCTTTGGGTTTGTCGCAGCAAGTTCTGTGCTGGGGTAGAGGGTCGTCTTGGGGTTTGTCACAGCAAGTTCCATGATGGGGTAGAGGGTTGTCTTGGGGTTTGTCACAGCAAGTTCTGTGCTGGGGTAGAGGGTTGTCTTGGGGTTTGTCGCAGCAAGTTCTGTGCTGGGGTAGAGGGTTGTCTTGGGGTTTGTCACAGCAAGTTCTGTGCTGGGGTAGAGGGTTGTCTTTGGGTTTGTCACAGCAAGTTCTGTGCTGGGGTAGAGGGTTGTCTTTAGGGTTTGTCACAGCAAGTTCTGTGCTGGGGTAGAGGGTTGTCTTTGGGTTTGTCACAGCAAGTTCCATGATGGGGGTAGAGGGTTGTCTTGGGGTTTGTCACAGCAAGTTCTGTGCTGGGGTAGAGGGTTGGCTTAGGGTTTGTCACAGCAAGTTCTGAGTTGGGGTAGAGGGTTGTCTTTGGGTTTGTCGCACAGCAAGTTCTGTGCTGGGGTAGAGGGTGTCTTAGGGTTTGTCACAGCAAGTTCCATGATGGGGTAGAGGGTTGTCTTGGGGTTTGTCACAGCAAGTTCTGTGCTGGGGTAGAGGGTTGTCTTGGGGTTTGTCGCAGCAAGTTCTGTGCTGGGGTAGAGGGTTGTCTTGGGGTTTGTCACAGCAAGTTCTGTGCTGGGGTAGAGGGTTGTCTTTGGGTTTGTCACAGCAAGTTCTGTGCTGGGGTAGAGGGTTGTCTTTGGGTTTGTCACAGCAAGTTCTGTGCTGGGGTAGAGGGTTGTCTTTGGGTTTGTCACAGCAAGTTCTGTGCTGGGGTAGAGGGTTGGCTTGGGGTTTGTCACAGCAAGTTCTGTGCTGGGGTAGAGGGTTGTCTTTGGGTTTGTCACAGCAAGTTCTGTGCTGGGGTAGAGGGTTGGCTTAGGGGTTTGTCACAGCAAGTTCTGTGCTGGGGGTTGTCTTGGGGTTTGTCAGCAAGTTCCATGAGGGGTAGAGGGCTTAGGGTTTGTCACAGCAAGTTCTGTGCTGGGGTAGAGGGTTGGCTTGGGGTTTGTCACAGCAAGTTCTGTGCTGGGGTAGAGGGTTGGCTTGGGGTTTGTCACAGCAAGTTCTGTGCTGGGGTAGAGGGTTGGCTTGGGGTTTGTCACAGCAAGTTCTGTGCTGGGGTAGAGGGTTGGCTTGGGGTTTGTCACAGCAAGTTCTGTGCTGGGGTAGAGGGTTGGCTTGGGGTTTGTCACAGCAAGTTCTGTGCTAGGGCACTCAAGATACTCAAGATATTGACTAAATTTGGTCACACAGATTCAGTGGTCAGACTGGTCCATTGTTTCCTTGTACCTACAATATCACTACCTGGATTCCATCATATACATGCTACTGTCCTATAACTGGAATATTGCTTAGTTGGGTGTTAAACAACAAACAATCAATCTTTCTGTCTTGCCTTGTTCATATAAAAGCCCTTAATCATCTTCAGCCTCAGTTATGTTAATCATTCACATGCTGGAATAGACCTTATACACTTAAGCTGGCATCCATTAAACATGACTTTTACTTTGTGACTCTGATTAAATCATTGCAGTTCAGTTGCCTGTACATGTACATGTCCTCAAAATATGACCTACAAACTGAAGACTTTCCTTGTGTTATTGTTTATCCTGTCAACACATTTTTCAAGTTTCCATGGTGACAGAATCATGCCATACTATTTTCTGTGTTAAAAGAGGAAGTGTTTGCCATTTATTGATTCAAAAGCTAATGGAAAAAGTTCTGTGTCTTCACATGTATTGAACTAAAAGTCTGGAATGACTCGGAGACAATACTAAACACACCCTTGAAGCTGTCTTCCCTAGACTGTGTTACCCAACAAGGACGGAATACATCTCGTTTTAATTGTGGGCATTTGGCCTGTATGTTAACATTGTTTGGCAAGTGCTCATCTATTTCACTGCTCCATTAGCAATGATTAACATGGTGAGCCCTTATGGAAATGTCAGTGATTTTCTGATGATTGATAATAGAAATGATTGGTTTGATCCACATATCCTGCACTTACGCAGTGATTGATTGTGCCTAAAGTTCAATCATTCATTAAATTTATAAATGGTATTTGAACACCCATCATCAAACCAATGAAACCAGTGGACCATTTCAGTGTTCACGAATGTCCCCTCAGACAAATCCGGCAGATTTGCCAACGGTCCGATAGAAGTCTACAACCTGCCGGCCCCAGTGTCTGACTGTATATTTCACAATGACTTTGACTGAAGTTGTGACATGTGACACTTTTTGCCATTTATAAATCTTATGTTTGTTAATAATTTCAATGCCAATTATGAGAAATGTTAAGTCTGAAATGTGTGTTTATATGTTATGTTTTTATTCTATGGGTCCTGTGAATTTTGAATGGGTCAGACAGACATCTGAAACTTACAGGACTCAATGTCCTGTTACTTTGAAACAGAATTTGTGAACACTGCCATTTTCATGCAACACATTACTGTAGGCTCATGTTCAAGAAAATTATTATATTATAAGTGATTAGAATAAATGACTGATCAGTTGACTTACAGACTGTTACAGTATCAGCAAATATTGCAATGCCAGAATCTAGTGAAATTTTGTTTGGGTTAGTACACTCAGTTAAGAGGGAAAGACTACAGAATACCGGATACCTTCTGCCATGTTTGAAAACTTTAAAACTGAGCAAAAAATGTGTGCAACTCGACTTGAGTTTTTAGTACTTCGCTATCTTAGTGTACTTACTTTTTTTGCCCTTCGATATCCGTTACTATTTTCTTTAGGGCAGTTCAACGAATCTGGTTAGGGTTTAGATTAAGGTTAGGGCTAGGATTGGGTTAGGTAACTTTCCCACGCTCATTCGAAATGAGCCCAGAATTCCATAGCGTTTTTTTCAGAGACACATACATTTTTTATTTGTGATAACTAACCTTTCATTTTCAAAATAGTTGGTTGGTTTTACTAACGTCCCAAACAATCAAATTTTAATGGTTATTTTTTATTTTGATGCTCCCATATTTTTTTCCAATTTTATAACTCGTGCTTCCCTATAATGGAAGCACACTAAACAATATGGCTGGTAGGTATCCAGTATTCTGTTGGTGTACCGTTAATAGCATCCAAATATTTTGAAAGTGATGCCATGAGACGTTTATGGTCTGGAAGATGTCCACACAAACTGGTACTATTAGTGATATGTGATGGAATCTTGACCATTTCCCGACACATCTCTACACATCAACACGTTCCTAAAGTGTTGAGAGCCTGTAGGTTCTGTTTGTTTAAATAATTTCAAATGCAGTGTGGATAGTCTCCTAACTCCCGGAGGTAGTTGCAGACTTTGTATGGTTGTCAGAGACTTTATCTACCACTTCTATTTTCAGACAGTGCAGTTTGTCCAGGGTATTTTCGTGGAGAAGTATGACCCAACAATAGAAGACAGTTACAGAAAGGTGAGCAGACGTCTTCCAGGTACATCTCCGCTGGAGTTGTCCTGCAGCTGTGGAAGTCTCACCAAGGCTATGATATTCCAGAATTTTAGTGGCACGATATATCAATACCTGGTTATGTGTCTTTGAATCATCTGAGTTCAAACTGGATCTAGTTCGTAACAATGAACACGTTTGACTTGTCAATTTGATAATTATTGTCTGACTGTTTGATTAAGAAACTAGCTCCTTTTTGGAGAAGTCCATTCAAAGAAAAAGAAGTTGAAATGTTTCAGTATGCCCAGTCTTGATACTACAACTTTTAACTGCCACTTAAATATGTTTAAATAACAATTAATAACAGTGAGTTATCCAAACTTTGAGCATGAGGAGCCAATGTGAACAGATTTTGTATTCCACTTGGATGGTATGTTTCAGCAAGTGGAGGTGGATGGCCAACAGTGTATGCTGGAGATCCTAGACACAGCTGGCACAGTGAGTAGCAGTGTTAGCCATTGGTTGATTGTGATGCCTCTGTTGGTCTGGCTTGTGACAGACAATATAGAACAAACTTTATGGATAACAACTTCTTTTTATTGTGACAGACAGTTGATAACATGTTCAGACTCAAAAGTTCAAACTCACATCTAGCCATATATGAAGTGTGAAATTCTAGCCCTACAGTAGTCAAAAACATCTAGCTCTATTAGGGGCCTGGGCCTAGATTTTCGAAGCTCTCTTAGCGCTAAGATAGTCGTATGTTAATGTTAAAGTATGGCACTTACGACTATCTTAGCTCTAAGAGAGCTTCGAAAATCTAGGCCCAGGCCCATCTAGTCCTACATTAGTCAGAAACATCTAGCCCTACATGAGTGAGAAATATCTAGCACTGTTAGTGGTCCGGAAAATCTAGCTTGTCAGCCACACCTAACCCTAGTAGTAAGCCACTTCAATCCCAACATTAGTCAGACAAATCAGGCCCTAATAGTAGTCAGACACATATTTTTGTAGTTGCCGGAAATATCAAATCATATAGTCTGATTAGCAGTCATTAACACCTTGGTCTGGATATGAATTTAAAAAAAAATAATTTCCCCGCCACAACGGGGGACTATGTATTCAGCGATGTTCGTTCATACATATGTACGTCACGATTCTTGTTAACGCGATATCTCATGCAGTGTTGTACCCAATGTTTTCAAATTTGGTGACAGCCTACATTGGGGGATTACGCAGACACCAGTCGATTTGGGTGACCTTGATCTTATCTTCAAGGTCACCACGACACTTTGACCACTTTTCAAACTCTTGTTAACGCGATATCTCATGAACTGTTGTACCCAATGTCTTCAAATTTGGTGACAGCCTACATTGGGGGATTACGCAGACACCAGTCGATTTGGGTGACCTTGATCTTATTTTCAAGGTCACCATGACGCTTTGACCACTTTTCAAACTTATTTAAACGCGATATCTAATGAAACATTGCACCCAATGTTTTTAAGTTTGTTGACAGCCTACATTGGGTGATTATGCAGACACCAGTCATTTCAGGCATCTTGTATGTGACCAAAAAATAAAAAGTAGTAAATATAGATATTCCATTCTTTAGCGGCAGGGGACATTGCCCATATCAGTGGCAAACACTTGTTTCTTTTGTATTTCCTTTGTTCATCCTTGGGAAGGGAAGATGGTTGTGACTGTTGTCATCCTCATGTTTCTCTTTTACCAGGAACAATTCACAGCAATGAGAGACCTCTACATGAAGAATGGCCAGGGCTTCCTTCTTGTCTACTCTATAACCGCTCAGTCCACTTTTAATGACCTTGAGGAGTTGCGAGAACAGATTCTACGCGTGAAAGACACTGAGTGTGTAAGTAGCTGATGTCAGTTCTACAGAGACTCCTAGAGAGTGGTGTTGGATTTGGAGGTGGGGTGATTTTGTAGCCCCATTTTGGGGATGTTGGAGTTTAGTATGGGAGATATAATCAAGGTGTTTGGAGGAGTTGGGGGTGTGCAGGCTTGGGCTTTTGTGTTTGAGGAAGGTATATAACAGGATGATGATGATGATGATGATGATGATGTGCAGGTTCCAATGATCCTGGTGGGCAACAAGTGTGATCTGGAGGACGAGCGTGTGGTGGGTAAGGACCAGGGCATCAATCTGGCCAGACACAACAACTGTTCCTACCTCGAGACTTCAGCTAAAGCCAAGATCAATGTCAATGAGGTATGTCATTCTAAGTATCTTGTAAAAAACAGTTAAAAGACTGACACAGTACATGGTTTAATTTTACATGAAAGTAAAGAGGTCGTTAGATTCAAATACTTTGAGTACCATATCTGTATACAGGAAGTCGCAAAGAAAGAAGCTCTGAACCAGTATCCACCTTCACATAGGTATTTATCAGGAATACTTCTGTTTCAGATTTTCTGTGATTTAGTTCGAATGATCAACAAGAAGAACCCAGAACACTCTACCAAGAAGAAGAAGAAATCCGGCTGCACTTTACTCTAAGTTTTGTGGTACGTATGCCATGGTCTGTTTGCCTTGTATATGAGGGAACTGAAATGTGAATGAATGTTTTTTTCATGGAATTTAAGGTATAATACATCTACTAATGACTTTTCATGGTATTTGTTACCTGATATTCATATTCGTTACCCAGTATTTGTGATCTATTTCATATTGGATTCATTTCAGACCAAGTATCGCGTTATGTCTCAGTGGTTGAGCACTATGAAACAGGCCAAAGTATAGACTGATACCAGCAGTCACTGATACATGCTTACGCTATTTGAGTGAAATAATCTTGAACACAACGTAAACACTCAAATCAACTTTAACCCATACTGGGCATTGGGGTAGCCTAGTGGTTAAAGTGTGTGCTTGCCACACAGGAGACCCAGGTCTAGTGGACCCGCCTCCGTGGTGTAGTCATGCTTAACTGCGGCAGGCATTTCACCTCACCTCACCTCACCATTTCAGGTGACCCTGCTGTGAATATTGCAAGAATATTGTTAAAAGCGGCGTAAAACTTACGCGCTCACTCACTCTAATCCCTACTAATTAATGTTGCAGGGTCCATTGTTTGAGATAGGACTACTGTAAGCAACAGAGTGTAAGAGATGAAGGAATGGACAGCCAGGGAAACTAGCAGTGGGAATATCGAAGGACAAAGTGACCACTCCACAACAGGGCATTCAAGAACCAGAGATATTTTCACCACTAGTCTTTGCTACTTTTTTTGGACAACTTTTCCCATTGACCTAGGATCTGATAATTTAAGGGAAACTGAATGCTGTCCGTCACAGGTTTCTGATCAGTTCCGTACTGATCCAGTTGATTGGCAAACTGACGAAGCATCGGTACACAGTGACAGGATGTGTTTTAAGCCAGGTGATAGTGCTTTTTGTTGCTTTCATCTTCTACTTGTTGGTTTATGGAACTCTCTACTATATGCTTGAGCATGTATTGTTAAAGGTTGATGTAATAATGTCTTGATCGGAACATCAAGTATTCCACAAAACTTTCAGTTCGTTCCCACTGCACCAACCTGCCTGTGTATATAACTCTTTTCAAACTATGGGCCATTCATTAATGTCAGTTATTTGTAGAACACAAGATATGTGATAACCTCTTGTTTCTCATAGTGTAGCTTCTACTTTTCATAAGCCCGCTTTTCCTAATTCTGTATTTATTCCTTGTACAGTGTGGATGTTTACACAATATTTTTTACAGAAACACCTCGATTTAATTCTTCAATCTCGGTTCCAAGTCTCTCATCTTGTATTGCCATAGTATCATGAGATCAATTGAAAATGTGGAACGAAGATGATAAAAGTTGATTAGGACTTCAGCAACCTGCTGATGGCATATAATTCAATAAAACATTAACACCTCTAACATTATTTTAATCTTCTATGTTGTAATTGAGTATACTTGTGAGGTGTAGCTGGTGGATACGCAGCTCCTAGCCCCAGTCCCTATACAATGTCGACCCATCCTGCCCTGCCCTTTTTTGTATATATTGAGTGTTTTTTATCAAGCACTGGTAGCTAGTGGATTTAACAAGAGTCTTTTGCATAAAGACTGCTACATTTGTGGAGGTTCTTGCCGTGAGTTTACGTAGAGTACTGCAGTACTTGGTCCAGTTACAAGGATACTGCACAAGCTTGTTCAAGTGAAAGCACCTGCCAAAATATGGCAAGGAGTGGAAGTACCGTGGCACTTTCAAGAGGAAACATTGCAAAACATAGTTCACTTGAAAGAGAAACCCATGATGCAAGTACAAGCACTGTGACGTGGGTCAGGTGCAAGCACTGAAAGGCTGCTTGGGGTTCAAGCACTATGCTGATTCAGTTGCTGTGTATTGAAGTTAGTGTTGATTACATGTAAGTTTGCTAGTACGCTAGAGCCTGTTGGAAATTTGCTATTGGTTAAAGGCCACAGTCAAGCTGCTTCCAAGAAGTGGGAATCTTTTCAATATGGTGTTGGTTGAAGCTTAAATGGTTTACTTGTCTGATGGAAAGTCCATGTGAAACTTCAAAGCCAAGTCAGACTGCAAATTTCTTTCTTACAAACCATTACTGAAATAGGAAGGTAGCTTACAACATAGAAAAGTGTGACACATCACATTTAGAGTTACCTGCCCTTGAACCACCAGAGGACATGACTTTTCAACACATTTCATTGTCTGGTATAAGTGGCACTGAAATATGTGTCTATTTTGGATGTCAACTCACAATATGAAAGACAAACATTTCATTCCTTAGATTTCATTCATCAAAGTGATTGTGAATCTTGGAAGCAGATATGGAACATTTTTCAACTGAGGTAAAGAAAAAAAATGGAGGCTCAAGCCCCCTGGTGGTGGTCTTTAAGGGGAGAGAACTGTTTATGCATCTAATCAGGTTTTAATGTAGCCACATTCTTTATTATTTTTATGCAGTGCTAACATTTTCATAGTAAACTAGTTGGCAGAAGGACCAAGTTTCAAATACAATTTTGATTATTTTCAGCAAGCAATGTTTTCAGTCAAAATACCACTTTTGATTGTATGTTACTGCATGTATTCAGACAATTATGTTACCTTAGCATGATGGGTAAAATCCCTTACAATGTATAATTTTCCTTTTGAGTATAGTAAATGGGTTGCTTAGAGTCAAAGAGCCTGATTTGTGTTGGAGACACTAGAACGGAATGGTGCACCCTGCCCGTCCCCAACAACTCCCGGTCCTATGTTTAGTGTAGAGCATGCCCCTCAGAGCTTTTGCTTTACATTTTATCATTGACTTTATCACTCATTTAGGACCATTATTTTTCTTAATAAAACAAAATTAATTGCTCTTTCAGTTTGACTTTGAGTTGTGTTTGTTGGTGCAGCGTGGTTTGTGTACAGCTGGATGTAAAACATTAGTTTGAATGCAAGCATCATTGCATGGATGTTTTTAAAGTTCAGTTGTTCATTTTATACATGCAGGTAATCAAATGGATATCTGGAATGTCCTTGTGGTTTAGGATCCAGTGATCTGTGTATCACTTTAAACAAATATTTGGCTGTAGGAATTTACAGAAACATGAATTGTAAATTGTGTATTCAACGAGTAAAGAAAGGGATACATGCAGTCAACTTTGGCCCCTCAAATTTCTATTAAGCTCAACTAATTAGTCAAGAAATAACAACAAAATCTACAAAAATTCATATGGAGTTAAGTTTGGGTCAGGAGTTAAAATAGTTTATGCAGACTGCACATGTAGTAAGTATATTTTCTGAAAAGGAGTTGCATTTGGTTGTGACATTAAGTTGAGATGGCAATATAATAATTGATTTAATGCGACATTAACTTCATGATCTAAAGTTGCCTGGTAGGCGGCTGAATGAGGACATACCACAAGCATCCTTTAAAGTGTTAAGGCAGCTACAATTTCATCCCGGAATCATCCCCACTGCCAAATGATGCAAGTTCAGATATCTCAGTATTACATTCATTTGAATCTGTTTCATTGACCTACACTTGCCTGTTGAAAGATGTTTGGCTTTAGACAACTTAGACAAGATGCAAATGCCAATGACAGATGGTGAAAATTAGATATCAATAAGAGCATGAACAAAATTGGGATGGTGAAACATGTTACATGTGTACACACTCGCACAATGCAATAAACTATTGACGTGAAGAAGTAGATGCAATTTTGATGTTACGCCAACTTTCTTGAAACACTAACATGTTGATTGTAGTTTTGATACTATCTCCAGGCTCATTTTATGTAAGGTGTGAGCATGTTGTCTGATGCCACATTCAGCACTATTTCAGCTGTAAGCAGCACCCTGTAACTAAAGATTTGAGTCTGGACCAGAATATGACATCATGATCATCAGTCAACTCCGTCAGTGTATGCAGGTTAGCTATGAGGGGCGGTGGGGTAGCCTAGTGGTTAAAGTGTTCGCTCAAAGACCTGGGTTCAATTCCCCACATGGGTACAATGTGTGAAGTTCATTTGTGGTGTCCCTGCCATGATATTGCTGGAATATTGCTAAAAGCAGTGTAAAACTAAATTCAGTGGTTATAAACAAGGTCACAGTACTTGAGCACCAGGTCCGTTCAAATCACCTTCCAACACCATTATGGAGGACATAGAATCACAAGTGCAATTCATTGTTTCACTGTGACTCTTAGCTGGGTTCGAATGTAAACATGACAAACCTAACATGTGAACATTTGAATTTATTTTTTCTTTTCTCATTTATGGAAGAAAACATTTAAAAAAATAAGTTTATTTCGCTATCCAGCCCAGTTTTGAGGAAACATCTTTCAGCTGACTAATTAAATGATTATCTGTCCTAACATGTGGCTGCAGTAGATTCACACACAGATGGCCCAGTTCTGGCAGACAAATTTGCAGTGCAGAGTTGTGTCCCTTAGGTGTGTAGAACAGTTCAATCCTGATTCAACCTGAATGTTACTTGACATAATACCCAGCTCGTTGAATTCACCAAAGACACACCTCCAACATCAAGCACAGATATTGACATATATGCTGGATATATATGCTGTCTAAATCAATGTTAAACCAAACCCAATCACTCAGCCTGCTCCATCAATAAAACTTGGCTGTTTGTTTCGGTTTGATCCCTGCTGTTTGGAGAGTGTTTACGACAGTAATATTGCAGCTTCATTATGGCGCCATGTATCGGATCAACTCCAGTTGGTTTGTTGTTTTAACACAGCACTTAGCAATATTCCAGCTATATGGCGGCGGTCTGTAAATAAAGTCAGGCCAAGACAATCCAGTGATCAACAGCATGAGCATCGATCTTTGCTATTGGGATACGATGACGTGTCACCCAAGTCAGAGAGTCTGAGCATCTGATCCTGTCCATCACCTTTTACGACAAGCATGGGTTGCTGAAGATCAGTTCTAACCTGGGTAGATCTACTCTAGCCCAGGATAACCAGTTTGGGCATTGTTCACACATCTGGGGCCAAATTAGCCAGGTCAATCCAAGTTGCCACCAGTATACAAGGAACAGTTCCATGTACACAGCCTTGATGTTATCTTTACCAATTACGATTCCAGAACTTCCTCCACCACTGTTTGCCAAGACAAAATACAACACCTGGTCTCTTGGTGATATAACAATATTTATTTAGAGTATGAAAATGGCACATTTAAACACAACAATATTTATACATACTGTACATTCTCAGACCGTTGATTTGACACGATGACAACACTTTATAGCCATGTATATTTGATTATCTAGTCTACTAAAGTAGCTTTGCATGATGTCGCAAACTATGACGTAACCAATTTAATAACCCGATTTTTGAAAGAATTATGCATCTAAGTTTGCAGTAGTTACCAGAAAGTTTTATAGGTTATCCCAGAAACATCCATGTCAAATAAACATTTACACTTGTAGCTAAGCTTTTCACATTTCAGTTTGGTGTATAGAACTAGTGTGACATCAAGTAATATTGCACTGTATAAGGACATGTCTATCAAGGAGATAACACGGTCCTGTTTCGCTAATGGAAAGCAACCAGATAAGGCTGAACCTCCTGACAATGATTTCTGCATAATGTGCCAATCCCTTCCCAATCCTCGCGTGTCTACGTACATTCTAGATGCCAGAAATCAATCGGAATACATTCTCTTCACATTCAACTCTTCGGTAAAGGTTTCAGCTTACAAACACTGCAAAAGTCCCACAAGTTACATGTTTCGAACAGGTCTACTACCTAGCACCCGTCATTCTTTAAGCTCAGAAGAAATATCTATTCAATTATCAGAAATCTGCGACAAAAAATCCTATATAGTTAAATAATCCATACCAGGTGGTCAAGCTTGCCAACCCTAATGAGGTTTGGCTGGGACAAATTTAGACTAAACAATATTTGCCAATTGACTGCTGTGATTCTGTCACAGGAAAGGTATCAGCTTCGGACAAACGGGCAACCTGTGCCCCTCTGTTAGAACGTAACGCTGATGATGCTTACCCGAACTACATTTTCTTAGTTTCCTATTCAAGTGTTGAGAACCTTGATGAATCTTGCACTATTTCTGAGCCCATAATAACCGGCAGGACTACAATCTTTTTGAGAATTGGAACCAAACCTTGGAGTATTGAGCTCAATTGTGACTCTTAAGGTAATTTTGGGATCCATAACATAAGGGGCAAAGACTGCTTAAATTTGCGTTTTACATGATCTTAAATGAATTAGGACAAATAAAATATGACCTTACAATTAATGTATTCTTACGATATAGATACATTCTGAGTATAATTTTTAACACAATAATGAAACACTAATAGTCCCAAAGAAATGAAACTGCCATTACCATTGAGGACAGACATTGTCCTTGACCTTCAAAGTAAACATATTTTTAAGGGTCTGAATATCCTTGACAGCAACAATATCCTGCATGGTTACCATATGATTGTGTAGAACTATACACAGATATCACCAATGCTACTACAGTTACTGATCCGAACCATGAAAAGCACTGACCGCCAGGCTTTCTTAAGATCTCATTCAGGAATTACAGGGCTCGATTTAAACACTGGAGCAGCCTGAAACTAGAAAATGTAACCTCATATATAATATACCAACTTGCACCAAGTGCATGCTAATACTTTCCTGCTCAAAGTACAGAGACTTCAGCTGGAAAACAGAATGATGAGAAACTGGCATGGAGCATTGTTGACATTTTGTGAAGCATGATAAAATGTTATCTGAACCAGTGTAGTAATGTTATCAATACCAAAACTCAAGCATTGTATATAATTTCATATTAACTACAGGTGCAACCTCTTTTTGTCTGGTGCAACAAGGATAATACCTAAGGTTGCACCGAATGCAAGTTGGTTTCATTTCCTTCAATCAAGCCCTGAATTCAAATTACAATCCATAAGCGCTGAAGCAGGCATGAACAAATCCTTCAAGAGATTATTCAACTTATGTCCAGTGATTGGGGAGTAGCATTTAATGACCATTTCCCCAAACAATAACGTAAATATTTCATATAGGTGGAAGTCAAATGATTCCGACAGAACCCAATGACCCCCTGACCACACTAGTTTAGTCTCACTTGCATCAGTCATTTTGTGGATTGTTGAAAAACACTGATTTCAAAACTAATTCAATGGTAGGCTTTTTAGTCTGTGTAAAATTAGCCACTCAACAATGCCCTTTTTGACCTGATGAACTAATACATTTTGAAGTAATAGCAATACATGATCAGACCTCTAAACTCTCCCATACATCCAGAGATTCATGCAGGATTCAACCTGCCTATGCTACATTTGATATTCCAGTTTGCTTGGCTTCATAACACTATTTCGACCTGGTCATAGATTAATACTGTCTATATACACGCGCCAGTAAACACAGATCCTCACAACACAAACAAATCTCAGTAAGATGACAGGGCATCCTTCAATAATAAATATATACTCATAACTGCCTTAAATCATTTTAAAATTGCAAGTTTCGGTGCTTCTATTATTTTTCAAAGAGACTAATTTATAAGACTGAATATTTTCACAAGTATCTGAAAGGTAAACGGCTTTAGAGTTCTAGAGGGAACTAACATTCTGACAGTCATATGCAGTGTTGTTTTACTAGATCTTGATGCCAGTCGTATTTATGATTTGCATTTTACATTACACACTTGACACTTCGGGGTTACACACTGACATGACAGATTGCTGATTAACATGGCTCCTATTAAATTTCATAATTTACATAAATCTTCAAATCCCTGAGCATAAGAACATATCAAGTGACTGATGGGAAGGAGATGCTCCAACACAATCTCAGTCACTGAAGGTACACAAGTATCCTGGTCAAGGTAACATGATAGAGGTCAAGGTGACCAGATAGAGGTCAAGGTGACACAATACAGGTCAAGGTGACAAGACCTATGTCAGAGTGACACAATGCAGGTCACAGTGACAAGCTACCAGTTCAATGTGACAATACAGGTCAAAATGACAAGATACATGTCAAGGTGACAAGATAATTGGTCAATACCTAGAAGAAAACCTAACATTCATAGACTGCAGATGAAAACATTTTAGCACAATATCTGTCAGTTTCTTGGATAAGCACTCATCCTGAAAACTAGATCTTGTTCCAAGAAACACTGATATCATAAGAATGGAACTGACAGTTGACATACACAATGGCAAATGAATCATATTGCCAAGACAAAAACAAACATGATGTGTCTTTCGCTAAACATCCACAACTAATAATCAACAAACCACACAGTGACAAGTAGATGAAATATTTACTGAAAGAACAGTCCCTGACAGATATGGACTTTGTTCAGAATTAAAACCATTACACACTGGTGAAGCTATCTACCTACAATCACGAAGATGAATGTCAAAAAGGACAGTTTTTGTGACCATGACCTTGACTGCACTGAATGAAAGGGCGTCCGAGTGAGTGAGTGAATGAATGTTGTGACATGCTATATTCAGCGATAAAGAAGCTATATCAAGGTAAATCAAAGCTGGGCCTCCATATCTGTAGTCAACACTACAAGCACTCACTTGTTCATGAAAAGCAGCACTTTACTGAGCCAGCAGCCATTTTGACCACCTAATCTCCTATTTGTTAGCCAAGTATGAGACATAACACCATCCTATGACTAACAGGGTCCAGGGTCCAGTTTCACAAAGCGATCATAGTGCTATGACTGTCGTAAGTCTATGTTAAAGTTTGGGAGTTACGATCACCTTAGCTCTATATCCCTTTGTGAAACAGGCCCGGTTCCACAAAGCACTCTTTCTACTACGACTTTCGTAAAAATCATGTTGACTATAGGAGTTACGATCACCTTAGCACTAAGACAGCTTTGTGCAACGGGGCCGAAGACAGTTTACACAGTAATTAGCCAGAAAGGGTTGACAATATGTTAAGATTTGGGAATTTACATCAGTATGTGCAACAATGAAAACATTTCAACAAATGACTAAAATGGTGGCCATATAACCATGGTTAAGAGCTGCCAGGGAGCTAAGAAAATCTCTCCTGTCAGAAAATACATTAAATAGAAATCCACAAATGATATGTCTAAAATGCCACTACATAAATGACACAAATCGATTGTGTAACTGAAACAGTGTGAATAAATACATGGTACATGCAGGTGGAACAAAATGTATCTACACACAGTAACCATGGTAACAACTGCAATGAAGCAGGGTCTTCATAGGAACACAGCCGTATCCAGGACAACACATGTTCCCTGCCTCCATGACGGACAACCATCACTCAGCTGGAGACACCTACATTAAAATTGTCAAGGATATTTCAACCAATCCATAATTCTTGTGCTTGGTGTAATAAGTATCTCTAGGCCATCTTATTTCTGATAAATAATTACAAGAGAAGTACCGCTAACCAACAACGCATCATAATTTGATACAGACATATTTTCATGATGTGGTTGGAAATATTCAGACTGTTTGCGCAAAGTAATTTTGAGGGTAATATTGAAGATATTTAGTATTGAAATTTCAAGTTTTTTCAAATTTTCAGCACATTTTTCACACAGTCTGTCAGGTGAGACTATGAAATAATGGTTAATATGACCATATAATGGCCAGCATCAAACTGGTCTTGGCCCTGCATCTCCCTCTGCCAAACCACTTTGTAACTGACTATGTATGACTATGTGATACCCTTTGTAAACAGTGTGCGAAATCACTTAATGTCAGCCCGTTCATGAGATCACTTGGTCTGTTTAAACCATGGCAACTCTTGTGCTTCTTCGGAGTCTTGTCTTCTGTCTTTATCTGTTACAGGATCTGCTGATGAAGCATATTCAGACCTTTCTTTGTGTACGGAACGTTTTTGTGCAGTTAACCCTGAATGTGTTGATGTCCATATGGGGGTCATTCATTTACACAAGCCCCTTAAACTCCAACCCTGTGATTTGTTGTGTTGAAGAGATGTCTCTGAGGAAATAATGTAATGTTACCATGGTAGCATGATAGGGTGACATTACATGTTGTAACCATAGTAACAGCAGCAGTTACCATCAGGTAACCATGGCAGTTTGTCCACGTCCTTTGCTATGAGATGCTATCACTAACACTTCTGATATTCTTCGCACACAACCGTTACCATCTTTACTGCTGTTGTCCAGATGGCATCGGTTTTATATGACACAAAGCCAGGAGCAATGACCTTCACCTAGGTCCATTGGCCTTCACCTCGGTCCACTGACCTTCACCCAGTGCCAGTAACTCCATATTCCTCCAATGATTCCTGCATGTCATGGATCCATAAACTGCAGCTGGTCTGTGCTCATGGCCAATACATCAACATGAAGAACCTTATTTCTGTTCACCACAATGATGAATACAGGTTTTAGTGAATTGTCTGCATCTTCACATACTGCCTACACAGTTTCTCCGCATCCCATACGACCTCCAGGATGAATGACATCACAGAATTTGGTTAGTGTATTCCAGAAGGTCACAGATCAAACAAACACTTGTCCTCCGCGAGACCGCTATTACAACACACAACATTTGTGGTGAATCCCAATCCTGCTGTCTTCACTGAATCCTGTGCCTGCACAATTACTTGTTGCCATCTGGTTGACTCTGACCCTGACCACCCCCATCCTGAGACATGGACTGTCCGTAAGAGTTCTGGCCATAGTTGGCCATCTGACTAGACTGTGACTGCATGGGGTTGCCCATTCCACTCATGGGGCCGAAGGGCATCATCGTTGGCATGCCGTACGGCATGTACATTGAAGGAGAGTTCATGAATGACTGCATTCCGGGGTAGGGCAGAGGGTTTGGAGCCATGCCGTACATTCCCGGGTGGAACGGCATTGGCATCTGAGGAACATTGGATTGGTTGCTAGAGGTTGTGGGGGGGAGCTTGAGTGGAGTTGAGGCTGTTGTCAGTTGTTGAGGCAGGTGTTGATGCTGTTGGAGTCTGCTGCTGTGACTGTCCCATCCCACCTCCCATCATCCCGTGCCCACCACCCATCATTGGCATGGAGCTCGCCATGGGGTTGGACATTGGGTTCTGCATACCAAATGGCATGCCGTAGCCCATCCCTGGACCCTGTCCCAGCATCGACATGTGGGATGGGTAAGGGTAAGAGCTGATCCCTCCGCCAGGGAAGTAGGGATTGTGCATCATCTGTTGGTTACCTCCCCCTGACGACCCTGACAACTGATGCGACATGCCAGCTCCCATGTTGTAGTAGTTGTTGGAGCCACCAAAGCCTAGATTGTTGTTGCTGTTGTTATTGAGGTTGTAGTTCATGGAGTTGTCAGCCTCCCCATAGCCTCTCTGACTCTGCTGCATACTGGTGTCATCAGTGCCTGAAACAGTCAAAACAAGAATGTCAGCCATCAGATATTACAGATGGGTGGTTGGTTTGTTGTTTTACGCCACACTCAGCAATATTCCAACTGTATGGCAGCGGTCTGTAAATATTTGAGTCTGGACCAGACAATCCAGTGATCAATATCATGTGCATCAATCGACAAGTGTCAACCAAGTCAGTGAGCCTGACCACCCGATCTCGTTAGTCACCTCTTACGACAAGCATGGGTTCCTGAAGACCAATTCTAACCCGGATCTTCATGGGTATGACCACAGATGGATGTTTGGGGAGAACATCAGATTTTCAATAACAGCAGTTATCTCAAGCGATGTAGTTGTGCTTAATAGTATTTGAAAAGTAGTTAAGCTAAACTGATAATCTATTCAATTATTGTTGGACTAGGGCTAATATGAATTGCTACATCACTTACACGAGTATGCTGGATTCTGATTTCTATTCTGCTATTATCAAAGTACAGTGCTAAAATGTAAGGTACCTGTACATTTCATTTGTTGACAACTGAACATTACATTTGCATACCAAAATTCTGAATCTCAAATTAATCTTATTTCAGTTAAATCATACAGATATCTTGCACATTAATCTGCAGTCTTTGAAATTGTCCAGTAGAAAGCTGGGAAACTACTAAATTGAGGAATAACATGTAAAATTCCAATGTAGGTTGTCCTTCTGACTACGGGTATCTGAGAACTATATTCAAAACCGATTCTTAAAACTTTAATTTCATTACAAACTGAACAGAAAATATGATGGTAAATTTCAAAATAGTAAACTTTGTATTCCTGCTCAATCCAGGAAGGTTTTATCAACAAACATTTTTTTCTAGGTTGAATCTGTTCAGACGGAGTTGCTTTGATTCTTCATATTTTATGATTTTCGAAACCATCAAGAGACCTTTGACTTATCATCTGTGTAAATATGGCTTCCTATTTAACATCCAAATTGAATTGGGTTGAAACTTGTCAATATTCATCCAAGTGACCACTGTTACATTTCTTGATGGAGTTAGATGGTTTTTAATGTGGCTGATCTTTCATGAGTAAAGTTCATACAAAAATCAATATTTGATGTAATCAGCAGAAACAAAATGGGTTATTGCATAAGCACAAGACCCAAAACCAGTTGAGATGAAATCAAAATAAAACTGAGCTAACTCAAATATGACAGTGAAAAACATTCAAAATTCTAAAATTCCAAAATCTACGGCTATGTTTGTTACCAATGTAGTCATATAAAGGCAGCAACAAAACATATACAACAACAACAAAATTTTCAAAATTTTAACAAGATCCTGGAATACCTAAGGGAAGCAACTCTACATATCAAACTGTGGCACTTTAGATCATATCTGTGATGAGATCAGTGTCATATCTAACAATATCAAAACTAAAATGATCCAATCAGTCAAGTACAAAGGACTTGTTTCTGAAAAAGTTCCACCTATGGTGGCAAGTGAGTGAGTGAGTGAGTTTAGTTTTACGCCACACTCAGCAATATTACAGCCATATGGCGGTGGTCTGAAATAATCAAGTCTGGACCAGACAATCCAGTGATCAACACCATGAGCATCGATCTAAGCAATTGGGATACGATGACATGTGTCAACCAAGTCAACAAGCCTGACCACCCGATCCAGTTAGTCGCCTCTTACGACAAGCATGGGTTACTGAAGACCAATTCTAACCTGGATCATCACAGGTGATGGTGGCAAGTGATTACTCCTCAACACTACATGAGCAGTCTTGCAAATGAAAAACTGATAAACATGCAAGAATACAGATGGCAGAGGACAGAAAGCATGGTGCAGTGAAAGCATGTCTGTAGTGCAATGAAAGATACTGACCACCTTTAGATACATGGGTCAGTGTCACGACAGCCTCATGACACCAGCCGGGTCACATAACCAAGTATGCCAAATACAGACAAGAGTCCCAACACTTCAATATGGTCAAGTTCTATTGTATTAATCTGTCATGTCTCAAGCGGTAATTTCATCATATTCTCCAGACTTGCATGGCAACATTGGACACTCTCTAGACCCATGACAACCTTGGACACTCTCTAGACTGCCATGACAACCTTGGACACTCTCTAGACTGCCATGACAACCTTGGACACTCTCTAGATTGCCATGACAACCTTGGACACTCTCTAGACTGCCATGACAACCTTGGACACTCTCTAGACTGCCATGACAACCTTGGACAACTGGTAACGTCTAAGATATGTTTAGACTAATTATTCATCAAAATCATGTTTAGACTAACATGTTTTTCTCTTAGACACATATTTAGACTAATTACTAATTAGTATAACCCATACACCCAAGCCAACCCAGGGGTGGAAATAACCCATTGCCCGACGTCCGAGTCCAGTGTTTTTTTCTGTTGGGCAAGCAAATTTGTATATCACGCTGTACCGGTGTCCAGTTGACTTTCCAATGTTAATAATGTTATTTATTTAAAAAATCAACAAGAAAACGGCCAGTATAGTGGAAAAATTATTAGGGCAAGTGAGTTTTTACATGTGCCACTGTACCGGGTACACTAGTACGCTAGCAATTTTCTTGCTAACTATTTTTGCACATGGAGATCAAGCTGAAGTATTAATTTTAGTATTAGGATTAAAATGACATCGAGTATTTAAGATTCCCACACCATTCAAAACCCTGATGACTACAATAAACTCAGAACAACATCACAGACACCTTGTGGCAGGGCAAACAGTGAACATTCTACACTTGGAGTTGAAACTTACTTGGTAGCTGTGAGGAGGACTCTTGTGAGGTGGTGGAGTGGCCTGGGTACACTGGCTTGGGTAGGTAGGGTGACATAGATACCCCGCTCGCTTGCTGGTTTGACCCGAACTGGGCAGTCAGGTGGGCCAGTGGGTTACCAAACATGGACCCTGACGGCACCGACGGCTGGGAGGAGTGAGACTGAGGGGTCGGTGTCGGGTACTGTGACTGGGCCATAGGGTTCTGTCTGGAGGACTGTGATTGGCTCTGTGGCTGGACCTGAGACGTGTACTGAGGATGTGTTGAGGGCTGTGATTGGGCATATTGATTTGAAGATTGATTCTGTGCCTGATTGTGAGTCTGCATGGTGGACTGTGAGTGCATCTGTGACTGTTCTGGACGTGAGGGCTCTGTCATATTGCTCTGGCCGCCGTATTGCGAGTGCATTTGGTGGGATGATGGGCTTGCTAGGTTGGACATGGAGAAGTTGGAAGACTGTGAGTTGTTTGACATCATAGAGGGGCGGGGGAGTGTAGGCTGATGCTGGGGATAGGGTGATGACTGGGGCTGGGGTCCAGGCTGCGAGGGGTGGGGCTGGGTGATCGGGGTGGATGAGGGTTTCAGGGAGTCTAAGTCTAGGAGTGTACTTGGGGGTGAAGAAGTTTGAGTAGAGTGGGGAGGTTGTGGAGCAGGAGCAGCAGCAGCAGCTTGTGTTTGAACAGGTTGAGGAGGAACAGGGTGAGTAGGGGCAGACGGTGTAGAGACTGAAGGATGAACTGGAGGAGCACTAGGTTTGATGGAGGGTGGGTTCTGTGCAGGCTGGCTGAGGGTAGGTGGTGAGGGAGCAGCTGACCCAGTAGTCTTGGTAACGGGCTGGTCAACAGGTAGTACCGAGGATGTGGCAGATGGACTGGGCTTGGAGGGCTGGCCAGAGGCTGGGGAGAGTGCTGTAGTAGAGCTACCAGACTGAGAAGCGATAGATGACATTGATACAACAGCTGATGAGTTGGAAGAAGATGGTGATGACTGCACCACTGTGCCGGCCTTGCTCCACCTACCAGAGTTCTGGACACCTAACACACCAAATTCCGGGAGTCTCAAGTCCTTGTCGCTGCTTCCTGCAGGTGAGGAACTCCCGGACATAGGCTGAGAGTCTGATGTTTGTCCAGGAGAACTCGAGGCTGACATATCTCGACTAGAGTCTCCAATCTCACTCAAGCTGGACCTGTCGGGTCCTGATGAAGGTTCTGACTTGGAACTCCCAGGTTGCTGGGACTTGTTGAGAATCTTGTTGACGGCCTGAGTCTGAGAGTAGATGGACGCCAGCATTGATGTCCCCTGGCCACTAGCCCCTGCAGCATGACCGCGGGGCATGATCACACTGGTTGGGGGCGTTCCGGACTTGAGGGAGATGTTGGGGCGCACTATTTTGATACTTGCAGGAGTGTTTGAATTGAGGTTCTTGGTTTTTGGAATGACAATTGTAGTGCATGTTGACTTTGCCTTTCCTCCTAGAGAACCTGCAGGACAACCATATCAAATTAGATGAGTTCATTAATCACCCAACATATCATCTACATACCCTCAATAGACTACCACTCCGCCATATAGCTGGGATATTGCTGAGTGTGGCAGACAACAAGCAAACAATCACCACCAAGTATCATTTACATCCACACATATACCATATTTATATTGCTGAGTGCAGCATTAAACAACAAATAAGTGAGTGAGTGAGTGAGGGAGTTCAGTTTTACGCCGCTTTTAACCATATTCCAGCTATATCACAGCAGGGGACAACAGAAATGGGCTTCACACATAAATAACAAATAAACAACAGATGACCACATATTAGTTACATACACTCATTAGATTACCAATGTTGATGTTCAACAAAGAATTATCAACCATAGCAGTGACTTGTGCTCTTACACTGCTGGGATCAGTAATGTCAGCTCCATTTGGGAGTATAATATCATACTCTATTTAATCTATCAGAAACAATATCACACTATTACATACAACCACCTTCTCTGATGCCTATCATAAACAAATCACAGTCACACTATAAATACACTGGACACACAAACAAACTGTAGGTGCCACCTCTCATCCTTAACATAGGTCATCTTCCTCAATTTCTCACCTGTTATTATCATCATAACAAACCAAATGGATTATTTTACCAATTGTCTCACCTGTCATTTACACTAAATGCAATAATGGTCGTTTACTCAATGTCTCACCTGTGGATTTGGAAGTGGTAAGGGTAATGACACCTGTTGTCGTGGTAGTTGCGACGCCAGTTACGCTACTGCCTCCTGTTAAATTGCCTGGAGTCTTGGAGCGCACTGCGAACAGCTTGCCATCACTGGTTCTAATGTATACACCCTTCAACGTCTTTATAACAAGCACTTGCTGACCTGCTGGGATCCTCCTAGGCATACCAGCTTGTGTGTTTGTGTTGTTGCCAGGCAACACAATATCTGCAGCAGCAATAAAACATGATGTTACTACAGCCATGTTATAACGAAGATGCCTTACTAGGCACATGCCAGTGTGGACTGATTCATTTATAAAAGGGGGATGGCGAATTTTCAACACTTGTCCCAATCCCTATCATTCAAATACCAGTCAAGCTAATATAATGAGGTACAGCTGATTCTGAAAACCTTTTCAGCCTTAGTCCTTGGTCTATGGAAATAGTTCAGTGGAATTAAAGCGAGTGATTGAAGTTTTTGAGTGATAAACAGTAAGAGCAGGATTAGTTTAGATAATGATCTACAGAGTTGCCATCTACCTAATTGTAAAGGGCTAAGTTTGAGTTTACATGGTTACTATGGTAATTTCAAACTCTGGGCCTGTGCTAAACCAGGTGATTTAGATTCAATAATGTTTAAAGTTTGAAAGCTTTTACATGACCTTCAGTGAATCCATGATTTGATTAGATTCGATCCAGAATATACCAAGTTGAGAGTTTGTACCTGTCGTGGTGATGACCTGGTGAACAGTGACCCCTGGCCGCACGATGGTGCCAATCGGCGCTTTGCCATCTGCCTTCAACCTCATCGGTACTGGAGTTGAGATCATCGGCTTCACACTGGCAACTGGGCGGGACGGCCCCACACGTCGTATATATACGCTCCCCTGCAATATTAGAGACCACAATGATGGACAGGAAAGAAAATAAGTAGGTGAGTGAGTGAGTGAGAGTGAGGGAGGGAGGGAGAGAGGAGGGAGGGAGGGAGGGAGGGAGAGAGAGAGGAAGGAGGGAGGGAGAGAGAGGGAGAGGGAGGGAGGGAGGGAGAGGAAGAGAGAGAGGAGAGAGAGGAGGGAGCAAACAATGACTAGAAACCTGGGCCTAGATTTTCGAAGCTCTCTTAGTGCTAAGATAGTCGTAAGTGCCATACATTAACATAGACTTACTACTATCTTAGTGCTAAGAAAGCTTCGAAAATCTAGGCCCTGGGTTTTTGGCAAACGCTTTTACCACTAACCTACCCTATCGTCCCCAGAGCCTGTAATGAGATTAATACCTGGGTTAAAACTTAACCCAAAATATTTACTAGCCAACAGTATACAAATGCAATGATACCTCCAGAAGAACCTGATATTTTACTAGACCCCTGGATATTTGTGACATTAGACAATAGGGCAAACATTCCAGGGACACTTCCATCATTGAGCGTATAGAACAGAAATCAGTACCTGGGTTAGAAACGAACATATTTTAGTACAGTGCTCCAGATAAGGAGTGTATTGGTGTATGTCCGGCTAAAAAACATGCAGATATGATTAAATTTGAAATTAATAGCGTATAATGTAGAGGAGTATAAAGGCCTGTATGACGCTATTTCAAATTTGGAAAGCACTTCTCAAACATTGCCGTTGCTTCAATATAAACATCTGCTAAAATTGCTTGTGTCTCAGAATTAATTCCCCATTTGCAATGCATTATGGATCTCCTACAGTAAAAGTGAATCTTTTTTGTTAACGCATCTCTCTACATGAATATACTTCCGCATATGGACAGTGAACATGTACAGCTCTAAAATCTTGCCAAAGTCACATGGGGAGCAGCGGTTCAAGACAAATGTAGTTGTAGGACAAATGTGGTTGTAGGACATCGTAAACTTTTCTTCATGTTGTGTAAGGCAAAGGAGACTATCAGTGCTATCGTTGCCTTACAAGGTCAGAGCAAAGAAACTGGAATTAAAATCATGTAGACTTTGTTCAAATAATGACCCACAAACATCACGAGTTGGGATATTTCTTGTTCTTCACTTAATAAACATGATATAAATTAATAAAAGCTGGTTCATTAAACAGATGTCAACAGTCACAAATATTGTGCAGACAATAGTTAACTGAAGAGGTGATATGTGCTTTTTGATAATCAGAAATAATGAAACCCCATTCTGAGAATAAAAGAACAAATAAGATATAAAGTGGATTTTTTTATTAAAACACGGAAAAGTGGTAGTTCGATTTCTACAAGCTGTAGTGAATGAACAGCAGACAGATCTTTTGAAATTACTGCAATATAATGTGTCTTTGTTTGACAGTACAGAGATTTCAGTGACTCACTGTCACAGGAAGACAAATCCTACTGCAGTATAGTAATGTCACTTCGGTAAAGCAGTCATGGATATAAATACCCATGTAATTTTGAGACATAGCGATGCTGATCTCCAGCAGACAAATTCTACCCCGGTACTCCTCTTCAGCTAACTTCAGGCATACATACTCCTGAGGTCAAAATGTGTGGGTGTTTTTTTATATAGCTTTTAGTAATATTCCAGCAAAATCACAATGAAGGACACCAGAAATAGGCTTCACACATTATACCCCCAAATCTGAACAGGTCTTCAGCATGACAAGCGGTAAAAATAATTATCTGGAGCAGTGTTGGTAAAATCGCCAATATGATTTGTATATGGAGAAAACTGTTTTCTCGTGATTTCTACCATCCTGCCTGTATGATCAGTGTTCATAAATAGCGTCTGACCCTCTGACAAATCCGGCAGATTCGTCAACGGTCCGATAGAAGTCTACAACCCGCCAGCCCCAGTGTCTGACTGTATATTTCACAATGACTTTGAATGAAGTTGTTATATGTGACATGTGACACTTGTTTGCTGTTTATAAATCTTATGTGTGTTAATAATTTCAATGTCAATTATAAGAAATGTTAAATCTGAAATGTGTGTTTAATTTTATTCTATGGGTGCTTTGATTTTTCAGAGGGTCAGACAGACATCTGAAACTTACAGGACCCAATGTCCTGTTACTTTGAAACACCATTCGTGAACACTGTATGATACTCTGGAATGCCTTCCCTGACACAGAACATGATGCTTACATCGATGACATGGGTGTGTTTGAGGGACCATGAGGGTAGAATGCTGCATATGATGGTCGTGTGTAGGAGATGTTCATCTTCTTGTCTCGAGCGTATGCCTCCTTCGCCATCTGCTTCTCCCTCTTCGTCAACCGCAACTCCTTCTTGTCAATCAGCAGTGACTCATGAGAGAATGGTTCCTGAAACAAATACATCTCATTACACCTCCAGAACCGAAACAAAGTGTCGACGAACGACAGTGTCTGTTCATCGTCACAACCTAGCATGGGTACAGGTGTACACATTAGTTTTGTTGGACCGTCCGTCTTGCTTCGTAACTCACTCTCATGAATCAATACATGCAAGCATTTTGGCCACCGGACCAAAAAGGAATAGTGAGTGAGCAATATAGCAATATTCCAGCAATATCACAGCAGGGGACACCAGAAATGGGCTTCACTTATTGTACCCATGTGGGGAATTGAACCCGGCTGGGTCTTCGACATGATGAGCGAACGTTTTAACCACAAGGCCATCACCCAAAAAGGAATAGCATGACATTTTGTTCCTATATATAACATCTAGTTACTATCATCATCACCAATACTATGGCTGACTCGTAAGAGGCGACTATGGGATCAGGTGTCAGGCTCGCTGACTTGGTTGACACATGACATCATATCCCAATTGAGTAGATCGATGCTTATGTTGTTGATCACTTGATTGTCTAGTCCAGACTTAATTATTTACAGACCTCCACCATATAGGTGGAATATTGCTGAGTGTGGCATAAAACTAAACTCACTCACTCACTCACTGCTGGCTTACATGACTACATACAACCACATTCAAGTCAAGTTAAATGTGAGATAATTATATTCCATTCGCTAATATTATGTAATGTGTTGATCATCAGCCATGTATATCGGTATAATGCTCTTTCCTAGAATGCTGGCATCAGGACCTTGTATGCAATGACAGCAGCATATCCAGGGCTCAGTGTATTGTATCATAGAGATTATTTTAACGTTCTGTGTGAGTGAGTGAATCAGGTATTTATATCAGTTTCAAAACAATATTTTCAGTTGATATGGGAGGAGTGCAGGTCATAGTCTACTTCAACATGACATGATGTATATTTTAGGAGGAGGAAAGAAACCAACACTCACCTTGGACACCCAGTGGCCATGATTAGCCAACACTTTTCCTATCACAGTGTCCTTGTATGTCTCCTTAGCCTTGCTGAAGTCTACATTGGGTAACTCCTTGTCCTGTGTAGAAGATACAAAATGAATTACACGATATTCAAACATTGCAGTCATACACTGACATCATATATTCTATTCAATAAGTACCTTGGACCCATCCTCTACTATAGCTTTGGTCCTATGAAACTACCTGTCAGTCAAACTCCTCTCACCTGTCTGTGAGGGGAAACAGGGTGAGGAAATGGAGAAGGTGATGCTGGTTCTGAGCCAAGATAGGGATGCAATGAGTCCAGCCTAATCATCATCAGACTAAAGCATTTTTTAAAATGGTTCTGAATGGCATATTATTTCTTAGGTCCCCACAAGAGGGAGGAATAAACAAATTATACTTGAGACATAACCCCTCAGGTCTCTCCACAGGTATGAAGAAACACTGGACACTTGGCTCCCAACGCCCCACCCCAGCCCTCGACCCCCACAGGTAGGAAGAAACACTGGATACTGGGCTCCCCAGGCCCCACCCCAGCCCTCCACCCCTACAGAAAGGAAGAAACACTGGATACTGGGCTCCCAGCCCCACCCCCCAGCCCTCACCCCTACAGAAAGGAAGAAACACTGGATACTGGGCTCCTAACAGCCCACCCCAGCCCCCTCACCCCTACAGAAAGGAAGAAACACTGGATACTGGGACATATCCCCTTCAGGCTCCCAACGCTCCACCCCAGCCCTTGACCCCCACAGGTAGGGGAGAACCACTGGATACTGGGACATATCCCCTCTCAGGCTCCCAAGCGCCCACCCCAGCCCTTGACCCCCACAGGTAGGGAGAAACCACTGGATACTGGGACATATCCCCTTCAGGCTCCCAGCCCCACACCAGCCCTTGACCCCCACAGGAAGGAAGAGAGACTGGACACTGGGCTCCCAATACCCCACCCCAGCCCTCGACCCCCACAGGTAGGAAGAAACATTGGATACTGGGACATATCCCTTCAGGCTCCCAACTCCCCACACCAGCCTTGGACAGGTAGGAAGAACCACTGGATACTGGGACATATCCCCTTCAGGCTCCCAACGCTCCACCCCAGCCCCTCACCCCTACAGGAAGGAAGAAACACTGGATACTGGGACATATCCCCTTCAGGCTCCCCAACGCCCCACCCCAGCCCCTCAACCCAACAGGAAGGAAGAAACACTGGATACTGGGACATATCCCTTCAGGCTCCCAGCGCCCCCACCCCAGCCTCTCACCCCCACAGGAAGGAAGAAACACTGGATAATGGGCATATCCCTTCAGGCTCCCAAGCCCCACCCCAGCCCCTCACCCCCACAGGAAGGAAGAAAAACTGGATACTGGGACATATCCCCTTTAGGCTCCAGGCCTCCCCAGCCCCTCACCCCACAGGAAGGAAGAAAAACTGGATACTGGGACATATCCCCTTCAGGCTCCCAGCAAACACTCCCACCCCAGCCCCTCACCCCCACAGGAAGAAAGAAACACTAGACACTGGGCTCCCAATGCCCCACCCCAGCCCTCAACCCCCACAGGAAGGAAGAAACACTGACACTGGGCTCCCAACGCCCCACCCCAGCCCTCACCCCCACAGGAAGGAAGAAACATTGGATACTGGGACATATCCCCTTCAGGCTCCCAACGCACCACCCCAGCCCTGACCCCCCACAGGTAGGAAGAAACATTGGATACTGGGACATCCCTTCAGGCTCCCAACGCCCCACCCCAGCCCTCACCCCCACAGGTAGGAAGAAACATTGGATACTGGGACATCCCTTCAGGCTCCCAACGCCCACCCCAGCCCTCACCCCCACAGGTAGGAAGAAACATTGGATACTGGGACATCCCTTCAGGCTCCCAGCGCCCACCCCAGCCCCTCACCCCCACAGGAAGGAAGAAACATTGGATACTGGGACATATCCCCTTCAGGCTCCCAACGCCCACCCCAGCCCTCACCCCCCACAGGTAGGAAGAAACACTGGATACTGGGACATCCCTTCAGGCTCCCAATGCCCCACCCCAGCCCTCGACCCCACAGGTAGGAAGAAACACTGGATACTGGGACATCCCTTCAGGCTCCCAGGCCCCACCCCTCCCTGGACAGGTAGGAAGAAACATTGGATACTGGGACATCCCCTTCAGGCTCCCAGCGCCCCACCCCAGCCCTCCCTGACCCCCACAGGTAGGAAGAAACATTGGATACTGGGACATCCCTTCAGGCTCCCAGGCCCAACCCTAGCCCTCCCCCCACAGGTAGGAAGAAACATTGGATACTGGGACATATCCCCTTCAGGCTCCAAGCACCCCACCCCAGCCCCTGGACCCCCACAGGAAGGAAGAAAAACTGGATACTGGGACATATCCCCTTTAGGCTCCCAACGCCCCACCCCAGCCCCTCACCCCCCACAGGAAGGAAGAAACACTAGATACTGGGCTCCCCATCCCCACCCCAGCCCCTCAACCCCCACAGGAAGGAAGAAACACTAGATACTGGGACATATCCCCTTGAGGCTCCTTACTTCCCCAGCCCCTCACCCCTACAGGAAGGAAGAAACACTGGATACTGGGACATATCCCCTTCAGGCCCCCAATGCCCCACCCCAGCCCCTTGACCCCCCAGGAAGGAAGAAACACTGGATACTAGGGCATATCCCCTCAGGCTCCCAGTGCCTGACCCCAGCCCTCGACCCCCCTGGAAGGAAGAAACACTGGATACTTGGACACATCCCCTTGAGGCCTCCCCCTCCCTGGAAGGAAGAAACACTGGATACTGGGGCATATCCCCTTCAGGTCCCCTAACTTGACTACCCTACCTACCCTGGCCCATAACAGAGGAGGATGGCACAGTGTACTGACCTGATAGTGCAGGAGGTTCCCAACCTGGCTGTGTGTGAAGTGGTTCTCTGGGTTCATCTCATCCACAACACGATCTGCACACATTAACACCACATTTGAGTCAAGTCTCATCAGATTGATTACTCACATATATATTACATTCAAATTCCATTTTTTGTCAATTCTTAAGAGTACTGTTGTCAAAATTCATTCAGGAATGTTCAAAAGCATATACAAGAATGGTTTACAATTGACAACACTTCAAATATTCCCTGGAAACAAAACATCCACTTTTCACACTTGTTACAACTTGCTTCATGCCCCGAGAAGCACCTATAAACCCTGGATCAGCTTTCAGCATTGAAAGTGACGGTTGAATGGAACTAAATAAACCATATATTCATTAATCTGAAACATAGCATTTGAATTTCATTTCTGGTCATAACAAGTATATGTGAAACTGTTAATCTTTTGAACATGTGTACAAGCTACGTATATCTTTGACTCACCTGAAATGCCCTGTTTTGTGACCTGTCTGTCGTAGATCTTCTTTTCTAGACTGTTGTCTGTTACCAGCCGGTAGATATACGAGTTCTTGTCCTGACCAAACCGATAGACTCGACACACCGCCTGACAATCATGGCATGGGTTCCAAGACGCATCTAACACCACAACTCGGTTGGCACCAATTAAATTAATCCCCAAGCAACCAGCCCTGCAGATACAAAGGCGCAATGTTACATGTAACAACTACAGTCAGGACAAAGATTACTAGTGGATTCAAAATGTGGGGAGTTATAGTACAGTGAGATGAAAATAATACAGTTTGATCATCTAACCAGGAATCTAGACATCACACTTAAACTTGATTTCCATCTAATATTCCCTGTATGGAACTGTATAGCGACATAGCGGCATGATAGCGCCACAGAAAGTCATACAATGTCAGATCCTTTTTAATGGAGGACTTTCTGATTTTGACACCTTTCACATTTTTAACTTCACATAAGACATCCCTATATCTTCTTAAAAGAATTTAGAAATTGGTATGATGAACAAGGGAGATAACTCTGTTGCACTATCACTTCTTAATTACAATGAATGTAATGTTTAAGGTTTCGGCTTGACAATGGTGTGAGTTATCTCCTTTGATCCACAAAACTTCATAGTTGTTGCTAGATCTGAGTCCTACCTTGTAGAGAGGAGGAACACCCAGCATCGTTTGTTCTCGGGGTCGTTGAACTGGTTGATCAGCTTCTCTCTCTCCGTACCCGGCGTACTCCCGTCCAAACCTTGGATCACAATGTAAACCATTCAACAGTTTGTACATCAATAACCAGCCAAATCATCTCAACCTGCGATTTAAGTATCTTGAGTCGGAGCTACAGTACAAAATGATGGAAAACCATTGAAGGAAGTAGAACATGTTCAGGTGAGCTACAGTACAAAATGATGGAAAACAAATGATGGAAGCAGAACATGTGCAAGTGAGCTACAGTACAAATTGATGGAAAATCATTGAAGGAAGTAGAACAAGTTAAGGTGAGCTACAGTACAAAATGATGGAAAACAAATGATGGAAGCAGAACATGTTCAGGTGAGCTACAGTACAAAATGATGGAAAACAAATGATGGAAGCAGAACATGTGCAGGTGAGCTACAGTACAAAATGATAGAAAACTATTGAAGGAAGAAGAACATGTTCAGGTGAGCTACAGTACAAAAAGATGGACAAGCTACTGACGGAAGTAGGACTTGTTCCGGGCCCACTTTTCCTGCATGTCAGGGTGTGGCACATCCACCTGGGACAACAGGTCCTCGATCAGGTTCAGCGTGAACAGACTCTGACTGTAACAATAACCACACAACACAATCAATACAATGCCTTAAATTATGACTGCCCTGTTTACAGAAAATAATCGATTTGTCATTACAGAGAATTCCCCTTTTATCATAGCACCCTATCATCAGTAACACTGAATCATAGAGGTGCCAAGATCTAAATTTGTAGGACATCAAATCTCTTAAAATTAAGTCAACATACATTGGTAATCTCAAGCAAGAAAATTTATTCCCATTGTGCAATATTGTACAGGGAATGCACCAGTGGAATGTCAGTGCATGTTTGACCCTTTCAAATATGAAAATGTTATCCACTTTATCTGTTTACTCAAAACTTGTACACTAACCTACAGAAATTTTCATATTTCACTACAGATGAACATTTTTCCAGATGAAGATGAAACATTTTTTTTTATCATACAATGGATAGTGTTCTCGGCAGGATAAAGCTAGCGGATATTTTCGGTATCCGTTGGGGTCATATACGAATATCGATGCAAATTGGAGAGGTCATATGTAAATTCTGGGGACTACTTTCACAGTGTAAACAAACATGGCGTCAAGGGTCGGTGGTAGTGACCTGATTGACGGCCGTGGTTACGGTACTGTCAGAGCTTTGATCCCAGAAAATTCATGCCTGGTTATGATAGATGGAGTCGATTACAAAGCGAAGATAGAAATTCATAGGCTTACGAAGAAACCAATATCAGCTCCTTGACCAACTGTCAGTGTTAGCGAGAGAACGGCACAGGAATCCAGGTGCACAATCTCACGCGAACATAAAAGTATATTTGTTGTTCAAAAGGTTAATTGAAGGTTTCTGAAGTTCCATGCGAGATTTGTTGACAACAATACGTGCTTTAACATAAAAACGGATTGGGAACTAGATGACCTAATGCAGTCAGATGAGTGATGAGGAGAAAGTTATGTCACCGGGCTTGTGACGTAACGTATTACTACACTCATATTTGTGACATCATAGACATTCCACGAAGTTTAGTTTCATGATTTGTGGCATTTGAAATCGCATTTTTAAAATTATAAAGCAAGAATGACATTGTATGATAAATAGGTTATCACACTCGTTTGTTTTGGAATGGTTAATATCCTGCATTAGGAATAAACACTATGTATTTAGCTCGCCAAGGCTTGCTAAATACAATGATTATTCCTAATGCAGGATAATAGCCATCCCAAAACACACTCGCGTGATAACCTATATATATGTTATAGACTACTGATCATAATTTCATACACCAGTGTTAAAATGGTGAGTGATTTCACTATGCACCTCACTTTCTTCAACTGGAAACATAGAAGACATCTAATAATAGATAACTATAATAGAAAAACTTCAAGTACTCTAAATAGAGATATTCTTAATAATTTCATTATTCATCCATTTGAAACAAACAGTGATTGTGAGATGTACCTGAAGATCAGTATCTTTTCCCCCATTGCAAGTGTCTGCTCAATCATGGAGAACAGGATGGCCATCTTGCCTCCATTCTCGATCAATCCTGGCCTGTAATCCTTCATCAAGTCATGGGCCTACAAAACATAACATGGACTCAACTCAGGACATTGTCAACAGTTGGAGCTCACCTGGGTAAATAACTCAGCAAAGATGGATGTAGGTAAATATTGCACATGGATATTGACAACAATCAGTTACATTCAAACCGAGTCTTCTGTGTGAAATTGTGAAGCTATAGCACATGTAACCCTACACTTCAACACAGCCACAAGGCTGGATTTCGCTTCAGGCCTATTATACGAAGAGAGGGAACAGACATATTTGAACCAAACACTGATTAAAAGCATATTTTGTGTTGCATATAAAACCCCTTGAAAGTCAACATAAATTCCGCAAAAAATGTTACTAAAATTGATAACATTACACTGTCATATAACACTGTTGCCACACAATTTGACTCTGTCCTAGAATAGACAATAATGAGTTACCCAATCATAGCTGATGACATTCTTTTCAGAATCGGATGCTCTTTGATTGGCCTTCTTCTTTTAGCCCCTCCTCCATCTGGGTCAATGTCAAGGTCACTCTCTGGAGCAGCTTCGTTCTTCTGATGACTAACCAGCTTGTAGAGAATGTCCGGGTGATTCCAGATCTGGGGAGAGAGAATTCAGTATCAAAACTGTGCTCAAGCACCAGATTAGGTACCCAGGAACATCTGGGTTAGAATTGGTCGTCAGCAGCCCATGCTTGTCAAAAGAGGCAACTAACAGGATTGGGTGGTCAGACTCACCGACTTGGTTGGCACATGTCATTAAATCCCAATTGTGTAGATCGGTGCTTATGTTGTTGATTACTCGATTGTCTGGTCCAGACTCGATTATTTTTCAGACCGCTGTCTAATAGATGGAATATTGGAATATGCAAACAAACAAAGAACAAACAAATAAAATATGAAGGCTCCTATCCAGTGACAATGAAACTGTCTAAACTTTTGTTAGTATCACACAACTTTAGAGCTGTTTGCGAAATATGCCATGTTGATCACAGGATTATTTGGTACTCAAGTATTGACGAACTGCCGCAATATAGCAGGAATATTGCTGAGTGTGGCATTAAACAACAAACAAACCATATTAGATATATCCTAGATTAAAAGGAATTCAGAGATTTCTATATGAACAAGCAAAAGCAGCAGCATTTGCAATCCTGGACACAACCCACCTTACAGCAGACGGCGAAGGCCTTGAGAGCGTTCATGGTGGCGAAGGGGCCATCACCACTTGAGTCCTGGATGGTGTTCATGAACTCGTTGTAAAGCTTACGTTGTAAGGGAGACATTTTGATGAGGAACACATGTTCATACTTTGGCGGCAGTGCGTGCTGTAATACTGTGTGTCCACGCCTGAAACAGGAACAAGGAAATACAGACCAAACCTGCAGCAACATTACAACTTTAGAAAAGCCTTTTTATGCTCGTCTTCAGAGGGATGAATCATCTGTCTTCAAAATTGTATGAATTTGTGTAACATGGTAGAAGTGCACTGTAATATGGTTGATGTGTGCTGACACCCGGTAGATGGGTTCTGTAGTGTGGTATAATGTGTTTTGTAACGTGGTAGATATCTTCTGCCACATGGTAGAAGTGTACTGTAACATGGTAGAAGTGTACTGTAACAAGGTAGATGTGTACTGTAACAATGTAGATGTGTACTGTAACATGGTAGAAGCGTAATGTAACATGGTAGATGTGTAATGTAACATGGTAGATGTGTACTGTAACATGGTAGATGTGTACTGTAACAAGGTAGATGTGTACTGTAACATGGTAGACGTGTAATGTAACATGGTAGAAGTGTAATGTAACATGGTAGATGTGTACTGTAACATCGTAGATGTGAACTGTAACATGGTAGAAACATGGTAGATGGTGTAATGTAACATGGTAGATGTGTACTGTAACATGGTAGATAGAAGTGTACTGTAACATGGTGAAGTGTACTGTAACATGGTAGAAGTGTACTGTAACATGGTAGAAGTGTAACTGTAACATGGTAGAAGTGTACTGTAACAACAGAAGCAACTGTAGATGTGAACTGTAACATGGTAGAAGTGTAATGTAACATGGTAGATGTGAACTGTAACATGGTAGAAGTGTAATGTAACATGGTAGATGTGAACTGTAACATGGTAGAAGTGTATGGTAGAAGTGTACTGTAACATGGTAGAAGTGTACTGTAACATGGTAGATGTGAACTGTAACATGGTAGAAGTGTAATGTAACATGGTAGAAGTGTACTGTAACATGGTAGAAGTGTACTGTAACATGGTAGAAGTGTAATGTAACATGGTAGAAGTGTAATGTAACATGGTAGAAGTGTAATGTAACATGGTAGAAGTGTAATGTAACATGGTAGATGTGAACTGTAACATGGTAGAAGTGTACTGTAACATGGTAGATGAAAACTGTAACATGGTAGAAGTGTAATGTAACATGGTAGATGTGAACTGTAACATGGTAGAAGTGTAATGTAACATGGTAGAAGTGTACTGTAACATGGTAGAAGTGTACTGTAACATGGTAGATGAAAACTGTAACATGGTAGAAGTGTAATGTAACATGGTAGATGTGAACTGTAACATGGTAGAAGTGTACTGTAACATGGTAGATGAAAACTGTAACATGGTAGAAGTGTACTGTAACATGGTAGATGTGAACTGTAACATGGTAGAAGTGTAATGTAACATGGTAGAAGTGTACTGTAACATGGTAGAAGTGTACTGTAACATGGTAGAAGTGTACTGTAACATGTTAGATGTGTACTGTAACATGGTAGAAGTGTACTGTAACATGGTAGAAGTGTACTGTAACATGGTAGAAGTGTACTGTAACATGGTAGAAGTGTAATGTACTGTAACATGGTAGAAGTGAACTGTAACATGGTAGAAGTGTACTGTAACATGGTAGAAGTGTACTGTAACATGGTAGAAGTGTACTGTAACATGGTAGAAGTGTACTGTAACATGGTAGAAGTGTACTGTAACATGGTAGAAGTGTACTGTAACATGGTAGAAGTGTACTGTAACATGGTAGAAGTGTACTGTAACATGGTAGAAGTGTACTGTAACATGGTAGGTATGTTCTCTAACATGACATGAGTAAACTGCAGATTTGCACTGTGACGTGGTAGCTGTGTTCTGTAACAAGGTAGATGGTCTCACCTCTGTACAAATCCCCCCAGCAAGCTGTGCAGCACATAAGCTCGATGCCTCATCAGCTTGATGTCACTCAGTGTACTGTCGGAACACTGGCCATTCATAATCGGCCGCTCAAACATGTTGGAGAACTCGGTCTTGGTGCCCAGGAAGTTAGGCCTGACAAAGTCCACCATGCACCAGTATTCCATCAGATTGTTCTGCAGCGGGTACCCCGTCAACACCACTCTCCGTCTGAACACAGAAGGGGTGGTGAGTCAACATAGAGGTAATAATTCACAAAACATTTGGTGCCATGATACAAATATTATCATCATGATCAAGAATATTTGTTGCACATGATGCACATAAAAATATTCAGGCTATGCCAAGGCAGCATTATAATAATAGAGTCTGGAACTGACAATCTATCCACTGACATTCACTCTGTCTGGATACAATGACAAGCCATCAAGCCACTGAATCTGATCATCCAATCCACAAAGTCATCACTTACAGCAGCATAGGTTGGACTTACTCTTACATGGAATTCAAAGGTACTGATGTACTGGTACAATGTACTGATACAAAAGAATGCAGACAACTGGCATGTTCAAATACTGAAGCGTTATTCCACTTAATCATCCTCAGCAGTGTCAAGATGAGATCCAGCACTGCTTGATCTTACCTTGTGCGGATGTTCTTTAGAGAGTGAGAGATTCCTGTGTGACTGTTCTTGATCCGATGTCCTTCATCACATACCACTGTATCGGGACCTGGGTTTACCAGCGACGAAAACATATCTGAAACATAGATCAATGTTCTGTATGTCTGAAACATAGATCAATTTTCTGTATGTTTGAAACATAGATCAATGTTCTGAATGTCTGAACACACATCAAGGGTCTGTAAGTCTGAACACACATCAAGGGTCTGTATGTCTGAACACACATCAAGGGTCTGTATGTCTGAACACACATCAGGGTCTGTATGTCTGAACACACATCAAGGGTCTGTATGTCTGAACACACATCAAGGGTCTGTAAGTCTGAACACACACCAAGGGTCTGTATGTCTGAACACACATCAAGGGTCTGTATGTCTGAACACACATCAAGGTACTGTATGTCTGAACACACATCAAGGGTCTGTATGTCTGAACACACATCAAGGGTCTGTATGTCTGAACACACTTCAAGGGTCTGTATGTCTGAACACACTTCAAGGGTCTGTATGTCTGAACACACATTAAGGGTCTGTATGTCTGAACACACATCAAGGTACTGTATGTCTGAACACACATCAAGGTACTGTATGTCTGAACACATCAAGGGTCTGTAAGTCTGAACACACATCACGGTACTGTATGTCTGAACACACATCAAGGGTCTGTATGTCTGAACACACACCAAGGTACTGTATGTCTGAACACACACCAAGGGTCTTTAAGTCTGAACACACATCAGGGTACTGTATGTCTGAACACATCAAGGGTCTGTATGTCTGAACACACATCAAGGGTCTGTATGTCTGAACACACATCAAGGGTCTGTATGTCAGAACACACATCAAGGTACTGTATGTCTGAACACACATCAAGGGTCTGTATGTCAGAACACACATCAAGGGTCTGTAAGTCTGAACACACATCAAGGGTCTGTATGTCTGAACACACATCAAGGGTCTGTATGTCTGAATACACATCAAGGGTCTGTATGTTTCAAACACACATCAAGGTACTGTATGTCTGTGCACACATCAAGGGTCTGTATGTCTGAACACACATCAAGGTACTGTATGTCTGAACACACATCAAGGGTCTGTATGTCTGAACACACATCAAGGGTATGTATGTCTCAAACACACATCAAGGTACTGTATGTCTGAACACATCAAGGGTCTGTATGTCTGAACACATATCAAGGGTCTGTATGTCTAAACACATCAAGGTTCTGTATGTCTGAACACATATTAAGGGTCTGTATGTCAGAACACACACCAAGGGTCTGTATGTCTGAACACACATCAAGGTACTGTATGTCTGAACACACATCAAGGGTCTGTATGTCAGAACACATATCAAGGGTCTGTATGTCTGAACACACATCAAGGGTCTGAATGTCTGAACACACATCAAGGGTCTGTATGTCTGAACACACATCAAGGGTCTGTATGTCTCAAACACACATCAAGGTACTGTATGTCTGTGCACACATCAAGGGTCTGTATGTCTGAACACACATCAAGGGTCTGTATGTCTAAACACACATCAAGGTACTGTATGTCTGAACACACATCAAGGGTCTGTAAGTCTGAACACACATCAAGGGTCTGTATGTCTGAACACACATCAAGGTTCTGTATGTCTGAACACACATTAGGGTCTGTATGTCTGAACAGACATCAAGGGTCTGTATGTCTGAACACACATCAAGGGTCTGTATGTCTCAAACACACATCAAGGTTCTGTATGTCTGAATACATCAAGGGTCTGTATGTCTGAACACACATCAAGGATCTGTATGTCTGAACACACATCTAGGTTCTGTATGTCTGAACACACATCAAGGATCTGTATGTCTGAACACACATCTAGGTTCTGTATGTCTCAAACACACATCAAGGTTCTGTATGTCTGAACACACATCAAGGGTCTGTATGTACGTCTGTATGTCAGAACACACATCAAGGTTCTGTATATCTCAAATACACATCAAGGTTCTCTATAAAGTGTAAACATCATATGCAAAACCCAATCTGGTTAAAAAGAACATCACCAGCAACAATTACAACAAGTAGGAGGTGCTGAAAGTTTTGATCACCTGTACATGATACCCCAAAACAATCACTCAAACACATCCCCAGCATGTAGGGTATCTGTGTGCTTTTCAAACATACAAAAGATGCCACACCAATAAGACAAGAACAGAATGTTATGGTTACCATATTTCCCATTACTATGGTTACATACCTGTCATTAATAACTTATTTTTATCCTCCTCGTCAACATCGATCACTTCTGGCTCTTGTGACTGTGAGGAGTTCGTGGTTTTCCTGGATTTCTTTGGTTTCGCGGGAATGGATCTCCTCGAGGAGAGGAGACGATACATCTCGTATCCCATCAGTAGCACTCCCCCGGTTTCAGACCACTCACCTAGACACAACACACATGTAATGAGTGCACTGTCATCCAGTCCACTTCCTGGTTTGAGAAACTTTCTCAGCAAGAAATTTATAATAATAAGAGTACGTTTATAGCACCTCATCCACATTACTCATGGACATGCTCTAAGCACATAAGACACATATACAGTTTATATGAACAAGAAAGTTGATGTTCATAGATACTTCTTGAAGAGTTGAGTTTTCAGCTTGGACTGACAGTGATAGGGAGGTTTTAAGATCTGATGGTAGACATTTCCAGAGAAACAGACACATTGTGCTGGTGAGCAGGATTTTTATCAGTTTAGAAAAGACATAAAACACATGGAGGCAAAAACGGTCTTTCCTAACTCAACATCCTCAACTACTAGTGTTTAAATTACCCAAGTTTCCATCGTCTTGACTACCATGGCACTGTTCACAGCAAAGCAATATATGGTAAATGTTTGAGTCTATAGCAACAGTCTTAGCAAGGTGAGTTGAAAGTCAACCCAACTATATCCAAAGCGCCCTGATTTGACACGCTGCTTAGCGTAAAATAGTTAAGAAATACTGTAAATGAAGGGTGAGTAAAATGTTTGTCATAAAAGATTAACATGAAAAATCTGCTTAGGGTAAGTTAACATTATAGTGTTCATTTTAATTGAGCTGAAATTCTATATTAAAGGATCTCATGAAACAACCAAATAAATCAGTCAGTGTTTACTATTTGCCAAAAACGAAACAACAATCAAACCTAAGTAGAACCAGACTCCATTTCTTTCCTAACACTAACAGACTTATGATGTGCATAGAGACTATATTGCAGTTTATTTCGGTCTGCAACATTTTTAACGATTTAATATGAAGCATAACACTTGTTTACGACGTGAATGAAGGCCTGAAAATTACACTGACTACTAATTTGTGACATCCCCACCCCTATTTGTACCCTGAGTTATCGCAACTAAACCGTTTAACAAATTATCGCCTTACCAAGCAGTTTAGCTCTTGCTACCATTGTCTTATAGTTGTCATTCATCAAGTAGACTTTGTACGGTCTTGCCACCATACCGGGGAAGTCTGGCGTCGGCTCTATGGGGACCCAGTGATTGAACTCACTCATCCAGTTCTGCAGAGTGTTGATAGGCACTATGCACAGGGCAGTCTTAGCACTGGTGTTGCGCAGGAAGATGTCAATGAATCCAATCATCTGGATGGTTTTGCCGAGCCCCATGCTGTGAGCAAGGATGCAGCCGAACCCACTGCTGCTGTTGTACCGATCTAGTGACTCCACCAGATTGTCGTACAGGAACCGAACACCGCCGATCTGAACATACAAACAGTGAGTGTCACGGCAGCTCTTGGTTTCAAATACAAAGATCATTATTTTCTATATTTTCATAAGGGGCAGCGGGGGTAGCCGAATGGTAAAAGCATTTGATTGTCATTCTGAAGATCCGGGTTTGATTCCCCATATGGGTACAATGTGTGAAGCCCATTTTTTATGTTCCTGTGGTGAGAATGCTGGAATATTGCTAAAAGTGACATATATCCATACTCAGTCACTCACTCACTCATGTCTCACAAACCTGATGGGGCTTGATGTTTTTGGCAATCTTCAGTGAGAGGAAGATGTCAGGGTCAGTGCTGGGATGTCCAATGTTGACCTGAACACGACCCTGTTCGTCTGCACGGTTGAGTTCGTCATCGATGTGTCCTCCACCATTGTTCATGTCCTCCTCCTCAGCCTCGCCCTCTTCCTCCTTGTCCTCAACAACCATGCAGTCTTCATCCGAGCTGATGTCGATCACATCTACAATAATACTCTCATATAACACAAGTGTAACGTACAGTCTTCATCCCGAAGTGATGTCGATCACATCTACAATAATACTCTCATATAACACAAGAGTAACATACAGTCTTCATACTAGCTGATGTCAATCACATCTACAACAAGTGTTTGCTACTGATATGGCAATGTCCCCCGCCGCTAAAGAATGGAATATCTATATTTACTACTCTTTATTTTTGGGTCACATACAAGATGCCTGAAATGACTGGTGTCTGCATAATCACCCAATGTAGGCTGTCAACATACTTGAAAACATTGGGTGCAATGTTTTCTGAGATATCGCCTTTAAAAAGCGGTCAAAGTATCGTGGTGACCTTGAAGATCAGATCAAGGTCACCCAAATAAACTGGTGTCTGCATAATACCCCAATGTAAACTGTCACCAAATTTGAAGACATTGGGTATAACAGTCCATGAAATATCGCGTTAACAAAGAGTTAAAAGCGTGCAAAGTGTCATGGTGACCTTGAAGATAAGGTCAAGGTCACCAAAATAAACTGGTGTCTGCATAATCCCCAAATGTAGGCTGTCATCAAATTTGAAGACACTGGGTACAACAGTGCATGAGATATGACGTTAACAACAGTTTGAAAAGTGGTCAGTGTCGTGGTGACCTTGAAGATAAGGTCAAGGTCACCAAAATAAACTGGTGTCTGCGTAATCCCCTAATGTAGGCTGTCACCAAATTTCAAGACATTGGGTACAACAGTTCATGAGATATCGCGCTAACAAGAGTTTGCAAAGTGGTCAAAGTGTCGTGGTGACCTTGAAAATAAGGTCAAGGTCACCCAAATCGACTGGTGTCTGCGTTATCCCCCAATGTAGGCTGTCACCAAATTTGAAGACATTGGGTACAACATTTCATGATATATCGCGTTAACAAGAGTTTGCAAAGTGGTCAAATTGTCATGGTGACCTTGAAAATAAGGTCAAGGTCATGCAAGATATCGCGTTAACAAGAATCGGGACGTACATACGTACGGACACCGCTGAATACATAGTCCCCCGTTCCAGCAGGGGACAATAATACTCTCATATAACACAAGTGTAACATACAGTCTTCATCCGAGCTGATGTCAATCACATCTACAATAATACTCTCATATCACACAAGTGTAACATACAGTCTTCATCCGAGCTGATGTCAATCACATCTACAATAATACTCTCATATCACACAAGTGTAACATACAGTCTTCATCCGAGCTGATGTCAATCACATCTACAATAATACTCTCATATCACACAAGTGTAACATACAGTCTTCATCCGAGCTGATGTCAATCACATCTACAATAATACTCTCATATCACACAAGTGTAACATACAGTCTTCATCCGAGCTGATGTCAATCACATCTACAATAATACTCTCATATCACACAAGTGTAACATACAGTCTTCATCCGAGCTGATGTCAATCACATCTACAATAATACTCTCATATCACACAAGTGTAACAGTCTTCAAGCTGATGTCAATCACATCTACAATAATACTCTCATATAACACAAGTGTAACATACAGTCTTCATCATACAGTCTTCATCCGAGCTGAGCTGATGTCAATCACATCTACAATAATACTCATATCACACAAGTGTAACATACAGTCTTCATCCGAGCTGATGTCAATCTCACATCTACAATAATACAGTCTTCATCCGAGCTGATGTCAATCACATCTACAATAATACTCTCATATCACACAAGTGTAACATACAGTCTTCATCCGAGCTGATGTCAATCACATCTACAATAATACTCTCATATCACACAAGTGTAACATACAGTCTTCATCAGAGCTGATGTCAATCACATCTACAATAATACTGTCTAGCACCTCACCACATGCTCCAATAACTGCTCCATCCCACTTGATTCACTCAGTTGCCTCTAATGACAAGCATCGATGGCGGGGGACAATATTACCGCCTCAACCTTTCATCGAAATAACATGTCTTATGCCTGTTCAGAAGTGAAACAAATAATAACAATCATAATTTGGTAACTACACATGTCAAAAAACATGATCAACAGATTGTTGGTAGTTACCTTTCTCCTTCTCTGGCTCCGACTTCTTGTCTTCCTCATCCAGGATCACAACATCGTCATTCTTGGTGGCTTCCTCCTCTGCAGCTGCAAGTGACAATCAAGAAGTGTGGTCAGGCATAGCATGCAATAAGGACATGTAGCATTACTACAGTTACCATAGTAACCACGTATTTGGGAATGTAACATTACTAAATTTACCTTGTAGGTGAGACCTGCGTTGTTACCACAGTAACCATGTAGTTGGGAATGTAGCATTACTAAAGTTACCTTGTAGCTGAGACCTGTGTTGTTACCATAGTAACCATGTAGTTGGGAATGTAGCATTACTAAAGTTACCTTGTAGCTGAGACGTATGTTGTTACCATAGTAACCATGTAGTTGGGAATGTAGCATTACTAAAGTTACCTTGTAGCTGAGACCTGTGTTGTTACCATAGTAACCATGTAGTTGGGAATGTAGCATTACTAAAGTTACCTTGTAGCTGAGACGTATGTTGTTACCATAGTAACCATGTAGTTGGGAATGTAGCATTACTAAAGTTACCTTGTAGCTGAGACCTGTGTTGTTACCATAGTAACCATGTAGTTGGGAATGTAGCATTACTAAAGTTACCTTGTAGCTGAAACGTATGTTGTTACCATAGTAACCATGTAGTTGGGAATGTAGCATTACTAAAGTTACCTTATAGCTGAGACGTATGTTGTTACCATAGTAACCATGTAGTTGGGAATGTAGCATTACTAAAGTTCCCTTGTAGCAGAGACATGTAGTGTTACCATAGATACCTTGTAGTAAAGACTTGAGTTGGCAGTCCTTGTCTTTCTCCTTCTCCTCGGCCTTCTGACCCTGGGCCTTGGCAAGTAAGGTCTTCTGGATCTCCTGGAGACGCTTCTTCCTCTCAAACTCCTCGTTCTGGGCAGCCAGGGTCTCTGCATCCAGCTCATCTTCTTTGATAATGGACCTGAGCAGTATCACAGAAAAATGGTGTGAGCATGAGTTCTGACAAATTGAACCTCTACAGAGACTAGGTGAATGTGGTTCACAATATAGTCAACAATATTCCAGCTAAATATCAGAAGTCTGAACAGACCAGGAAAACCACTGACATGAAAACACGATAAATAATCCCCTCCATTGTGGTATGATGGTAAAGATCAACTAAAATCATAGTGAGTGAGTGAGTGAGTGAGTGAGTGAGTGAGTGAGTGAAGTGGGTTTGAGTGAGGGTGACGTCATGCTTGAGAATATTTAAGCTCATATGACGACGTGCATGCGTGTGTATGTGTGGCTGCTTGTACTAGCCCAGACTGAAGCTGGTTTTATAGTGCTAGCCCACTGAGATACCATACCGCAGTGAAGCATGAATACCCCACTCAGACACATTAAACTGACTCCGAGCCGACCAGTCCTTGTTGTACCCATTAATGCCGAGCCAGGCAGGGACCAACAAGTACCATATTTTAACGTCTTTTGGTATGACGCGGTTGGGGATTGAACCCGCGACCTTCCACTCTCTGGGCGGACGCTCTAACCACTACACCACGGAGGTGGTCGAGTGAGTGAGTGAGGTTGTACACCGCGTTTAGCAGTATTCCAGCAATATCACGTCAGGGGACACCAAAAATGGGATTCACACATTGTACCCATGTGGGGAATCGAACCAGGGTCTTCGGCATGACGAGCAAACGCTTTAACCACTAGGCTACCCCACCACTCCCCTAATTTCACACAGCCTGACAATCCAGTCACATTTTGTTACCACATATGATTGGTTCATTGGTTTGGTGTCTAACAGCACATTCAGCAATATTCCAGATATATGGCGGCGGTCTGTAATAATCGAGTCTGGACCAGACAATCAAGTGATCAACTGCACGAGCATTGATCTACGCAATTGTGATATGGTCACATGTGTTAACCAAGTCATTGAGCCTGACCACAGATGCCATTAGTCTCCTCTTATGACGAGCATAGCTGCTGAAGACGAATTCTAAACCGGATCTTCAGTGGTATGCCGCTTATGAGTGAGTGAGTGAGTTTAGTTTCACGCCGCTTTTAGCAATATTACAGCAATATCACAGCGGGGACACCAGTAATGGGCTTCACACAATGTGCCCATGTGGGGAATCAAACCCGGGTCTTCGGTGTGATGAGCGAACGCCATAACCACTAGGCTACCCCACAGCCCCCTGCCGTTTATGAAAAGCTACAGCTACCAACATTAAGGTACATAGACTGTTCAACGTGGCAGAGTTAAATAAGGAACCAGGAGTACCTTTAGGGTAACTGACAAACATATCTCTCTCTTACACATAAGCATGCAAAACATATTCAGAAAATATGATATCTTAAATCAAAAATTGTCAAACCTGATATTTTTTCTCCTAAATCCAGACTTCCTTTTCGCCTTTTTAGCTTTCTTTTCTCCTTTCATTTTCTTCTTCCTCTTTTTCCCCTTCTTTGTGGTCTTCTCCTTTACTTGACTGGTGCTGGGGACACTCTCCTCCGGCACAGTCTTAAGTTCATCTGGAAGAGCTGCTGCCAGGTCCGTATCCATGGCAACTGGCTCAGGACCATCAATGATGCTAGTTAAATCAGGTGGAGGCTCTATTTCAGTAGCCTCTTCCTCTTCTTCTTCTTCCTCCTCCTCCTCTTCTTCTTCATCCTCTTCATCTGACTCCTCTTCAGATTCTTCATCTGATGCTTCACTTCCTCCATCCTCCTCATCATCAACATCGTCAACATCATCATCAGGCAATCCTAACTCATCCTCTGGTATATTCAAAGGTTCTTCATCTGGGAGATTCAGATCCGACTCTTGCAAGTTTATACTTTCTACTTCATCAATTTCAGCAGCCTGCACACATTCTCAGCTGCCTCCACAGCTGCTGTTATAGCATCATCAACAACGTCGGGCAGTTTTTCTAGATTGGTTAGTTCACTGGTGTCCTCGTCCAGCTGCACATCTTTTTCTATAGTCTGTGCATCTAAGTAAGAGTCTAGGGACAGTTCCTCTGATAACACTTTTGATAATGTACTCGGCTGAAGAGGAATGTTTTCCGTCGTACTTTCACCTGACATTATGACCCGGTGATGTGACAAAGTTCAACACAAAACACTGCTGCTGCTTCTTCCATGCATCCTTTAAAAGAAAACAAGATATGGTATGAGTGAGTGAGTTTAGTTTCATGCCACTTTTAGCAATATTCCAACAATATCACAGTGGGGGACACCAGATATAGGCTTCACACATTGTACCCATGTGGGGAATCAAACCGAGTTTTCAGATTAGATAAACTAATGATACCCACAAGGCTTCCCCGCCACCCCTACAAAGTGTGAGAATTTAACAGTACTTTCATCATGTTTATCAGACTGTGGTCTTGTGCATAGAGCCCAAGTCACAAATCAGTTGAATTTAAGCAACACTGGTCATGGGTCTGTGGTTGGCAGCTTGACTCTTGATAGTTTCTGTGACTTGCCCGACCCCACAACAAATCACTCGTGACACATGTCGTCTCACCTTAAGAGTTTCTTAAAAATTGCCTCTGTTCACAGAGCAGAAAATGGGTACCCGGTGGGATAAGTCATATTACTATTAACCTTCCAGCGACTTGGGCTATCCAGGTTAATAATTTCCATTATGTTGTATGTGCTTAGAGCATGCCAATGTGGCGTGGAATTTAGTGCTATGTAAGTGGCCTTATTGTGTAAAGAACAGGTCAATACCAGTATGCTCAATCACAGAATTTCAGATGAAGCATTTAAGTTTGTTAAAAGATATGCATATTAGGCATGCAGCGATTCACACAGACCTTGATTCGATTCGATTTTCGATGTTGGACCCTCGATTCGATCATTTTCGATTCGATTCTTCATACAAAAAAACATCATATTTCATTTAACTCTCACAGTTTATTAAACAAAACATAACACACTGAAAACTTTTTTCCAAGATTTGACTAGTATATGAGGAATGTAAATGATGTAACCCTTTTCAAGCAAAGAAAATATGATGTTTTAACACAGAATAGGACTTTGGCGATGTCTACTAGCAACAATTCGTCAACCAATCACATTTCACCTTATTTCTCAAAACTACTCGAGTTGAAGTCAAAATTATGTTCTCGCTGTGTGGAAATAATTTACATAGATATTCAAATATCGAATCGAAACAGTGATAATGCTTATTGAAAATCGAAACTAATGTGTCAGATTCGATTGAATCGTTGCAGTCCTAATGCATATACAAATATATAATAACACCCCCACATCGGCAATTCTGAAACATGCGGATGATAATCTGATAATTACTTCCTTATGGCCCTAATCGTATCAAGACTGAGTCAGCTACTAGTATCTTGATGTAGTTTGACTTAAAACAAAACACAATCATGAGAATTGAAAAGTTGTGCCCAAAACTTCAGAAAATACAAGCCCTGTTATCATTGTAGTTTGTGCATTTTAGTTACATATGGAGCATCATGAGCTGAGCTTTCTGGACTGACCCATACTTTACAAAACTTAGGTATCTGACCGGTAGCTGTAGTCACAGACTGAAATTGTGTTTGAATATGAACACAGGAACTACACAATGAACAATGCCGAGGCAAATAATATGCAAGCAGGATGGCATATTCAGTATCATTTCGGGCATGACAAACATAAAATGAACAGAAAAATACTAATTTATCTTAATTTTCAAATTAAACTAACCCTGCATTTTTCTCAAAGTGCGGACGTCCAAGAGGGATATTTTCTTATGGCCTACAACTTTCATCAGTACATATGCAAGTACATATGTAACTCTGAAGCAGATCATTTTTGGTAGACTTGTGAGAACATACAGACCCGTAACCTAAATTCGTAGATAACCTTGATTCATGGATCTCGGTAATTATGATGCTATCTCGTAAAATAAGTCTCGTATGACGTCACGAAGCGGTACTTTTGATGTACACAAAATGCCATGCCTAGCAGACAAAAATGTTCCGTATCTCTGAATTACACGTAAATACACTAAATCTAATTGTCCAGCACTGAGATAAATAGGCCAAGATTACTAATACCAAAATTTAATTTTATAAAATGTCACATAAAGAAGATACCGTTAGCACAACTTTCTCACATCTTGTCGTCTGCTTACCTAGCTGTCAAGACTTACTGTAATGGGCTGTCGTACATAGCGATAAAAAGTAACCGACTACTTAATCCACGAAACAAGGTGATGCCACATTTTGTGTGCACCCGAATGGGTGATGAGTGCAAATGGCTTCGGTAGACAAACATTTCATTCACGAGTGGAATATTAGGCATTTTCAATTTGATGAATCAATGAATAAAATAACCAGTGAGTATACAAAATGAAATCGTGCATTTAAATTATGATTTTCACCGCATTTCCCTTATATCCACGAATCAAGTTTACGCGAGTGTAATTTATATATTTCTGAGTCTTTGGGTATTCCTAGAGAGAGAAAGTTAAACAACACAGGCAGGTCCGGGAGATTGATTGATGTGAATCCAAAGTATATTTCAAGCATCATTCAGAGGGGCATCATTACTGATGAATACATGTGTAGATTAATTACCACCTGCTCTCAGCCACTCCTAAAACACAACCAACAGAATATACAATATGCATCATGGTATCAAACCTTGTGCAAATCAATTACCTTGAGTAAATTGAGCGAGTCTGCTTTAATGCCACTTTTAACAATATACCAGCAATGTCCACCTCACACGAACTCAATTGGGTATTTTGCCATTTTCCATTAATTGTAAAAATATAATAAGGTTTAACTGTTGGTTTATGTGTTTGTTATTTATATTTTGATCGTTAATATAAGAAATGCTAAGAGGTGAGGTGAGGTGAAATTTGGTTTTACGTCGTGCTTGAGAATATTTCGCTCATATGATGACAAGCATGCGCGTGTATGTGTATATGCGGCTGCTTGTACTAGCCCAGACTGAAGCTGGTTTTATAGTGCTAGCCCACTGAGATACCATGCCGCAGTGAAGCATGAATACCCCACTCAGACACATTATACGGACTCCGAGCCGACCAGTCCTTGTTGTACCCATTAATGCTGAGCGCCAGACAGGGACCAACAAGTACCATATTTTAACGTCTTTTGGTATGACGCGGTCGGGGGGGATCGAACCCACGACCTTCCGCTCTCTGGGCGGACGCTCTAACCACTACACCACGGAGGTGGTCAGAAATGCTATTACTATGAAAGACTGCAACTTGCCAAGTTCATGTGTTGAAATAGAACCTCTCGATATACGTCAGTTATTTCATCTGTCCACCGGTACGCAAGCTAAGATTTGACATTTTTGTGTGTACGCTTGTAATATCAAATTTATTGAGCATTTAGAAAAATTCAAGCGTACATGTATGCAATAGACTTAATAGAAATTGAGTTTTTACATAAATATTTGCATTATTTACACAGATACGCAGCTTATCTGTACCGTTGGCTTCACACATGATGCTAATGTGGGTAATCAAACTCAAGCCTTCAGTGTGACAAAAGGACGCCTTAATCACTAGCTACCCCAGTGCCTCCGTTGTATGTGGGAATAGACTTAAAGTAAGTCTAATCGCTTTTTTCTTCTGTTAAAAAAAATAATCACAATCTGTTACATCGCTACAGTAACATCTGCGTCCTTTTTTAAACCTGTTTGAACTTTGAGGTGATTTGGTTCAAAAAGGTCAGAAGCAATAGCACTTTGGCAGAGCATTTGATCAATTATAGTTTAAATGATAGCAGTTATTTTTGTAGTTTTGATCGGTCTTGATTTCAGTCTTTTGATCGTTAGTGCAGCTGGACAAGTAAAAACACATTTAATCAGTTTTCAGATTGTGTAGCAGATGTACTATCCACATGTTAACTGTTAATCAATCGCTCTTATTCTTAATTGTTTCAATCCCTAAATCATAAATAAAAGCAATGACTACCTGTAGGGACAATGCAATGCATCATTATTTCATGTAATGCTGTTGTAAAATGCAATATTCCAGAAATATTGTAGTGGAGGACACCAGAAATGGACTGCATACATTGTACCTATGTGGAGAATCAAACGCCCATCTTCAGTGTGACATTCAATCCTGTTAAACACTTGGTTAACTTCAAACCTTACTTTGTCTAAAATTTTACAATCATTTTCAGATATAATGCACAGATAATTTGTTTAAACAATGGAGTTCAAGTGAGAAGAAAGATTATTGATCATTATTGTCTACAAAAAAACATTTAAAGCAGTTTATGAATGCATGTGGTTATGAGTGTAGTTAAATACCACAAAATGTATTTTGGAATCCTTTCAAGCCAAATTAATCTAAAATATAATATTTTAATATGAAGTCACCAAATGTAGGTAAACTAGGAAAAATAACCTAATCCCTGCAGCTGTGTTTAGGAGCTGCTGTAAATTTTTAGTTGTGTTTCGTGTGTGCACTGTTTGTTTCATCATCAAGATACCAAATGCTGAATATACCACTAAAAAATAACTTCGATCAGCACCAACGTTGACACTTGTCAGGCACTAAGAACTATCTTGCTTTAGAATTTTAAGACATTGTTATCTGTAAGATTATCAATATGCATGCTAAATAGAAAATAAATTCTTACAAATGTTACTTTTAAACATGTTCTCCATGGACTTCCTACTCCCACAAGTACAACCGAGAATAAGTCATGCGCTAAAATACTCTAAAATAATTACTTTATTGTCATGCACATATAACTGGTTTGCAAACATGCAATGTTCTGCAGCTTTAAGTGTAGTCATGACAATGACAGATTTTATAACCAAATTCTGAAATCTATTTTTAGATACCATTCTTTTGGGATTGCCCTTTTGTTTAGTGTAGGGCTATACCAAAGATGCTGAGTAATAAATCTCATATTCTGGAATTTGCTCCATGTAACGTTTGAATCAATTAAATTGCACAGTCAGGGAATTGTAATAACCATGGTAACCAAAATAGATCAAATGCAACATGCTAAGATAAGTGATTATCTCTATCCAAACATTTGACAAATGATATTCTTGAACATTCTAAGCATGGGTGATTAAGTGATGTGACATTTTATTTACCCTTAATCCAACACTGACAAATTGATCATTATCATTATAAAATAATAAGCTGTTGAAATATTAATTAACAAGAAAAACAATGATGCATATTTCGTATGAGGATGAAATCGTGAACTGTGGCAAAATCACTGTCATGGATTATTAATTAGACTGTCTTATATTGTTTACATTTCATCAAAAATCCATCCTAAAACAACAAGAATTCTACAGTTCATCACATTCCTGCTACTGTGATATTTGGTATGACCTAATGTATATTCACACAGGTGAAATGGGTTACTTACACAACAGACATTGGCCTTTGACAATATCCTCAACCCATTTGCATGAAGATGTCAGTGACCTGTTAGCTCCCACTTTGATTGGCAAATTATCGGCGTTCCAAATCCATCAAATCACACGTTTTCTTGTTGAATGTAAACCAAACATCAATTTCGCGAAACACAGTATACAATAGACCCCTGCTGATAATGAACCAGGAGAAATATCAAAATGAATTAAAATAGTCAGGAGAATCCCTCCACTGACCCAAGGAAAACTTCCGGTAAATGACGAAGGGACAAAAGACAGGTGCTTTACCGAAAGGAGTTACGCCCCTTTATGTACAAAATGAACCGAACTGGGTTGATTATGCATCTGTCTCGTGCTCGTGTATTCTATCATCTCTGCACATGAACTATAAGATGCTTTTGAATTCATATGTCGAATTTGCAATATATCTTTGTTTCCATTGTACACATAAAGATTTTTCTATTTGGGCAATCAGTTACTCGAGTTCCGTAAAACCGGATGCTTTAAACCGGAAACCCCAAAATATGCGCTTTGATATGCGCGGTGGACTTGAATTCCAAACACCGACAGCATAGGTGCTGAGTGTGTTTTACGAAAAGATGAGGGCTGTTCCGACATGGGTAGATAAAGTTCAAGACAAAGATAAGATAGAACAATGGTATTGTCCCTTGATTTAACTTAGGATTATTTTATTTCATTTAATCATATTTCTAGATGTTTGTGCTGTCATAAATTGTTTGGTTGGTTACTAGGGAATCGGCGGCATCCATCATTTGAAGTATGAACGTAATTGATTGAATAAATTATAAATCATTTAATTTTTGCACAGACGTGTTTGCTTACGTTATATTAGGTGTATAGTTCAACTCATGGTGTGAAATAACTAGACTTGACAGCATTTGACTATGTTCTTTTCCTACACGTTTTCTCTAATTATGTCTGCACTAAATGGATCTATGTTGATACTTTTCACTATCCAGTATGACTAGGGTAAGCAGTATCCCGGTGTCAGGGTTTTTCGACGATGTAAGACAAAAACGTAATTTTTATCTGTAATATCATTTAAAGTTTTTACTTTATTAACCTCGAGTGATAAAGGATATATTCATCTATTTCACACAAAAATATCAAGTGTTTCCTACAAAAATAGCGTTGATGACGTCGTATCGGCGAAACAGTGGCCGCTCGTAACATCCGGGTATTTTGTATGGGTTTTCGACGATGAGCCATACTTTTTGCTCCGCACTGTGAGGGAGTGTTGTGATCACGTGGCTTCCTATTTATATATTGCCTGTCACCAGCAGACAACTGATCTTACTGAATTTTCGCCTGCCATTTTTTTTTATAAAGGCAACTGATTTTGCATCTGAAGTGGTATTAACGATCTCTGGTATATAATATTGATGTTTGTTTGCTTTTGATATAACTTTACTTCCCGATTTCCATTGTCAATAAAACTTCTCACGACAGCGACTGGGCACCCGCCCTACCAGTGAAACTGTTTGTGCACTCCGATCGCACATGTACTCACCCGATATAGCGCGAGCAATGCAATCGTCGAAGTCACCAGAACGTCAAATTCAGCTCGTGTTGGGATACTATCTATCTAACACTTTTAGTGCTATTGACACATTACTGTGATATTTTGAGTTTGAGTTTTCACAGCTACCTAAAATGATTTGACAGCAAAGGTTCAGTTATACCAGTATCATCTTGAACTTCATGTTGTTTTTGACACATGTCTATTGCAGTATTTAGTGAAATTATGTATCCCTAGCAATGTCATGGTGTGCATTATGAGATGGATGTTATTAGCCTTCATGTCAGAACTAAAGATGTGTTCTACGATAGCAGTAAAAATATATGTTTTTAAAAAAAAAATACATTAAATAAATTATTAAATAGCATACGTACCATGCATAATAAATTTCGATCACATTATATTCAGTATCAAGCTATATGTGGATACTTACTACTGATTTTTATTTAGCATCATCTGAATAAGCTTTCATGATGACAGCTAGAAGTAGTCAATGTGAATGATCCAAACGGTCTATCACTGTGCAGTGTACAGGTAACTATCATGAACTGCACGTGCATTGACCTTTATGACCCAACACTGCCGCTGTTACAGGTCATTGGCTCCCTCCCTCTGCAAGCATTCTGCATTCTGCTGTGTATTTTGTTGACAGTTACATAGACAGATTCTTTAATACAAATGCATAAGATCGGTGATTTACAAGGTGATTAGGTTGTCTGACAAAACATCCACTTGCACAGTTTGAGATCGATTGGGTCATTGGATGAAGAGATATTTACAAAAAAACGGGTCCACATGCATTTCATGCCAAACTATAGTTGAATATAACGATTATAACAAGGCCTTAGACTGTATATTTAATTTTTTTATTTAATATAAAATTTCTTTGGAAAAGTTCATACTAATTTTGGCCAACAAATACTAATTTTTTAATCAGTTTTTCGCCAAAATACTAATTGGGCTAAATTAGGGTTGGCATCTCTGCATTGTTTTCAGGTAATACACATTTCAGTTCTTGAAAAAGATCACAACATGTGAAACCTTGACTAATAATGTGATGAAGATGAAGTTTTTGTCATGTTCTAGCTTGGCAGATCCACAATAAACACCATGTCATTTGAATGTCAACATGTGAAAACATTTCGTCGTTTGATACATTGTCTAAGTGAGGCGTCCATGTTTTGTTAAACTGCAGCGTCGTAACTGTGTTTGCACTGTAAAACCAGCATTAGTCGTGATTAATTCAAGCAGACACACACATAGGTGTTGCTACATAAGTGTAGTAATGTTGCATGCAATGTTAAAACTACTGCTGGTTAAACAATTTGCAGATCGATAATCAGAACTGAGTAATCAATCAATAATCGATTATAATCATAAACCCCACCTTAAAACTCATGTTGGAAATAACAGGACACAATCGTAACATTGTACAAACAAAACAGGCCCAGATTAATACTACAATCAAGACAATCAAATATACTTTGTTGAGACATGCAAGCGAGTGTGTTGTTCACATTGCAGTCAGCATCAGTTGGCATCAGACTTCAGTTGTTTATGTCTGGATTTAACAAACATAACAATAAGAAACATACTTTCTCAAGTATAATTTGATGTTTCATTATTTATGTATATCGATTAGTCTCACAAGCATATCTGATGCAAATGTGATCGATTGATTGACCAATTATTCACACAATCACACAACACTAGTTACAAAACAAATTACACATCACCTTGTTCTTGTGAAAACCCCCTTTCACCATGTACACAAGGATAAGTATTGTAAAATTTGAGTAAACAGACTGATTGCAGCTAATGATTTCAGGATATTTTCAAACTGAAGAAGAATTTTTCAGGGTTTTACGTGACACACAAATGTGCATCCAGTATGCACAAATGTAGGGAATGAATGCAGAAAAAGAATCACTGCACCCAGAGGGACTCACAATATTGTTCATTGTGCCCACAAGACATCTTTGACTTTGCTAAGTGTTTGGTTGTTTCTTTCAGAGCAGTTACGTGCATCATTTCACCCATCAGTCCAGATTATCATTGATTCATTCCAGGCTCTAAAGAAATGATCAAAACATACAGTTCTCCTCACTGTTACTTCACAGGAACCTCATTCTGCCTGCAAGGACCCTTAAAACTAATAATCAGGGTGAACATAAAGAATTTCCTGGATTTCATCTTCTTTTTATTCAATGATACAACGGTTTCGTGGGCCACACTGTTCATTAGTTTTACCTGAAGATGGGGCCAGAACAGGCCCCGAAATGTTGTATCCAAGAATAAAAAAAAAAGATGAAATCCAGGAAATTCTTTATGTTCATCAAATACCATCTTCTAAAATGCCAATCAAGGATCTAATAATCAGGGATCCCTGAGACCCCCATTTTAGTTAGTCGAGGTAAAACCCTGAATCTTTGATCGTGGAAGTTGTTTTTCAACACATTCTTCATCCAATGTTTTTGTTTCAGTGTATGGAGCGTGTGTTTCAAGTCCGATGGCAGTCAGTTGGTAGTAGCTGCGGGAAACCGTGTGTTAGTGTACGATGCCAACGATGGTTCAATGATCCAGCCTCTCAAAGGGCATAAGGAGACTGTGTACTGTGTAGCATATTCAAAAGATGGAAAACGCTTTGCCTCAGGATCAGCTGACAAGAGTGTCATCATCTGGACTAGTAAACTGGAGGGAATTCTCAAATACACGTAAGCAATATACATGAGGAGCCAGGCTTCCTTATTAGCATTAGGGGTGTAACGATTCATCAATAGTATCGATGTTTGCATCGTCACTACGCGATACGAGTGCATCGATACAAAACACATTTAGGCCTCATATCAGGATATTTATATCACAAGGGTCCATGATACATCGATGTATCGCCACAAGAGACGATATATCCCGATACTACTTAAATACTACTTAAAGTTGTAAGGAGTATTGCATTAGGATTAGGAAGGGAGTCTCTTTGAAATACTTCTAATTTTTAAAAACAAACTGAACCTTACAGGAATTTGTTTGTGTCTGTCATCTTTGTTACATGAACAAAGGAGTTGGTGTGTCAGTGAAAGATTGTGAACATTTTTCAATCTCTGTGAACTGTAAAAGACTTGTCTTTAAGTAATTGAAACATGTTTTAGTTGTTTGACAAATAACACCATTTATTAACAACTATGAACGATGTCTTAGCTTTGTTAAGAAAGAGAAGATAAACTTTAGAAAGTATACTTAAGAGTTTTTTTCAGTGATTCTGGTATAAATTACATTGAATTGCCTGTGAAAGCATTGGTGCAGAAACACAAATTTTTAAACTTATCCTATCTCACGACTTGCACTTCTCTCTCTTGCTTCGACTTTTAGCGGAATGACTGTAAACTTTTTTTCCATAGGCCTCCTTGTCCATTCGCCTGTGCACTCCATGCTGCTCTCCTTAATTAGCTTCCTAGTTCCTAATAAAGCTTGCAGCATGCTCCACTAATTGCCCACGTGACTACCTTGAATGATCATTCTCTTTCTTGTCGCACGACTGTGTGGACGTGCTGTATATTAGGGACATTATTTCACCCTAACATCATGGGGAAAACAGATAATCAGTCAAGGAAAAGGAAAGTTTGTGCTCAATGCAAGACGAATTATTCGTCCCTCGACCCTCACTCGTCTTGCAGTGACTGTATTGGACAATGTAACTGGAACAAACGATGTGGCAAGTGTAATTCACTAAAAGATGAGGATTTTAAGGCCTACCTTCGTGTTTGCTCCCGGAGAATCACCGATAGGGACAGGAAATAAACAGAATCTGATCCCACTCCTGCCAAGCATATCAAGTTACAGCGACAGAAAATTGTACCTTCATGCAAGAGTGCGACGTCTGTGGTTCAAGAGGATTTTATGGACACTTCATCAGATTCTTACTTATCTGAGGACGTTCGGCACCTATGACGTACGCATCAATCACCTCCTTCCATAGCGTCAGATCATTCGCAGGTGGTTGTGATCGATAATTCTTCGTTGCCTGTCCCATCTACACTACCAGGGGACCTTAGATCGACACTTATCATCATCCCCTCGACTATCTCAGTTTGTTTGGAGCCTGGCCAACCGCGTTTAACCAGCCAACTGTCTCCCCACAGTTCATTGAACTGGACGGAGCAGGCTACAACAGCGTCGCCGGGGGACGTTCATCATGAATCAACACTTCAGGTTTCGTCACCTAATAGCCGATCCAGATCGCCACATCATTCTAGATCACCACAACGATCTAGATCACCATCACAAGCCCAATCTAGATCACTGTGCCGATCAAGATCACCGGATCGATCCAGATCACAGTCACGATCCAGAGCATAACTACGATCCACATCACCTAATCAATCCAGATCACCTAACCGATCCAGATAACCAAACGGGTCAAGATCACAACTTCAAATCAGATCACCGGACAGATCCAGATCACCTAGCCGATCGTGATCACAACAACTCGGCGAATCAGATCACCGGACCTTACCGCATCCAGATCACAACATTGAATCAGATCACAATGGACCGATCTAACATCAAAGTCACCTAACCCAGATCCAGATCACAAACATCATACATCCAGAACACCGGAAGTACCTTCGAGTCGCCTAGATCACTCAATGGGAATCACTACCAATGGAAAGTCCTACCATTTGGAATTTCCACGCACTACCAATGGAAAGTTACCCGAATTACCCCCGTGGGTCTTTAAGCCCATAACGAGCTTCCTCCACTTTCAAGGGATCACCTTCGAAAGCTACATAGACGATTGCATCCAGGCTCAACAGGATCCGATCGTATTGCTTCACCAGCTACAGTTCACAACCATGCTGCTCAGACAGTTAGGGTGGCTGTTGAACATCGCGAAATCGGAACTAATACCAACTCAGAAACTCCAATTCATCAGAGCACTGTTCGACACTCGTCAGGGGATGATGTTCTTACCTCAAGACAGGTGGATAAAGATTCAGCAATGCATTCCTCCAGGACTGTCTCAGGCGAGAACCTTACGACAGTGGCAGGACCTACTGGGCCTTCTGACATCAGCTCAAGCCTTAACGTACAGAGGCCAGCTCCAACTTTGGCCGATACAGCGATTTCTACGCCCGTACCTTCAGGCCGACAACCCCAAGGAACTCATTTGCCTTCCAGAACCGCTTCGTCTAGTCATTCAATGGTGGCTCGACGAACGGAATGTTTGCCCCGGGAGTCTCTATGATGCCCTTTGCACCGACTCATCACCTATTCGTCGATGCATCCCTCATAGGTTGGGGAGCTCACTTCCTCGACCACCAAGTGGCCGGGCTGTGGTCATCTGACGAACGGGTACTTCATATAAACGAGCTGGAATTCAAGGCAGTAATTCAAGCCATCTCACATTGGGCAACAGAGCTTCAATCAACCAGTCTGTTGATCCAATCAGGCTATTCGACAGTTACAAATATCGTATCGCCATCACTGTGTCGTGATGATAATCGTCTCGCAGGTTCCTTGTCAATACTTTCGTGATATATTGTCTCTCCTCATTAACTGGTATCAGGATATATCGTCTCGCCACTTAGGCACCGATACACAGCTCTAATTAGCATAATCCAGACTGGTAATATTCAGCAAGGACTAGTGACATTTGCTTGTGATTTGTGAAAATTAAAGCATTTGCTCGTCATGTGTAGGCCCAGGATCGATTCCCTACATGGGTACAGTGTGTGGAGCCCATTGCTGGTGACCCTTGCCTTGACATTGTCTGAGTATATTTTTGGCATAAAACCATACTCTCACTCACTCTCACTCACATACTCACTCACATACTCACTGTACACTTCATTGTGAAGTAGTATTCACTTGAGAAAAAGGAAGAAGTCAGTATTTTCATTGTTACAAAATTTGGTTTGGGGATTTGTCTAAAATTAGAGGGACAAGAAATTGAGTTTTTTATTTCTATACTGGACTTTAGAACTGCCCACTGATAGTAAATGCTATTTTGTTTCAGACACAACGATGCTATCCAGTGTATGTCATACAATCCAGTGACTCACCAGCTTGCCAGTTGTGCAGTCAGTGACTTTGGTAAGGACTATAGAAATATGCACTTTTACAGCTTTATCCCTCAGTCATTAAAATTATCATATCAATTCCAATACATGCAAAATTGAGTTTTCAAGTTTCCTGTTAAGTAATTGAAACAGTCATCTGTTTCCAATTACCTTGCAGACCTGTAAAGGTCCAGGTTAGGATTGGCCTTCAAAAACCCATGCTTATCGTAAGAGGCGATCGGGTGATCAGGCTTGCTGACTTGGTTGACACATGTCATCGTAACCCAATTGCTTAGATCAATGCTCATGGTGTTGATCACTGGATTGTCTGATCCAGACTCGATTATTTACAGACCGCCGCCATATAGCTGGATTATTGCTGAGTGCGGTGTTAAACAAACCAACCAACCAACCAGGACCAATTTTTAACCGCATGCCTAGCTAAACCCGCTTTGTAACTTTACTCTAAAAATTAGTATGATGAGATTTCTTTCCTTCTAGTTACATGGTATTTTCACATCTACCAGCACATTTAAACATTTAGAACCTTCTGGAATGATCAGTAACAACCTTGAGCTGTTGTACTCGGAGGTTTATTGCACACACTGTACACATGTGTATGTTTTCAGGTTTGTGGTCCCCGGAGCAGAAATCTGTGTCCAAGCATAAAGTGAGCAGTCGCGTCACCTGCTGCAGCTGGACAAATGATGGTCAATACCTCGCCCTGGGCTTATATAATGGCCTGGTCAGCATCAGGAATAAGGTAGGTATTTGTTAGTCACTGACCAAACAGTAGCAGATGAGGAGCACGGAGTGGTTTCCCCGGGATCAGAATCATGAAAAGTAGGTCTGTTTACTATTAGCATTATGGTTCATTATGAAACCTTGCCCAGTGACCTTGCTGCCAAACAATTTTAGTGCTGAGATGATCGTAACTCCCGTACCTTGACATAGACTTACGACTGTCATAACACTAAGGTTGTTTTGTACAAGGGCGGGGCGGTGGGGTAGCCTAGTGGTTAAAGCGTTGGCTCTTCACGCCGAAGACCCGGGTTCGAATCCCCACATGGGTACAATTTGTGAAGCCCATTTCTGATGTCCCCCGCCGTGATGTTGCTGGAATATTGCTAAAAGCAGCGTAAAACCAAATTCAGTCAGTCAGTTGTACAAGGGCATCCTGGTCGTCATCAGTTGGGCACTGACTGACTTAGTCACATCCATGATTTGAACAGATTGCTGTTTTACATACTGAATTTAGCAAATGGTCTGGTTTCTTCCATTTGAAATGCTATCATGCTGGGTCAAATATATAGAAGTATTGAGGTCTGGACATCATAAAGTTAGAGTTGGTTTTCACCAACCCTTGGTTATTGTAAGAGGCGACTAACGGGATCGGGTGGTCAGGCTTGCTGACTTCGTCGACACTAGGGCTGCAACGAATACACTATGTGGTGAATATGATACGTATCATGAATATTGGGTTACGAATACGAATAATTATTCACGAATACAATATTGTAGTTAAGTGATTGATGTAGATTATGGAACGCCCATGTTGACAGTTTTGATTTGTCACAGCAATAACCAGTCATCTCATGACACTCAAATTTGGTATGTAATAGTTATAATTGACAGTACCGTGCACGGCCTTGGCAAACTAACCCTACTTGGGCTACTGCAAGGCTCGTACATATTCCATTACTGCATATCTCACTTTCAAAAAGTACACAAGGGTTCAAGTAAAACATGCTCCCTTAAAAAAACGTAAATATTCGTTAATATTCGGTTCTGGTGACCACGAATAACGAATTGAATTCATGAAGGGCTACGGTTCAATTCACCGAATATGCGAGTGAATCGTTACAGCCTTAGTTGACACGTCATCATATCCCAACTCTGCAGATTGATGCTCATGCTGTTGATCACTGGATTGTCTGATCTAGACTCAATAATATACAGACCACCGACATATAGTTGGAATATTGCTGAGTGAGGTGTTAAACAACAAACAAACAAATAGAGTGTGTTCTGATTCTGCATGTATTGTTTGCAGGGAGGAGAGGAAAAGGTGAAGATTGAAAGACCCGGAGCTAACATTGCCCCAGTGTTTTCTCTGTCGTGGAACCCCAGCAGGTAGGTCACTGACTCTATCACTGGAGGATGGGGACTCTTGACTTCTTCACTTTGAGCAAGATTAAAGACTTAAGTCTACATACTCAGTCAGAAACTCACAGGGGCGGTGGGATAGCCTAGTGGTTAAAGTATTCACTCGTCATGAAGACCCTGTTTCGATTCCCCACAAGGTTACAATGTAAAAACCCATTTCTGGGGTACCCTACCTAGTGTTGGGAATTGGTTGAAATCTCACCTTCTTTTTCATAGAGATCGTCTTGGGGTACATATATGCATTTTCTGTGGCTGAAAATGTCATGTGACAGTTGTATCAATGTTTTGGACCTGTGAAGATCCGGGGTAGAATAGGTCTTCAGCAACCCATGCTTGCCACAAAAGGCGACTATGCTTGTCGTAAGATGCGACTATTGGGATCGGGTGGTCAGGCTCTCTGACTTGGTTGACACATGTCATCGGTTCCCAATTGCGCAGATCGATGCTAATGCTGCTGATCACTGGATTGTCTGGTTCAGGAATATTGGAATATTGCTGAGTGTGGCGTAAAACTAAACTCACTCACTCACTGTATCAATGTTTTAATAAAATATCTGGCCAACCAGGTATCATCATTCCTTCTGCTGTCACGCATTGTGTGCACACATGCTTGGCTAGTGCTGACCAACGTAGATGCGTACTCGGACTATGTCTGAGACTTCAACTACTGTATGTATGGTCTTTTTTCGTTCATTAGAATGTTCTTTTGACTTTGCAGTTAGTTATTTCTCATTTATGTGACTTTTGTATTAAAATTTCCGCTAGCTTTCCTGTGGTTTAGGTACGTGTTACTATTCCATGGTGGGAAGTTTGGCGTGCCACATGGTTGAAATATTGCTTTATTAAACAATTATTTCATGTCGTGTCGTCGTATTCACATATTTTCAATGTTTTATACGTGTATTTTGCTGTTGTTTTGGCCGTTAGCTACATGCGTTGCGTGTTTGCTTTCAGGCGTTTACAGCGTGTGTTGCCTGTGGGCAACGGATACCGCCTTCAGATAAGCCTGACAAGTAAAGTATCTTCCCAATTTGATATGTCTTTAATTCAGCAATTATTCCAACAGCATATGGACTCGGTGAAGTTCCTCGTTCACGAGTCGGTTGGAAGAATCTGGCGGGAGTTTCTCGCTGGCTCTGATCGGGGGCGGAGAGTTCGGGGGTTGGGTTGCCGGGCTCGGCTTGATCCATTGGCCTCGAGGCTTCTGTTGATCCGCTGCCGTTGGCTTCGGGTTCGGAAGCCTCATCCACCCCGGAGAGGGAGGGTTCGCACCAGTTCTGTCTGGACAGCCTCCTCCTCCTCGGGACCGGGGTCCTGGCATGCGGTCGGTGGCCGGAGCGGAGAGCGTCTCGGGCTCTTCTTCCCCTCGTCGTGTGGCTTGGCCTTCCACCGGGTCGGGGTTCGGGTCTTCTCTTCGAGAGGATCCGGATTCTGGCTCGGGCTCGGGCGCTGAGTCCATGGAAGTTGGGGAGGATGAGGAGTCCGAGGGCTCTTTTGCTTCTCGTCAGCTTTACGAGAGGTACGTCAGTGCAGTGCGCTACTGCTAACCCAAGCTGCGATGCCGACTAGCTGCCAGGACTCTTCTGGTTTCTGCCTGCCGGGTGAGGCGTTTGCTCCTTGGCAGCCTTCACAGACGCAGCTCCGCGTTCTGCCCTCACTGATTCAGGATGTTGTGGACCCGTTGCTAGCTGGCTCTAGGCTCCCGGTTCGATTTGCCCGAACCGTGAAGCGGTATCAGCTGGGCGATGAGTCCCTCTTCCTGGTTCAGGTGGTGGACGAATGCGTGTTTACCTCGGTCGCCCTCGGGGTAGGCTCAGGTTCAGCTTCCGCTGCCAGCCAAGGGCGTTTGGTTCCACCTTTTGCCCAGTCAGGTGCCCCTCTGCGGCAGTCATACCAAACCTACGAGGAGGTTTATCGGAATGCTACGCAACAGATTCGGTGTACCTTTCCTCGATTCAGAGGTCGGCGGAGGCGGGCACAGGTGACGTTTCACCTCATGTTGTCCTCCTTCGCCTTCGGGTGTCTTGCCCCAGCGCTCCAATGGTTCCGTCCGCTTTGCAGAAGTAGGAGGAGGAGCCGTCCCGCCAAGGGTAAGGGGAAGGAGCAGACTTCTTCAAAAGTCCTCAATAGAGCGCATACCACCGGGCGAGGGACAGGCGGTACTTCCTTGTTCCTTGTTCCGAAGAAAGACAGCGGGTTCCGTCCCAGTCTCAACTTCAAGGGGTTGAATCGCATGTTACAGGTTCCATCTTTCAAGATGGAGACACTTCGCTCAGTGATCTTCTCTGTTCAGCCCGGTGTCTGGCTCAAGGCGATCGATCCCAAGGATGCGTATCTGCGTGCCTATTCATCCCACGTTCAATTAGTACCTCCGGTTCTATTACGACGGGATGCATTATCAGTTCCGAGTGCTCCCCTTCGGCATATCTACTGCCCCCAGGGTGTTCACCAAGCTCATGTTACAGTGTTTCCGTTCTCCGGTATATACCTGAAAATTGCTGTAAAAATTCGTTAGGGACCGGTAAATTGAAAGCCAGCCGGACACTGTGTCCGGTAAATAATCATGTATTAAAATTAAAAAATCATGGGTAAGCGAATCTTGGCTGTGCTTTCATGGTCACAAAAAATTGTTATGTTTTGGAAATACCCAGGCTAAAAATAACTTTAAAATGAGTACTTTAGGTCGCCAGACACAGTGTCAGATAAATAATTAAATCAGCGGAAACACTGTGTTAGTGCCGGCTACCCTCACGCGGTCGCAAGGTTGGGATTGTCACCCTTACCTCGACGACTGGGAGCTGCGCACACTAACTCAGCCAGCGAGTCTAGATTCTACTCACGGTGATAGACATTCTAGTTCGACTAGGGTGGATCATTAACCTCAAGAAATCTGACCTGGTACCCACCCAGGACTTGGTTTTTCTCGGGGCACGGTTCACAACTCAACAAGGTCTTGTGTCTCTGTCGCCCGACTGGATCACCAGAGTACGGGAGATGGGCTTTGGGGGGGGGGAGGTGTTCTTGGCAGTCTGTCGGTGTCCGGACGCTGGTCCGATGCCGAAACCAGTCTTCACATCAATGTCTTTGAACTGGGAGCTGTGCGGTTGGTTTTCGAGCGCTTCCTGGAGCATGTTCACAAGGCCAGGTGGTTCGTCTTCAATTAGACAACCATACGGCCATCCTGAAGCAAGGCGGCACAGTGTCCCTAGCGCTCCTTCGGGAAATGGAATTTCTCCTCTGGTGCGACTGTCAAGTGATTCCTGTCTATCTCTCAGGGCTAGAGAACGTGCGAGCAGACGCACTCTCTCGCCGGATCCTGGCCCCACACAAATGGATGCTCGATCGGCAGATATTCGGCAGTTGTACAGGTCGTTCTAGGTGGATCTGTTTGCGTCCGGCTGGACGAATCAGATACCCATGTTCTGCTCTCGAATTACGGACCAGAGGGTGTTAGCTTCCGAGGCCTTCCTGCTGGATTGGATGGGCAAGGTGCTGTAGGCGTTTCCGCCACTACCACTCATTTCCCAGGTCCTTTCCCAGCTGTCCACCCAGCCAGCTAGGCTACTTGTGCTTCTGGCACTGCTTTGGCCGTCACAGAGCTGGTTTCCGGTAATTCTCAGGTTTCTGGCTCAACCTCATGTTCTATTACCCGTATATTCTCACCCCAACGGCAACACCCCAATCCACGGATTCAGTGGGTGGCTTGGCCTCTGTCAGGTCTAGCCTCGAGGCACGCGGAATTCCTGCAGCAGTTGCAGACACAATTCTGGCTTCGAGGCGGGTTTCGACAAACGTTCAGTGGTATTCAGATAGGGAAATTGCAGATTCCTTTTCTGCGGATTAAGTCAGAGTTTTGGAGTTTCTGCAGTCTCATTTGGAAGAAGGTTTGGCGGCTTTGACCATTCGTGGCTACTGCACTGCTATTTCCACCTTTCAAACCCCTGTCGATGGTCCTCTTCTTGGGTAGCACCCTCTTATGCAGCGCTTCCTATCTGGCATGGATCGGGTTCGACCTGCTCACAGGCAGACCAGCCCACCTCGGGGTTTGTCAATTGTGCTAGATTGGCTGTCCAGTCCTACTTTCTCACGTCTATCGGCTATTTCCATTCAGCTGTTAACATGGAAGGCCGTTTTTCTGGTGGCGGTGACATCTGGGAGAAGGGTCAGTGATTTACATGCCATGTTTGCAGACCCTGGCACTGTTCCATCCAGATCGCATCAGTATTCGCAACTCGGATAGTTACCGTCCGAAGATCGATCACGCTTTCCATGTGACAGCTCCTATCGAACTTCCTACACTCACCCAGCCTTCCACATTGCGGACCTCTGCAACGTGCACTCACCCGTTGGACGTCCGTAAGACCCTCAAGGTCTGTTCTGCTGTTACGGTGGCAGGAAGGCTGAGGCTGGCTTGTGCCGGGCATTTGTGCTGCATATCAGGCCAAGAGCAAGCCTCCCCCTGAGTGGTTGAAGGCTTACCCGGTCAGGGAAGTAACCACGAAGAAATTTGCTCTGCCGCTAATTAGCGCCAGACCAGCACATTTATACGGCACTATCAGCTTGATACATTCCCGTGATCAAGCACGCTTTGGCCATTCTGTTCTCTCCGGTGGACAGTGTCCTGCCACCATGACTGGTTTTATAGAGATGCTGCGTTCAATTGTTGTTTTAATTGACATATCCGCTGTTGATTTTTCGACAACTTTCACTTTCTCAGTTGAGATAATCGGTTGTGAGTTTTGGTTTCCACCTTACGGGGCACTCAACAGACTTTGCTAAGTGGGCGGGGTTTTATGTTTACACTTTGTGATGTGTTTTAATGCTTAGCATGTTGAGGTCGGTCCTCAGTACGTTTCCTCCCTGTCGGGTCACCTGCCATAATGCCTCTCGCGTAAGCTTCAGGACACGTGACAGGTGAGTGTTGTGGCATAAGTAACTTTTTGTTTACGTATCGCTATTTATGTGTACTGTGTCTGAATTCCCTCCTCCCTTGCCTCCGGTCTTTGGGAGTTAATGCATATATGTACCCCAAGGACGATCTCTATGAATAAGAATTAGATAAACCTGTAGAGGTTTCCAATTCTTTGAAGAGAATCGTCCTTGGGGTAGGGCCGCCCACCTCCCCACAATTCTGTTCACTGATTTATTCAGCAGAAGGAATGATGATACGGGGCAAGGTGCTTACCTGGTTAGCCACGCATGCGTGGCAGGGAGGTAACTCCCCGTGGTGGGGGCCGTATAGTAAATGAAAAGGCTTTTTTATTTATTGTACCATATTTTATTTAAACATTGATACAACTGTCACATGACATTTTCAGACACAGAAAATGCATGTACCCCAAGGATGATTCTCTTCAAAGAATTTGAAACCTCTACAGGTTTATCTAAATTGATGATTGGTTCATTACCAATGAGAAATCATCAACAAAAATTGGTTAGTGCCATTTTTCAGATTTTCCTATTCAGGTTGTTATTGCAGATAAGTATTACATGGTTCAATGTTGTTTTTTGGTTTATTTAGAAAATGTGCAAATTGCATTTGCAAACTTCACGTCCAATGTACAATGATGCAACATGCTAATTTAAAGTGCTGACTTATATAGCATGAGCATAAACTTCCTGGGGTCTTCAAGAAAAATTCAGTCACGACTTTTCAGAAAGTGAAGTGAGTTTTCTAAGAATTAAACACATTTTCAGGCCCTGACAACTTCTAATATATGTTCGCTCGTCAAGTGTTTCAAACACTCAAAACAGTCGTTCCATAATCGTTTGTGTTTGATTATGAGAAAATGTGATCGATAGCTTGTTCGTTTGGTCACTGCGACCAATCTTAGATTATTTCAATTAATTGGAACACCACTACCCCCACCATGATATTGCTGGAATATTGCTATAACTGACGTAAAACTATACTCACTCACTGTACAGATGCATTGAAACTTTCATGGTAATTCCTTCCGATTGTAATGGACCTGGTTGTTCTTGTGATGTCTCATTGATAGATGACCCTGTGACATTTGTTAAACATCAGATTAATGTATGTGTTTTCAGCTGGGTCTATTTTCAGGAATTATATGGACATTGATATTGAATACATGAACATAAAAGAAAAAGTGTTGATGTATTTTAGCTGAATTGTCAAACCAAGTACGTTTGTGTGATGTTTTGTTCCAGAGATGAGGCCTATGATGTTCTAGCTATAGCTGACTGGGGACAGAGGCTGTCGTTTTATCAGCTGTCTGGCAAACAGGTCAGTTCTCCGCTTTACAGAATGAATAAAATCTTCTCTTATACGGGGGCGGTGGGGTAGCCTAGTGGTTAACGCGTTGGCTCGTCACGCCGAAGACCCGGGTTCGATTCCCCACACATGGGCACAATGTGTTAAGCCCATTTCTGGTGTAAATATCAGTGATGGGAAGAATTATTGGTGTTGATTATCCATTTGTAAGTTGTGTTGTTGATAATATTTTACATAAACAATTGCATGGTCCCTCCATTGTATATGGCCTGTTGATTGAATGTCTCTGTTTCAGATTGGCAAGGACCGCACCCTAGGCTATGACCCCACTTGTGTCAGCTGGTTCTCCAAAGGGGAGTATGTGGTGGTTGGGGGGTCAAGCAAACAGTGCTGTCTTCACACCAAGGAGGGGGTCAAGCTTGGGGTCATTGGAGATCAGACATCATGGGTCTGGTGTGCTGCTGTCCGACCTGACTCTAATTATGTTGTAAGTTGAAGTCACACACACACATAGTAACATCAAGGATTTAAGCACCATGTTCCAGGTTGTTGAATGTTGGGGGCAGTGGGGTAGCCTCGTGGTTAAAACATTCGCTCATCACATCAAAGAGGGCGGTGGGGTAGCCTAGTGGTTAAAGCGTTGGCTCGTCACGCCGAAAACCCGGGTTTGAATCCCCACATGGGTACAATGTGAAGCCCATTTCTGGTGCCCCCCACCATGATGTTGCCGGAATATTGCTAAAAGCGGCGTAAAACCAAACTCAGTCAGTCAGTCAGTCATCACATCAAAGATGCTGTTTCGATTCCCCATGTGTGTACAATGTGTGAAGCTCATTTCTGGTGTTCCTCGTCGTGATATTGCTGGAATATTGCTAAAAAGTGGTGTAAGACTAAACTCACTCACTGTTAGCTGTCAGGATGCATCTATAGCCTGTGTGTAACAATGTACACAGGACCAGTATCCTGCAACAAGTTCTTGTCCTGTGTTAAACTTACCTGCCTTGATGTAACTGAAATATTATTCAAACAACATTAGCCTACTACCATTGTTATCTAAATAGTGTGGCGCGGTGGGGTAGCCGAAGACCCACACATGGGTATAATGTGTGGTGCCCATTTCTGGTGTCACCCGCCATGATATTGCTGGAGTATTGCTAAGAGCAGCATAAAACTAAACTCACTCACTAAGCTGTGCAGTTTGCAATGCAGAGTTGCATCCCTTTGTAAAGCCAGAAACTAGACTAACTGACTGAGTTTGGTTTTACGCCGCTTTTAGCAAAATTCCAGCAACATCACGGCGGGGGACACCAGAAATGGGCTTCACACATTGTACCCATGTGGGGATTCGAACCCGGGTCTTCGGCGTGACGAGCCAACGCTTTAACCACTAGGCTACCCCACTGCCCCCCAGAAACTAGAGACCATGGATGTTGAATGAATGTTGATGTTTTTTGATGGCATCATTCCCATGTTCATGGAATCCACCAGTGGTAAATTCTGAGACCTGCATCACACTGGATACATTGAAATAACCAAATACGTTTCAAAACAACATTAAACCCACCTTACTATCTCATTGACGCTACTGTGAATGTTCCTGTTGCAGGTTGTTGGCTGTCAGGATGGTACTATTGCCTACTATCAGCTCATCTTCAGCACTGTGCATGGCCTGTACAAGGACAGGTATGCCTACAGAGACAACATGACCGATGTCATCATCCAGCACCTCATCACTGACCAGAAAGGTGAGGCAACCAGTAACACTTGCTGAAGTCACAAAGTCACAGGGGCGGTGGGGTAGCCTAGTGGTTAAAGCATCTGCTCATTGCACTGAAGACCCAGGTTCAAGTCCCCACATGGGTACAATGTGTCAAGCCCATGTCTGGTGTCCCCTGATGTGATATTGCTGGAATATTGCTAAAAGCGGTATAAAACCATACTCACCGACTCACTGACTGATTGGGAGAAAACTTGTGTACAGCTGATCGGCAAACATTTTGCATTTTTTATTAGTTACTGGTGCTACTTTCATTTTCTGGGCTTCATTTTTTAAATTCAATACTACTGATCTCCATCATGAGGGAATACCAAGTTGACTAGGTCCTCCGCCACCTCGGAAGAAGTGACCAAATGTATCAAGTGGTCAGTTTAAATCGATTATATGATATCAATCTCTATTTCATCAGTCACCTACCATGATATAGCTGGAATATTGTCAGTACCAGCGTAATATGCTAATTCTATTGTGAGCTCCTTTTTTAGTCTACTTCTCTAATTTCAGTCCGATCAAGTGTCGTGACCTTGTGAAGAAGATTGCCATCTATAGACACAGACTGGCTGTAGGTGTACAAGATTTGGATAGACAATAATGATGACCAAGATAAATGCTGTGTTACTGTTACTAATTTGGCTAGGGTGTGAAGTGTTCTGAACAAGCTTGCTTTGTCCTAATTCTTTGATTCTCATGAGCGGACATTGGGTAAACCCCATATCTCTCAATCAGACAATCTTACATGACAGGAGCTATTTGTTTTCATCACTCTCATTGTGCAACTTTAGCCACTGATTGAGAGGATATCTCTACTAAAATTCTGTTCAGTCAACTGAATAATGGCTGAATAATGGCTTTTCACCCAATAAAGCTGAACTCTGCTAAATATGATGCCATGTCTTGGATAGTAGTTTTAAAAGTGTTTGACAGAGACCGTACTCTTATGAAAACTGTTTTGCACCATGGAATGCTTTTCATTATAGATGAGGATTGGATGGTCACAATGTGTGACTGTTCTTTACTGTATAAAGTCCTGGTTATATGGCCCACAAATGTTTACTTGCTGACTGCCTTGTAACAATTTGAGTATTGTTTACTGTAGTATCTAGCAACATCACAATGTCTGATTAAGAGAAATTCCCATAGCTTTAGTAAGTGAGTTAACATTCAACTGTGACTTCAGGTTCAGCTACCAGACCGGATCGTCATCTATGAGCTGTATACGGACGACTCAGCAGACATGCACTATCGTGTCAAGGAGAAGATCAACAAAAAGTTGGACTGTAACCTGCTGGTGGTGTGCTCTCAGAATATCATCCTGTGTCAGGTATGTCTATGTAACCATAGTGACCTCTTGGCCGTGTGCTCACAGAACTAGTGTTGGGAATCGACCTCTAAAACCATAATCGATTATCGATGTCTTCTGTCGATCATATTATCGATAAATGATCGAGTACAAGTATGGATTTATGACCACAAGACCAGCTGGATAAGACGACTCCTACAAGATCGCTTGTAATAAAGATCTGTCATATAACATGAGATCGTAACCCATTCTTCTTAGAAATGAATTAAAAAACACTTTGACAAAAGGATATTGAAAATCATGGAGTTTTGGACAATAAATATGAATTTAGATCACACCTTTTACAGCAAAACGATACGTCCGTCAACTATTTTTGTGTGTGAAAATTGAGAAACGTTGAACTACGTGTCGACTTCGATGCAGAAATCAGAATGGAACGGCTATAGATCTAAGAGTAAATGTGACAAATATCAATAAAGCTATCCATTACCAACCTTGTTCGTGAATTCGACGAGAATTGAGCCTTTCGCAAATACAAAATGTTTCTCAAAGCGAACACGTACGTGTGCGGGAGAGCAGGCATTTTGTTGACAGTCTGCTCAGCCAATCAAATCGCTTGTTTTGATCACGTGTTATATTTCTCAGGAGTACTTGTTCTTTTTAAAGCCATGTTTTTCATAACATACTACATTTACGAAACCTACCTGCACAAGCAAGCTATAAATAGACTTGACTTCCTGTATTACGGCTGCGATTGCGAGCCTACATGGAGGTATTTTCGATTCTTGCATGTACACCAATCGTTTGTTATTCTTGAAGATAGCATTCAGTGTTATTGATTGATTTTTTTTTTAATCGATAATCGAAGTTTGTCTAACAATCAATAAACCGATTATTTGATCGATTGGTGCACCACTACACAGAACATCATCCTCTGTGAGGTACAGTGTAACCATGGTAACCTGCTGGTTGAGCGCTCACAGAACATGATCCTGTCGGGTATGTCAGTGTAACCATGGTAACCCGGTGGTGGTGTGCTTTCAGAACATCATCCTCTGGCAGGTATGTCAGTGTAACCATGGTAACCTGCTGATAGTCCAACTCGGTTATTTGCAGGCCACCATCATATGGCTTAGTGTAGCTGTTTTTCAACACTAGTGACCTCTTCCTCACTCTTAGATTTTGCTGTATGTGTGTTCCAGGAGAAGAAGCTGCAGTGTCTCTCCTTCCAGGGGGTGAAGGAGAAGGAGTGGACGATGGAGTCCCTCATCAGGTACATCAAGGTCATCGGGGGACCCTCAGGCAGGGAGGGGCTGCTCGTCGGACTCAAGAATGGACAGGTCAGTCTCTTGGACAAGGGAGACTTCAAATCTTCCTGATTTACCTTTGATCTGAAAGTCTTCAACTTCATCCTCTTTTCAGAATATTAGCAAAGTTTCTTTTGGTCAAATTACATCAGTGTCATTATACATGTACTGAGACTGAGATCTACTGAAAATGATGCCCCAATTCAAGTTTGGTCTTGTCTCTGGCATTTGTTCCTATATCAGAATGATTTCACACTTAATCCATTGGTATTACATGGGGACTATTCTCTTGCAAATAGCCAGCCTCTGCAAGTCCCATTCAAGTCTTTAAGACATGATTGTGTCAGTGTGGAAATTCTAAGTATGAAATGCATAACAATTCGACATTATTACCTTCCACAATTACACAGGGAGAACATTACTAAGGCACTAACTATACCCTTTACTGAAAATAGATAACAGAACATGGAACACAGCACGGCTTTGATTATCAGTCCTAAGGACCAACTGTTTCAGTGATGGATGGTTTGGTGTCGGCTAACTTTCTGAAATACTGGCTGTGTTTCAGATCATGAAGATCTTCGTGGACAATCCGTTCCCCATCCAGCTGCTGAAGCAGTCGACCTCGGTGAGATGTCTGGACCTCAGCTGCAGCCGTGCCAGATTGGCTGTCGTGGATGAGAACAACACCTGTCTTGTGTATGACCTCGGTTCAAAGGAACTTCTCTTCCAGGTAACTCCTGTCTCCATGTACTTAGCCTAGTTGTCATGATGGCCGTAGGTTTGAATGCCAGATTCGGTCTGATACCGCTTCTTAGTTGTCAGTTAGCCCAGTGATTAAAGCGTTTGCGTGTCACACTGAAGACCCAGGTTTGATTCCCCACATGGATAGAATGTGTAAAGCCCATTTCTGGTGTTCCTGTCGTGATACTGCTGGAATATTGCTAAAAGCAGCATATAACTAAGCTCACTCACTCACTCACTCACCTATACCTATGGCCATGGTTTTCACCAAATGTTTTCTTTGTTAACTATTTGTGATATAATTTTGGTTGAATACTTCAGTAATTGTTTTACAGTTGAACTTGCTTTTCATTAATTGAGTCTCACTGTCGATATCGTTATAGGTGTTCAGATGTCAGAGGTGTTATAGGTGTTATAGGTGTTCAGATGTCAGAGGTGCATCTTCATCTGTGCTGTTGTTTATTTCAGGAACCAAATGCCAACAGTGTAGCATGGAACACACACTACGAGGACATGTTGTGTTTCTCTGGCAACGGCATGCTCAACATCAAGGCCAGCAACTTCCCCTTGCATCAGCAGAAGCTGCAGGTCAGCATCTACGCCATCCACAACTAGAAAGGGTGTTACATCTCTGTTAGGATAAGCCATCATAGCTTTGTTCTATTTACTCTTCCGAAAGAGAATCTGTCATAGATTCAATTTCAAAATGGCTGCCTTGTATGAGTGAGCACATGTTATGTGAAAAGAAAAGAAGGAGTCTACAATAATTTCGAACGCTGTAACAAATGAACACTCAGCTTGAAATTAAGTTTTGTGATGGAGATCGTTATGGTTTCCAGGCACAAGTGAAATATACAAGTAATTTCATTCATGAAAGAACAGTCCCATTCTAAGAGTCACAAAACATTGCTATGGTGGCAAATCAGTCTGGGTTTTTATCAAAACAGAATGGAGATACGATACAGTCAATGTGACAATACTGTGCTTACAACCCCCACAGCAACATGCTCTCATTCGTAATATACAATGGTCTCTATTGAACAGTCCTATGCTGTATGTTTCAGGGTTTTGTGGTGGGGTTCAGTGGCTCGAAGATATTCTGCCTCCATGTGTACGCAATGTCTTCGGTAGATGTCCCCCAGTCTGCTCCCATGTACCAGTATCTCGAGAAGAAGATGTTCAAGTGAGTATACAGTTATTTGCAGACAATAATAACGAGGGCCTGTCTGTACTGCACAGTATCCATGTCCTAAGACATTCTCCTTGTTTTCCCTGTCAATGGATCTGTTGGCATACAGATTCCGTTCTCATCTCCCTGGGGAGTATACAACCCAAGTTTCCGTTTTAGTTCTAGAAAGCATTGCATTCACATTCCCTTGGCATCCAACTGAATTTGCCTTGTTACACTTTTCGTAGCTTGTGAGTCAGCATGGAAGCAAAACTGAAACCCTTAAGGAATGACAGCTTCTCAGTGGGTCACAAATTCATCTGCTCTCCACTGCCAGTGCTGCTAAGCCTTAGCTGATTTGTTACCTGTGCAATGTCAAGGTGATACCATGCACCATGCACCATGCACCATGTCCCTTGCTTCTGTTAGCAGGAGTGGAAAGTATCAGCTGTCACCTTGCTGTTGAATTACTATGGTGTGATTCACTAATACATTGCAAACCTTTGGTTTATTCATTCAATATGATACTTGATAGCTTCAGTAGAGTATTGATTTGGTAGCTTTATGCAGAATTCAATACCTTACAGGCTAGAGACAGCACTGGTAACAAGGAATATTTGTTCATCATGGAGATATTTACATCAAGTATAATTATAGTTCCCACTAAATAACAATAGCTTAGAATCTTTCCTGTTTGCCTTTTTATTGTACCCATTTAGTAGTTCAAGTGTCAATCTGATTGTTTGTGAAAAACAGAATTGCAGACTGGGTTAATGCATGACTTTTCCTTTGTTCCTTATGAGCTGAGCTGTCACTAGCCTAAAAGGGTTACCACACTGTCTGTCTGTACAGGGATGCCTACCGGGTAGCGTGTCTAGGGGTCACTGAAGGTGACTGGGAGGCTCTGGCCCATGATGCTCTTGAAGGTCTGGACTTCGACACTGCCAAGAAAGCCTTCATCAGGATACGAGATCTGAGATACCTGGAGCTCATTCACAACATTGAGGTAGAAAATTATTATCAAAACAAAACCATAGGCCTTGAATTGGCATTGTTTCGTAGCATAGGTGTTATGATTGAATTTAAAAAGGGCTTTAAAATTCTAAATCAAACTATCGACAAATGCCTTGAATTGGGAGTCTTTCCTAGCAAAGGTCTTATGATTGACTAAGTGATTAGAATTCAGTACAATATCTTGAACTCTATTTATGCATGAACTTAAACATCAATCTCACCCTCTTGTTCTCTCAGGAGCGGAAGAAGCGAGGCGAGACTGACAACATGGTGTTTATGGCTGATGTGTACGGCTACCAGGGCAAGTTTGGAGACGCCTCCAAGTTATACAAGAAGTCAGGCCAGGAACAAAAGGCTCTGAGCATGTACACCGACCTCCGCATGTTTGACCAGGCGAAGGTAGGTCACTCTAATTCACTAGTGTCACTCACCTAAACACTTTTAATGGCTTTTTGTGGGCAGTGGAATAGTCTTGTGGTTAAAGCGTTTGCTCGTCCCGACGTAGACCCTGGTTCTGTTCCCCACACATGTGTGAAGCCCATTTCTGCCGTTACCCGCAGTGATATTTCTGGAATATTTCTTAAATATTTTTACTCACTTAATCACTCAATGACTATTTGAAGAGAAGGACATCATATATCCACAAGACTGAGGTTCATAAATGTATAAAAAAACAGCAATACACAAACCCTAACACTGAATACTTATGAACTCTTGGGAATTCTTGACCAGATACAGAACCATTGTTAATGATGCCTCAGGCACTTCTATCTTGTCCATTATTTGTGCATTCATTGACATAATGTCCATGTTATTGACTTCATGACTTTATAGAATGCATTGGCAGCAATCCATGTATGTTGGATTGATGACTGTGTTTTGGTTGCAGGAGTACATCGGGTCTGGAGACCCCCATGACAAGAAGCTCCTCATCACCAAGCAGGCTGACTGGGCCAAAAGCAGTAACGAGCCCAAGGCGGCAGCTGAGATGTACATTAGCGCTGGGGAGAATCTCAAGGCTATTGAAATCATCGGGGAACATGGATGGGCAGATATGTAAGGAAAAATATGCTGACTTTTTGTTTCGTGACTGTGTTTGTTGTCTACTGTTCTCTGAGCAACATTCCACATATGTGTTTCTGCTTGGTAAATAACCTAGTGGTTGATATTGTGATATCAGACAAATCAGTGGTTGATATTGTGATATCAGACAAGCCAGTGGTTGATATTGTGATATCAGACAAGCCAGTGGTTGATCTTTTGATATCAGACAAGCCAGTGGTTGATGTTGTGATATCAGACAAGCCAGTGGTTGATGTTGTGATATCAGACAAACCAGTGGTTGATGTTGTGATATCAGACAAGCCAGTGGTTGATGTTGTGATATCAGATAAGCCAGTGGTTGATGTTGTGATATCAGACAAACCAGTGGTTGATGTTGTGATATCAGACAAGCCAGTGGTTGATCTTTTGATATCAGACAAGCCAGTGGTTGATGTTGTGATATCAGACAAGCCAGTGGTTGATGTTGTGATATCAGACAAACCAGTGGTTGATGTTGTGATATCAGACAAGCCAGTGGTTGATGTTGTGATATCAGAGAAGCCAGTGGTTGATATTGTGATATCAGACAAACCAGTGGTTGATATTGTGATATCAGACAAACCAGTGGTTGATATTGTGATATCAGACAAGCCAGTGGTTGATATTGTGATATCAGACAAACCAGTGGTTGATATTGTGATATCAGACAAACCAGTGGTTGATATTGTGATATCAGACAAACCAGTGGTTGATATTGTGATATCAGACAAGCCAGGGGTTGATATTGTGATATCAGACAAACCAGTGGTTGATATTGTGTGCAAAAGGTTCTGATTGAACAAGGTCCTCTGCAACATATGTATACCACAGGAAGCAACTATACAGATCGAGTTACCAGACTCTGTGACTGTGAATTATTTGTCATTGTGACTTTATAGTGAGATATAATTAACTTCTCTGGTCCAGACCCATGGATTTACATGATAATGATCAGCTGGAATATTGCTAACTTGAAGACTTAAACTCACTACTGCTTATATACTTACTTAGTGTTTTTTATATTATTTCTGAAACAAACCTCTTTGGTAACAGAGTCAAAACCCCACTCAATGAGGTAGTGTTACAATGTGTAATGTACCTGTGGAGATCCAGGTTAGAATTGATCTTCAGTAACCCATGCTTGTCATAACCGACGGGATTGGGTGGTCAGACTCGCTTACTTGGTTGACACATGTCATCTTATCCCAATTGCGTAGATTGATGCTCATGCTGTTGATCCCTGGATTGTCTGGTCCAGACTTGATTATTTACAAACTGCCGCCATATAGCTGGAATATTGCTGAGTGCGGCGGAAAACTCAACTCACCCACCCACACAAATGTAATGTAGTGTAACTGAAAATGATTTTGCAAGAGTGGCTCAATAATACAATGCAATGTGCAGCCCATTTCTGGTGTTCCCCACAGTGATATTGCTGATATACTGCTAAAAGCGGCATAAAACCAAACTCACTCACTTAATACCACAAGAAATCTGACCTCTGTATAAAAAACTGGCTCACTGCTTCCCTCCAGGATGATTGACATGGCACGGAAGCTGGACAAGGCTGATCGGGAGGCGCTGGGTCGTTGCGCCCATCACCTGGCTCGCATGGAGGAGTATGGCCTTGCTGCTGAGGTCTACAGCAAGATGGGGGATGTCAAGGCTTTGATATCCATGCGTGTTGAAGCCAGGCACTGGGATGATGTGAGTTATCTCCCCTTATCTTAATGTTGTGGTCTCCCCTTTATTTCTGGTTTATATTGCCTTGTAATGAGTGTTGTATAAGTTGGTTATCTGGAGCCCATCAGAGCTGTAATGTTTAAGATTTATTGAAAAAAGCATAGTCACTAATGATAGTATGACTTCGGATGGTTGTCGTGTGGATTACGTGCATGATTTGAGTAGTCTCCCCTTGTTCACTGACCACAGTGATGTAGATATTTCATTGTTGACATTCATATGAAATTCAGTCTGGTAATGTCCGGATATGTAAACAGTGTGGTTGGATGAACAAAGTTCCCTGTCATCTACCAACATCTAAGTGGGGGCGGTGAGGTAGCCTAGTGGTTAAAGCGTTCACTCGTCACGCCGAAGACCCGGGTTCGATTCCCCACATGGGTACAGTGTGTAAAGCCCATTTCTGGTTTCACCTGCCGTGATATTGCTGGAATATTGCTACAAGCAGCATTAAATGAAAGTCACTCACTTACTCTAAGTTCCCAGCTGCCAAAATTAACCATACTGTACATGCAGGGATACACAAGGTTTCATTGACATACCATTAAACCATGACTTAGCATGAAAAAAAGTCACAACCCATGTTCCTAAGTAGCAATTGTTCTTTTCAAAGATATTCCGGTACTATTGACTGGTGATCCATAAGTTGTTCCTGCAGGTTTATTTTATTCTCCAATTACTGCCTGAATGCAAATTCACTTGTGACTTGATTTTTTAAGGCCTTCACCTTGGTGGAGAAGCACCCAGAGTATCGTGAAGAGGTTTATGTGCCGTATGCACAGTGGCTAGCGGAGAACGACAGGTTCGAGGAGGCCCAGCAAGGTAGGATATAACGTTATGCCTAGTGGCAATCTCCGCAACCAAAACCTGTGATCCCCTTAGTCAGACGTGTTTGTAGTTTGTGTGACGTTTTCGGTGGGGTATTATCACATTATCGTAACTTTGTCAACTTTAAGCTTGATTCCAATTCACCAGTATGGTTGAAAATGTGATATGAAAATAATGGGCAAGTGTTTGTAAAATAAATTGTACTTGAAGACTGTTTGATAATGGTTTTGTTTATCTTTTGTTAATTGATGAAACTTTAGTTCTATTGGTATGGAAATCTGTTAATCCAAATCATAAATATTCAATTTTCAAAAATTGTCACACACGTGACACATACTTCGATGTGTTCTGTTAGTTGTTGTTTGCCAGTGGTACAGTTTCCTGGTGAACATGTTGATAAGTTCTTCACTGTTGCCTGTTCCAGCATTCCACAAGGCAGGTCTGCAGGCTGAAGCAGTGAAGGTGTTGGAACAGTTGACACTGAACGCTGTTGTGGAGTGCCGCTTCAATGATGCTGGCTACTACTTCTGGAAGCTCTCCATCCAATGTCTGGACATTGCCAGAGGTATGCCACTTAGAGTCTGCTCCAGTCTTTGGCATCAAGACATGTACATCTTAAAACATAGGTCTAAGTCCTCATAATATAGGACTTGTGTCTGTTCTGACTTAGCTGTGCAGAAGTGTGATGCAACCATGGTAACGACGTATATTCTGCATTTACAGAGGACAAGGATCGCAAGGAGGAGATGTTGGAGAAGTTCTTTGACTTCCAGAAGAAGGCAGAGACCTACTACATCTATCACACAATACACAGACATGTGGTAGGTGGCTTTGTATGTGTGACCGGGTCTTGGTTTGTAACAGTGTTTGCATCTGTCACTGAGTGACTGTAGCTGTGTGTGTGTCTGTAGCTGTGTGTCTTGTCTGTAATTGTGTGTCTGTTTCTGTAGCTATGTGTCTGTAGTTGTGTGTCTGTAGCTATGTGTCTGTAGCTGTGTGTCTTGTCTGTAATTGTGTCTGTTTCTGTAGCTATGTGTCTGTAGCTATGTGTGTGGCTATGTGTCTGTAGCTGTGTGACTGTGTCTGTAGCTGTGTCTGTAGCTGTCTGTCTGTAGCTGTGTGTGACTAGCTGTGTCTTTAGCTATGTGTGCAGCTGTGTGTATAGCTCTGTCTGTAGCTATATATCTGTAGCTGTGTGTATGTGTCTGTAGCTGTGTGTCTGTAGCTATGTAGCTGTATATCTGTCTGAAGCTGTGTCTGTAGTTGTGTGTATGTGTCTGTAGCTATGTGTCTGTCTGTAGCTGTGTTTGTAGCTGTGTCTGTCTTTAGCTGTGTGTTTGTAGCTATGTATCTATAGCTGTGTGTCTGTCTGTAGCTATGACTGTAGCTGTGTTTGTAGCTGTCTGTCTGTAGCTGTGTGTTTGTAGCTCTGTCTGTCTGTAGCTGTGTGTTTGTAGCTGTGTGTCTGTAACTGTGTGACTGTGTCTGTAGGTTTGTGTGACTGTAGCTGTGCGACTGTCTGTAGGTCTGTGTCTGTAGCTGTGTCTGTCTAGCTGTGTGTGACTGTAGCTGGGTGTCAGTGTCTGTAGCTATGTGTTTGTAGCTGTGTGTCTGTAGCTGTATGTCTGTAGCTATGTTTGTAGCTGTCTGTAGCTGTATGTCTGTAGCTATGTGTTTGTAGCTGTCTGTCTGTAGCTGTATGTCTGTAGCTATGTGTTTGTAGCTGTGTGTCTAGCTATGTGTTTGTAGCTGTCTGTAGCTGTATGTCTGTAGCTATGTGTTTGTAGCTGTGTCTGTAGCTATGTGTTTGTAGCTGTCTGTAGCTATGTGTTTGTAGCTGTATGTCTGTAGCTGTGTGTCTGTAGCTATGTGTATGTAGCTGTCTGTAGCTATGTGTTTGTAGCTGTGTGTCTGTAGCTATGTTTTGTAGCTGTCTGTCTGTAGCTGTATGTCTGTAGCTATGTGTTTGTAGCTGTGTGTCTGTAGCTGTGTGTGTCTGTAGCTATGTGTGTCTGTAGCTGTGTGTCTGTGTCGGTTGATTACAGGCCACTGTCATACAGCTAGGATTTCAAGTGTGGCATTAAACAAACAGAAATGTTTTACTGTAGTGTAACCCTTGTGCTTGTGTCTAGGTGGAACCGTTCACGTCCGTGCTGCCGGAGGGGCTGTTCAACATGTCCCGCTTCCTGCTCCACCGGCTGCCCAAGGCCACCGACATCCCACACGGAGTGTCTAAAGCGTATCCTTGTCTGGCCTATACAGATTAACTAACCGATAGGTGTCACCCAGACCTTAGGTTCAGTATTCTTAGCAACAATGAAGGAAGAACCTTTTTCGTCTTTTTGGGGTGAAAGTCTTGTAGCTATATTACAACCATTAGTTATGTTAGATCATTTGTCAAAGTTTCCTTGTGATGATCCTTGTTTTGTAGTTTTAGGGATATGTGGATTTCTACATGAAACAACCTCAAGATGCCTGGGTCCTTCCTTAATTTTGAACATGTTGACTGTAATATACATTAATAAACTCAGTAGCTTTTGTTTCATAACCACTTATGAACATTGGTCATTTAAACTACTTAAAACAAGGCACACTTTCAAATAGATTAAACAGTTGGCATTTGGAACTATCGGACCTTGTCATCTTGATTCTGGCCGTATGGGCAGCTCTCAGTGTAGTATATACTTCAGTGGCAACATGTTGGCCTTAACTGGTTAGTTCAGCTTTATACACCCTGGCCAAGCAGAGCAAGAATCTCGGTGCATACAAGCTGGCCCGCCATGCATACGAGAGTCTGCTGACTCTGAGAATACCACCACGATTCCAGGAGAATGTTGATGTGGGCAGCATCACCATCAGAGCCAAACCATTTATGGATGCTGACGTAAGTAGGATTCATTTGTAGAATCTCAGAATCAACAACTGTTCGATTCTTGTAGCACATCTGGAAGAAATTTGCTTTGGAATTGCTTAAATCTTTGACATCACTCAATGTAACATGTTAGCGCGCTTGTATATTTCTGAACGGCATGTCTGAATGTAAATGGATTTTGCAGTGAAATTTTCTGTGATCTTTTCAGGAGTTACTTCCTCTTTGCTATCGCTGCTCGACCACGAACCCCCTCCTCAACAACAGTGGCAACCAGTGTGTCAACTGTAAACAGCCTTGTGTCAACTCCTTCGTCAACTTTGGTGAGTGGTGGTAGCTGATTCATGCATCATTCGCTGAGTGAGGCCTCAGGCTTTAGCATGGTCACAGAGAATGCTGGAGTGAATATCAACAATTCTGTTTCCATTTGGAAATTTGTCACTATATCCTGTATTAGATCAAATCTGCTCATGACAAACCAGTGATTGATATCATGACCATACATCCATGATTCTGTTTGCCGGACTAGACAGTTTTTTTCTGTCTAGATCACTTAGATATGCAATTCACGGAGAATGAACAAAATTTTTGTAAACTTTTTAAATCACTAAAATATAGTAATGTTACATGTGATGCTATGAATACTTTATTTACAAAACTGAAGAGAAACTGTAGCACAGCATGTTGACAAGAAATCCTATTCTGTCGAACGAGGGACAACATTGTGCAGAATTGCAAGCCTGACACTGAGAAGTATGGACATAGGTTTAAAGTTTACTACAATAGGGGGTTTATGCACTACGTCTCGATATCAAATTTTCAAGATTAGACTCATAGTGACAAAAACATTATGTACCAAAGCCTATTCGTCTCCCCCCGCCGCCATCTTTGACGATTTGTATGCTGATGCTATGACTGCCGTGTTGGGATGCTATGAATGCCATTATGTATGCTCGGCGACCATTCTCGCGCGCTCTTGTAGCTGATACGAGAGTTTTGTTTCCATTTCAAATGATTAGTCTTCCATTACAGATGTATTGTTTCGGTTTTAGAGGATATTGTTGCAGTTCTGGTGATTTCTGTTCTGTTTTGGTGTATATGAGTTCAGTTTTGATGACTTGTTCACCGTTTGTATGGTAGGCCTGATAAGTACCCCGAGGAAGACTCTCTTTAAAAAATCATCAACCTCTACAGGTTTGATCAAATTTCCCTGTGTCTCATTTTTCAATGTTGTTTGATTTGTGCAGAGGTGTTGCCGCTGGTTGAGTTTGTTATCGAGGATGGAATGACAGACGAGGAAGCAGTCCACATCCTGGACATGTCCATACCCAAACAGAAGAAAGACAGCCAAGGAAACTGGAACGAGTCTCGAATGGGCAGTATCCTTCCTAGCTGGGGCTGTAGTTTTCCCTGGTTTCTCTCAGTCATAATGCATTGATGATATAGATTTTCACAAACTGGATTGCTTTTAAATGACTCTGTATGTGTAGCCATTTCTTGGGTTTAGTTTGGATGGTTTGTAAGGTTTGTCTGTGTTGCTAAGGAATTACCCAGTGTTCAAAGTGTACAATCCGTTCATCATCCTCACCCTCACCACTACCAACACAACAATCTACTTCAGTATACAAGAGTATTGCCGTCCTTTCAGCAGATTATGAAAAGTCATTAAGAGTAGCACATTTGAATCCAGGATTTTGAAAAATGGGGGTTACATACTTTACCAAAATCAGGAAGTAAACAGAACCAGTTTGGTTGACATATACTGTGTCTGAACGAGAAGGGGTGGGTACCTGCTGCACTTAATCTAGCTGACCGCCTCCGTGGTGTAGTGGTTAGAGCGTCCGCCCGGAGAGCGGAAGGTCGCAGGTTTGATCCCCGGCCACGTCATACCAAAAGACGTTAAAATAATGTAATTTTTGGAGTAAAATTGATATTTTATACTTATCCTGACTCATGCTCTTTTTGCTTGTCTTCTTCTTCTTGCGAACATAGTGGAACACTTGTATCTCCCTAATTGAAGCTCCCTTCAATTTAAAATCACTAATTAGTATTCACCACGAGTTACCTCCTTTCCACAAGCGCGGGAACGAGGGCGCCACCTCTACCCATGTGCCTCACTCTCTCCTCATATACTGAGCCCAACATTTGAATTTACAGGGAAATCCAAAGTGTTATTTGGGGAGGATGGGAGGGCTGACCTCATGAGTCAGGATAAGTATAAAATATCAATTTTACTCCAAAAATTACATATTTTTCTTTATCCTGACTCATGCTCTTTTGCTTGTAGCATCCTACTGGACGAGGAGGTGGGAATATCTAATACTTTGGATTTTTTAATAATTAGTGATTTGAACTGTGATGATTGTAATAACCCTATGGGAACTTCATAAAGGCACTGAACTGATGAATTCCTGCTGCTAACTTATCAGCTGCCATATAAAGGTTATTACCATGTACTTATTATGATAAAGTATATATAACATTAATACAATGCTTAAGACTAATAGACTTAAGCTTGTTAATATCTAGTATAAACTCCTTAGAGTTTGTTAGCTAAAATACTTTAAGATATAACATAGTACTAAGCTTAAGATATGATTAAACTTAAGCTAATTATATAATAGCAAACTCTTTAGAGTTTGTTAGTTAATATACTTATATGATATAGATATAATGCTGAGCTTAAGATATGAATAAGCTTTAGCTACATATATAATAGCAAAACTCTGTAGAGTTTGTTAGCTAATATATTTTATAATATGAGTATAGTACTGTGCTTAAGCTATAATTAACTTAAGCTACATATATAATAGCCAAACTCTGTAGAGTTTGTTAGCTAATATATTTTTATAATATGAGTATAGTACTGTGCTTAAGCTATAATTAACTTAAGCTACATATATAATAGCCAAACTCTGTAGAGTTTGTTAGCTAATATATATTTATAATATTAGTATAGTACTGAGCTTAAGATATAATTAACTTAAGCTACATATATATAGCAAAACTCTGTAGGGTTTTGTTAGCTAATATATTTTTACAATATGAGTATAGTAGTGTGCTTAAGATATAATTAACTTAAACTACATATATAATAGCAAAACTCCGTGAGAGTTTGTTAGCTAATATATTTTACAATATGAGTATAGTAGTGTGCTTAAGATATAATGAACTTAAGCTACATATATAATAGCAGAACTCCGTAGAGTTTGTTAGCTAATATATTTTACAATATGAGTATAGTATTGTGCTTAAGATATTATTAACTTAAGCTACATATATAATAGCCAAAAACTCTGTAGAGTTTATTAGCTAATATGTTTATAGTGTAACCATAGTACTAAGCTTAAGATAAGATTAGACTTAAGCTAAATGTATATAGCAAAATAAACTCCTTAGAGTTTATTAACTAATATACTTTTATGTTAAAAACATAGTACTGAGCTTAAGTTATGATGAAACTTAAGCTATATATATATATAACAAAACTCCGTCGTTAGGTTTTGTTAGCTATCTGCTTTATAATGTAAACATACTGCTTAAGATATGATGAAAACTTAAGCTAATTGTATAATAGCGAAAACAACCCTTTAGAGTTTGTTAGCTATGATATAAACCTAGTATTGAGCTTATGAAGGAAAACTTAAGCTACATATATAATAGCAAGAACTCCGAAGAGTTTGTTAGCTAATACATGTTATAATGTAACCATAAAGCTTAAAATATGATGAAACTTAAGCGAAATATATAATAGCAAAACCCTCTTTTAGAGTTTTGATAGCTAATATACCTATATGATATAAACATAGTACTAAGCTTAAGATATGAATAAGCTTAAGTTACATATATAATAGCTAAAACTCTGTAGAGTTTGTTAGCTAATACATGTTATAATATAACCATATTGCTTAGAAATATGATGATACTTAAGCCAAATAGCAAAAACTCTTTAGAGTTTGTTAGCTAATCTACTTATATGATATAAACATAGTACTAAGCTTAAGATATGAATAAGCTTAAGCTACCTATATAATAGCAAAACTCCTTAGAGTTTGTTAGCCAATATATTTTAATAATATGAGTATAGTACTATGCTTAAGGTATAATTAGCTTAAGTTACCTATATAATAGTAAAACTCCTCAGAGAGTTTGTTAGCTTAATTAACTTAAGCTATGTATAAAATAGCCAAAAACTCTGTAGAGTTTGTTAGCTAATGCATTTATCATGTAACCATAGTATTACTCTTAAGATATGAATAACTTAAGGTAAATATATATAATAACAAACTCTGTAGAGTTGTTAACTTATATATTGTATGATGTAATAATCATAGTACTGTGATGATAAAAGGAACTTAAGTAAATTATATATAGCATGAAGCTATTTAGTATTGTTATAAGATAAGTAAAAATCTGTTAGATTGACTTATCTTCTCCGAGGAACTGTCAGCTGTTGTGCGAGGACCATGGGATCGAATTGGTGTATACCTGAGACGTCCTCGGTGGTGATATCTCTCAGATAATGGTTTGCAACCACCATATCGGATTTCCAGAAATAAACCCTCCATTATTTCAATCACATTTGTATAGAAGTTAGCGCTATAATATCATGAGTATTAAGCTCATGGAGGGTCGGAATAGGTCCATCCGCATATGCACGTAGTATGACAGTTCTGATCCAAATGGAGATATAGTACATGAGACTTCACTCTGCGTAAGTTGATGATAGAGGAAATAATCTGTTGCATTTTTTCCTCCTGTTTGGTTTGGTGGAGATAAATTTACAGTGCTCTTGCTGGCCATCTTGATAGAATCATCGTATCATGGGGTCCAAGTATGTCATCCAGGCGTGTTCATAAACCTCACTTGTGAGGTGTTGGAGCACTATATTCATATCCCCAGGTTGGGCGTGAAATTTCCGTTTTATTCTCCAAACAGAAGTTTAGTAGGTTTACTAACCATCTAGTTGTGTTAGTCGCTTGATGAAATTCAGCTGTAGTCTGAAGCGCTGTGGATTTAGATCCACTTGTATCTTCGTCTAGGTAATTCGCCGCGAAGTCCTTAACGATGTAGGTGCACAACCAGGTGTGTCTGTCCTCGCTTGAACTTTATGTAAAATCGCCTGACTGCCGATCCCTCGTCTTAACTTGACAGGGGAGGTCTCTAACTTGAAGAAAGGCAGTCTAATCATGAATGTTCAGGTTAACTGGACTGTAATGAGGCTTGCTCGTTCACTAATATATAGTTGTCACTTGTGACGTAAGTCTTGAACTGTGAATAGAGATCGACCTCTGTGGCAGGTCGTTGTCCCTCGCGGTCCAATCAGAACAAGGCATTTTGATTCTGTATAATACCCGCTGTGATGTCATCGGTGTAGCGGAAAAACCCACCTTGAATAAATTCTTGTCGTCGTTGATATTAGCATAAACGTCGGTCTTCACCGTAGCTTCCCGGGTTATCCGAAGTGACCACGTGTTTCGAGGGTTAAAGGTAACCCCATGCTGAAACCTCCGGTAGCGAAATATCTCGCTCTGTAATTTTATGCTGGGTAGGTTATTTTCCTGGTTGTCGTGAAAGTAATTTCAGTTTTGAATATAATTCCGACTTCCTTATATATAAGGGTATAAACAACTTGCAAGTTGTGAGCTTGTAGACTGTATACATGAATGTATCGTCATAATTGTAGAATTAACGTTGAACTTGTACATATTTCTTCTCAGAAACTTTGGCGATTAAGAGTTATACTCGCTGTAACAAGACTGCTGTTCAATTTTGATATTGAATTGTCTGCAGATATGCGCGTAATGGTCGCGCATGTAGATAATCGTGATCGTCGTCCGGGATTGTATATTAACAATTTATAACGAATAGTTGATTTCTGTGAAGATCTATGAAATGTCGTTGACTAATAAGACAGCGGCGTTCTGTGTTGTAAATAGCCTGAGCAATTATCTTACGCGATAGGCTTATAGGCGGCATCTGGCATACAGTTGATAATCAACTTATCGCGACGTCTTGAAACGGACTGGACGAGTAGCTATATATGACGAGTGGCTAGTATATGGAAACCTTGGAGGAGACTTCCTCGGTGAGCGCCCGGAGACTTCGCAGAAGTTCTCGAGTATCCTTCTAGATCTTCTGGGTGAAGTAGACTTGGAGCCACTTAGCCTTCGCGACCATCGCCCGAAGGTGTCGAAGTCAAAGCCGATTAGTATATATATATATATATAAATATATATATGAGCCGCTTAGCCGTGAACAGCCTCTGTGTTTAACAGGATGTGGGATCGGGCGGCTTGCCTAAGTCGGGACGCATGGATCATCTTATCATATTCAGAAGTCGTATTCACGAAGTCTGGTGATAAGTGTCTAATTGATCGTTCTAGATCTATTTAGGCCAGCGAACATATCGTCTCGTCATGGATTCAACAGAACCAATATACGATTGTAGTTCTTATACTTGATATCGATGATCAACTTGTCTATGGGTTGATCTTCTCGGAGACTTGTGAGGAACGTTGATAGTTTAAAGCTCTTGTATAGTCCCTCGATGTCCTTCTAGATGATGATGATCTGGATTCAGGTGTCCTTTCAAGATGCCTTGGCGAAGCTGGCCTCCTGCGTCGGTCCGGGGAACGACGATATGACCTTCGCTGAAGGCTTCCGTGATGTCTGATGGTCCGAGTCCACATCTAGGGATGAAACCGCATAAGGTGATGATCTATCCTGCCTTCGCGAAGTCGCCCAGCGAAGGCTGTACATCTAGGTTCTTTCCGCCGCCGAGGCTGTACATCTAGGTCTTTTCGCCTTCGCGAAGGCCTTGAAGGCTGTACATCTAGGTCCTTCGTCCAAGGTGGTCCGTGACTTCCTTCAGCGAAGGTGACATCGATCTGGCTGCTACGTTGGACGGGGGTGCCTCTGGGGTGCTGTCCACGTTGGAGCCTTCGCTGGCTTCGGACCCTGCTACGCGAGATATTGGTCCTCCATGATGTTCATAATTTGTCGCATCATGTCTTCTGGGATGGTCTCGCGACGAGGTAAATCGATGCTTTATCTGCGGTGTTAATGGAGGGTCCACCGGAAAATCGTCCGACATCAGTGTAGAAGGCATCAGGCTGCATGGTGATCTCTGCTGATGTCGCTTGTAGCTAATCCGGTCGTTTCTTGTGGCGTCGTCGGGGATGATGATCAGCTGATCATCGTAGAGGTCCAGGTCATCGGCTGGAACAATCTCGGTTGAGAAAGTCCTAGTAGACTTCGTTGATTTTTCCTCAGAGGTCGGCGCTGCCCTGGGTGTCGCGGCGTCTGCGTTGAGTGTTGGTAATGATGGGACCCTCAGGGCGATCATCGCATATCTGCGTTGGTACATCAGGCTGCATGCTGATCTGTGCCGACATCGGTCAATCTTTGATGTACATCGGTATGATGACCGGCTGATCATCATACAGGCCCAAAACTTGATGGGAACGGTCGGTTGTTGAGATGTAGTAGAAAAAAACCCTCTAGTCTTCTGCTGCGGCGATGGGATGTCTGGGGAAGCAGGATGCTTCTTGGAGATGGCGGACTCGTCCCACACCTCTCCACCACTCTAGCGGAACACCACACGGAGGGAGGAGTCGGCCAACAGCAGTAGACTGGCGAGGGTTCCGTGTATCAGTCATACTAGACTCTGCATCACGCGACCTATCTGCTGTGCGTGCCAAACGCAAAGTAAATATTAATAAAAGGTAGAATTGGATAAATTAGTACGCAACTGCAATGTGAATATAATAAACATGGCGTTCTCGCATCATATTAAAGGCGGATCAGCAGCAGCATAAAAAGCGTGAATCTGCAATAGTACAGAATTTTCATCAACGTAATCCACTGAAACAAACACGCGTCCCCGTGAAAAACTGTAGAAAAGCGACTAAATAACAATATATAATCGTTTGAAGGATACTTCAGCTAAACCTCTATAGATGTCTATAATGAGGGTAACTAACTAAATATAATTCAAAGGATATAGTGTGTCGGGAGACACAGGCGCTCTCACGTCCAGCTCACTGGGCGAAGAAGGAGAGAGTGAGGCACATGGGTAGAGGTGGTGCCCTCGTTCCCGCGCTTGTGGAAAGGAGGTAACTCGTGGTGAATACTAATTAGTGATTTTAAATTGAAGGGAGCTTCAATTAGGGAGATACAAGTGTTCCACTATGTTCGCAAGAAGAAGAAGACAAGCAAAAAGAGCATGAGTCAGGATAAGGAAAAATTGGTACTTGTTGGTCCCTGCCTGGCGCTCGGCATTAATGGGTACAACAAGGACTGGTCGGCTCGGAGTCAGTATACTGTGTCTGAGTGGGGTATTCATGCTTCACTGCGGCATGGTATCTCGGTGGGCTAGCACTATAAAACCAGCATAAGTCTGGGCTAGTACAAGCAGCCGCACATACACATACACACGCATGCACGTCGTCATATGAGCAAAATATTCTCAAGCACGACGTAAAACCCAATTTCACCTCACCTCACTTAATCTAGCTCTATCAGAGTGTGGTGTCAGTAATGAGTTCCTTGACGCTACCCAGATGTGCAGTCGCTGAGACTTGGTGACGAGGCTGAAGAGGATGAGGACCCATTCACAGCCAGACTCAAAACATATGATGTACGTACAGTTTCATCTCATTCATGAAACAACAGTTTAGTTTCCATGCCACAACCTTTGTCAATGATGTGATTGCCATACCAAAAGACTTTAAAACATGGTGCTTGTTACCTAGCTTGGTGCTTGACTTTAGGGAGATGAAACTAGGACTACCTAGCTGATATGTCCCGGCAGGGTATCCAGGTGAAAATATTGACCCTCCCCTAATACAGACACAAACACAATTAAAGAAGAGAAATAATTGTTAAAAATGATAATATGCCAGGGCCTTTGGCAGGGGTTCAAAATTATTTTAAAAAGCCACTTGCCACAGGGCAAGTGACTTTAAGAAAGTAACTTGTCCTTACCAATTTTCCACTTGCCCTGATTTTATGACATAATCATGATGATGTAATTATAAAAGAATAAATCAACATGGTATTTGATGTTAATGTTTACTGGACTATTTTTGAAAAGTGATAAATAACAAAGAAAGATAACTCTACTTTATCATCATTGCGAAATTTAATAGCTACATTTTGAGCAGATATGAAATTAAATCCATGTATATTTGCAGTTTGAAACCATAAGTGGAAATTATTTATTAGCCCACGGACAAGTAAGATACCATTATTTGATTGCCCCGAAATGAAAACCGACTTGTCCCGGGCGTTGGGCGATGAGATTTTTTAACCCCTGCTTTGGACCTGTTAATATACTCATGTGTTCCCTTACTCGTTTCCATGAGTATATTAACTGAATGCCCTCTGACCTGTAGATACCCTATTATGGAAACAGATCTGAGTGGAAGGATTTGCTCTGGTAATATTTCAGGATGGTACGAATGAGTTCCGCCCAGTGGTGGTGAACAAATCTATCCTGCAGTCCATGACACGGTCCGAGGTGTACGTGTTGAAGTGGCCCAAACCGCTGCGTTACCAGTTCTTCAGGTCTCTACTGCCAGACGTCACCATTACACTATGTCCGTCCTGTAACAGGGTAAGTGCAACTATTACACAAGGGGGACCGGGTTAGAATTGATCTTCAGCAACCCATGCTTGTCGTAAAAGGCGACTAATGGGATTGAGTGGTCAGGCTCGCTGACTGGGTGGACACATGTCATCGTATCCCAATTGCGTAGATCGATGCTCATGCTGTTGATCTCTGGATTGTCTGGTTCAGCTGGAATATTGCTGAGTGCTGCGTAAACCTAAACTCACTCACTCACTACACAAGGGGGTGAAACATAGAATGTTATATGTGCACAGAGTATGATTGCTATGTGTATTGTCTTGTGAATGAAGTCAGAAATACCGATCAGCTGTGTTTTTTCCCAATCAATCAGTGAGTGTGTATGGTTGTATGCCGCTTTTAGCAATATTCCAGTAATATCATGGTGGGAACACCAGAAATGGGCTTCACACATTGTACCCTTGTGGGAAATTGAACCGGAGTTTTCAGCGTGACGAGTGAATGCTTTAACCACTAGGCTATCCCACCCCCCAGTCAATCAGTGATTTGGTTAGAAGATACCATACGTGTCACATACTTCATGTTTACATATTAATATAAGTGTACAACAAATATGACTTTTAACAAGTCAAACTATGGCATTTATACTAAATGCATCCATTCTCTGTCAACCAAAGACTGTTTCAATGCATCAGTAATCTGACCATGGTTGTTGTAAATAATGGTGAGTTAGTGCATTGCCGTAAACTTCACACATGGGTTCACTGGAATTTTGATTTAAAAGATGAAAAACAGTAAGTCCAAATATATGCATTTATATAGAGAGAGTGTGACCAGCGAACACTTTAACCAGATGGTTACCTCACCGCCCAGTGGTCAAGGTAAATTGTTTCTCACTAATCCCAGGAGCAATGAAGAAGAATCTTTGTATGATGCTTCATTTGACTGCTCTGAATACAGTCAAAATGCCACAATGTTAAAAATATATGAACTTAAGATGTTCCAATTGTAAACAAAGTAACAAATTGTTCACAATTTGACTCTTGTTCACAGCTGTAGATAAATCCCTGCTCACTTCCTGTGTTTGTCTCTCCAGTTATTCCACACTGATGATTTTGAGCAGCAATACCTACAGAAGGGCTTCTGTCCTTTCTGCCGTACCCAGCTGGAAGACTGAAGACTACCACACTGACAGAAACCCACCGACAGAGCAAAAACACCGTCCATATCTGTGTTGAAATGTACCGTGTAGACACTAGGCTGAATTATTTCTCGCCTCCAAAACTGGGAACTATTCATCAAGATGGGTGACTGAAATATTATTTATGGTTACCTTTTGCTGATGACAAGTTGAAATAGTTCAGTCCAGGAGCTTGCTGCATTCCAAGATGAATTTGCAACATTGCTTCATTGTATGTCGGAGTGAACACACTATGCACTCTGAGAGATCTGAATGTAAATTCAATCTTTCATCTTTGGTGAAAACTTTGATCTGATTGCAATTGAGAACGAAATGTTTCTGAATGAAATCTTGCAGCAATGTATGATCGCATATCAGTTCTTGTATAACAAAACCAATCCGCTTGACCCTCAAACTACAAGTTATTGTATATTAGTGCCATGCAGTGTCTTATGGTCTGGCATAGCAGTTTCATCTGTTACAGAAGTTCTGTCTGTCACAAGGATCGGATTGTTATCTGAGATTTGATACTGGACCATATTCAACAAAATAATCTTTGTACTGCCATTTTCAGACACCTATACTTTAACATGTGTTGTATTTGGGTTACACTTTCTAAGTAAAGTACAGCTTCTAGTACTTTGGTCAATGTCACTTGAACCCAGAGGCTGTCTAATGCTGGAGACCTGGGAATCTCAGCCTAAATAATGAATCTATACCTAGCAATATTTTGTTTGTCAGGAAATGTAATTTCACAATTGTAGCAGGCAGTGAGATGTCTAGTAAACTAATGACAACCCATGCATGATGCAATAAAAAAGCAGTTAGTCCATCCATGAGAAATCAGAATCAAGGTGTGCCTTCTGACCTTTCCGACCGACTTGTTCAAAATGACCTTCACCCTGAGACTATTGTCATGTCTATTCCTGAATGGCTTACAGTGGTCCAGCCTCTAAGATGCAGGCAGTCCTTGATGCTGTGTAATTGATTTGTTTAATGAATCTCCATCTGTCTGTGTCAGTCAAGGATTGACTTGTTTCTGTTACTGGTCATTCTGTGACTAGGAGGTAGGGAGCAACTGTTTGATATTTTGGGAAGGGGACTGTGTATCTGTTACAAAAATAATTTGTCCAAGAAAATACTGTATACCTGTGATTAAAGTATTATGAAATCTAAAAGTGCATATCCAAAGCATTATCAAGTTAATTTGTTTTTTCCAAGATCAGGTAGTGAACAGTCGATTGTTCAAATGCTGAGAAACTAAAACATTTTCAATAATAGATACAAGGCTTTTGTGTATCCATTCTTTTCAGCATTTTGCTGTGAAAATATGGGCTGTCATGTAAATGTTTGCTCTTAGTAGGGGGGGTCTTTTAAATATAAACTGGTCAAGAAGCTGGACAATGGTCACTTATTCAAGGTCACTTGCAATATTGACTCCTAGTTTTACTAAAGGTTATGACTGTTTGCTAGACATGCTGAATGTCTGAAGACTTGTGTAAAACTCCTGTGTCTTCAAGTCGTCGCAGTCTAAAAAAATATGTGTCACCTCCTGAATATAAAAGGGTTGATCTCTAAGGACATCTAGTGTTGAATGATGTCTCAGTATATGATGACAAGTTGTGTGTACATATCAGTGCATTCCATCCATAACCGTTGCCATGTTACATGTTGAACAGATCATGTATTTCTGTGATGTTATTTCTATTTATTTACATAATTCTATGTTCTATAGAATTTTACAATTGTAAAATAACTGTACAATAAATTTTTATATTACAAATTATTTGTTCATGAAAATGTTTTTACTCTGCCTTGGACTTGGAATGGAGGGATGATAGACTGGTTGGCTCAGTCAGTATACAGTGTCTCTGGGGGTATAAATGTTAACTGTGGCATAGTGGGCTATAGCACTACATAGCATGCATATGTTGGATTAGTACAAGCAGCAGAGAGAGACACACACAGAGGCATGCATGTTACTAAATGAGCGAAATAATCTTGAACATGACTCATTTCACTTCCTACCCGTAAAGATCTGGGTTAGAATTGGTCTTCAGCACAACTAACAGAACCCGTTGGTCAGGCTTGCTGACGTGGTTGACACATGTCATCGTATCCAAATTGTGTAGATCGTTGCTAATGATGTCAATCACTGGATTGTCTGGTCCAGACTTGATTATTTACAGACCTCTGCTATTTAGCTGGAAATTGCTGAGAGTGGCATTTAGCAACAAACATTTCACTTCACCTGACTTGATGTTCAATAATTACAAAAGTTACTCCCACAGGAGCATAAACATGATAAAAACAAACAACTGTGTAGATGTAAACATATTTATTACTGTGAGTTGCGCATGATCACATTAAGCAAGATTGTTGAATGGCACAGGGTAGATTCCAGTATAACAACTGCACACAACATTTATCCCGAGGAAAACATGCATAGCATCGAGATGCCTATTCACACCACTCTGACCCTTGTAATTGGTCAAGATACAATCTTATTACAAATCATACATACAAGTTACCATCCCATGGATGCTGTATCTGAAGAGGACATGGAGCATGTAATTGAGTCAGCATCGTTTTTTATCATCCCAAACAATCTTCCACATGTAGTATTGCTTCAATGAAACTAACATCAGTTACTATGATGTCACAATCAAATGACATCACAAATATCTGCCATTGAAGCTGTTAGGTGTACTTACAAACACGACACAGGTTATTACTGTTTACATACATAGAGAATCTCACCCAAGTGTCTACTGATATCAATTATATAAAGTTTACCTTTATCAACGAGTGTTGATATAATTGATATCAGTAGACACGAGGGTGAGATTCTATTTATCAAAAGTCATGCTTCATTAGTTTTCAATGAAAAAATGTACATCGCTCAACGCTACCACCATTAGACTTGCAGTGCAGCGATGTCAGCATTGTGATGTCATAGCATTGTCAGGGCATTGTACAAAATCTACTGTCAAAACGATATATCCTAGGAGATATCATATGATCTTACACAAGTGATATCTCCTGTGGAACACAGTTTGGGATGATAAAGAAACATTATTTTTGGATGATAAACTGATGGATCCATTTGAGATTCTATACAGTAAACTTACACGGATATGAGACTGCATCTAAATAAGAGATGCATCACAACTACTTCAACATACAGGTAGGATCTGGTATTCATTAGGATCAGAAAGATCAGCTTGTTCCATACACACAACGGGATATCACATGTACTGACAAAGAGCGTATTAATATTTCATTGCAATAACAGGTATGTATTCATCCGAGAGTAAGGGTTACGGATGGCATTTTTTGTATGGGAAGGATGGTGCTATTGCATGTCAGGGTGCATCTTGTCATACTTGTTGCAGTGGTTTGTGTAGTTGCAGTGGTAGTTTCTGTGGTGGTATAGTTGGAGGTGTTTCTATCGTATAGTTGTGGTTGTTGCTGTGGCCATGATGGTGGAGTGGTTGACCAAGTTCTGTGGCTTGAGTTGTACTAGATGTTTGTGTTCACAAAATGGGAACTGTTTCTTCAATTTTCTACAGATTGAACATTATCAAGGCTTTAAATATAAGTACAGCATATAAGTACGGCATGATATGCTGTCAAACACGTCTTCGCATCATTTTTCTTTCGTCAATAAAACAACCAACCATTAACAAACAAATATGAGTAGCACAAATAACAATCAGTAAACAAAAACCTAATAACCAAGTTAAAATACAAAATAGATTAGAACAAACCAACCAGTATTGGCACAGTAAAAAATACTCTGATAGTGTCCGAAAAGAAAAAAATTAACTTTATGAAACACAAGGGAAAATCGTTGTTGAAAGAAAATAGAATCTACAACAGAACAAAATGCATAGCTGAAAAACTTCAAAGCACTATTTCAGTGACCATGACAAGCTGCTGAGTCAAAGCTCGCAATGTTTGGACACTGCTCTCATCCTTCAGCTATTAATGCAGAGGAGTCAACACAAAGATCAGCATTTGTGGAAGGTGAGTGCATTGCAGACTAGGTAAGATACCAGCATTTTGACAAGCAGTCTGTATTTGCAGGGAGTGTGGGTCACACGGTAAGATACAGGTACTATTCCATCATTCCAGCCCCTCTCTTGTCCCATTTCATCAACCTGGTTCTGTCTTCGAGTACAGGGGCTTAAAGAAAAATGTTAACTGGCTGAAGCATTCTACCATGTTTACCTGAATATTTCCTAATATTCCTGAATATTGCTAAAAGCAGTTTTAAATACTCACAATGAAGGGATCAACTGTGATGGTCAATTTGCTGTTTTACGTATAAACTACACCACTGAACAAAACATTGAAGATGGATTCCTTTCCCAAAGTACTGGAATTATACATACATTACTGATTTCTCATGCTTTTAACATTAACACTGGTGGATATACAGATGAGACAAATTTACGGAAAGGGACGTGTTGTGATGAATACCTGTTACAGATGACTGAACCAATCTCACCCCTGCAAATATATGGACCCTTCCTCATACATATTCATGAAGGTCACCTGCATATGGCTACCAAACAATGATGTTCAACTTTAAGGGAGGACATACAACATATTCCGCAACAAAAAAAGTGCACATAAAATACCACTTGACTACATCAAGATGAGGACAAAGTCACCCGGTCAGTACACCCTAGTCACAGAAGCACTGGTGTATAGAGTACATAATTCCAACATTTAAAAAAAAGCACCATGATAAATGCAGTGTCATTTAAATATGCAACTCCAACAAACAAATATGTATAAAGAGTAAAAATCTGCATGTTCATTGATCTAACACTGACCAACAGTTTCCTGAGTAAGTTAATGTGCGCCGGTAACGTCACTCTTCACTGCTGGGATGAGGGCATGCAGCAAATCAAATACACAAAGAATTCCAAAAACATTATGGATGACAAAATCATTACACATCAGGAATGAAGTGGTTATCCATAATGTTTAGTTACTTTGTCATCCATCAGCTAGTAAAAAATGCCTATGAAAGTAAAATACATATAGGGTAGGGGTTTGTGGAGAACCTGTTTTGGGATAGACCACGTACTACTTGTCTGCTAGATAAATGCATGTAAAAACTCAACAAGTCACTTTACTTAAGGATGACGATTTTGTTGTATCCATTACAAAAAAAATTGCAGTACATATTTCTCAAAATATTTCCAACTAATACATCAAATCTTCATTCTAAGCTAAACTTCAGTGTAGCAATGAATCCATTTCAAATCAAACAAAAGTGTGTGTTCAGGAAATAGCTCATAATTTTAGACAAAAGTGTGTGTTCAGGAAATAGCTCGTGTTTGTAAAGAGATGTATGCCAAGACATGAAATCTACCTATTCTGGACCTATTTTTAAAGACGATGATTACTGCATTTCATTCCTGTTTGTAAACATTCCCTTACAAGCAAACAGGACAAGCTAAAATTCCATATAATTTTGTAAATGTATGAAATACAATTCTATAAATGATAATAAACACTATAGAATCCTGATGTAAAATGCATTCTGTCCTCGGCTGCCTGTTTTGCCACATTACGAGCTTAGAATTCCCTTTTCATGTTCCCATTCCTCAAAATATCAGAGTTACAATTCACTGGTCCTGTTAGTGAAGAAAGCACGTAGCCACACTATGTTCCACTGTCCCATCAAAGTGAACTGTTGATAGAAAATGATGTTTACATCCAAATTAAGTCAATGAGACACCCTACCTGACATTTTTATCCAATCTCTTACTTCAGCAGAACAAATTGTGATACAAGAAATAAAAATGAATGGAGCTGGAAGAAAAAGACGATAAATACCGGTACTATTGACTCTTTTTCAGTATAGTTGGAAGTTTTCAACCTGGAATCACTACCAAAAGCAGCAAGGTTATTTCCTAGCATGTCGAACACCATGACTAGTTCACCACTGTTGGGCACTCTTCAGATAATGAAACCCTGATTCTTGCAACTACCACAAATGCAATTGTCATGAACTAAAAGAAATACCTGTAGCATCATAACGAAATAAATAAACGGTTTGTCACAACTGATCTTCTGTCACATCTTCCATCCTTGCCTCTTTCGACTTCTTCTTTCATTCTTAGCACAGTACAACAGAAGTTCCAAAGTTGGAGAAATCACAGCTTTACAAGATGTTCACCATTTTCACATTCTCACGCTCTCACACTATCAGCAGCCTTTCGAATCAAATCAGCGGCCCGCTGATGTGGCCTTCTTCCTTTGGACAGTTGGTTGATGGCTTTGGTAATTTTGACATCGTTTTTCCGCAGGTAGAGCTGTGTTTCCTGCATCATCTGGTCGATCTTCTCTGGGCGGATCTCATCCAGCAGGAAGTACTCAGACAGATAAGGGTTGAACCGGTAGTATGTGTTCTGAGGTAGGAGATCGTGGAGGATGGAGTGGACAGCTGTAAGAGGAAGATAATACATTAGTACAGTGCTACATTCATAATTTTTCCGTATCCTGACTCATGCTTATTTGCTTTCTCATTCCTCTCTTCCAAACGGTCAAGTGGAAACTTGAATCACTTCAATTCCCTTGAAGCGAACGTAAAGTCACTCACCCTGAGTTACCTCCCTTGTTCCCGCCAAAACCGACACGTGACCACCTCATGCCTTGGTCCTCACTCTCTCAATTTTATCATAAAAATTACATATCTGGTTGGTATCTTTCTGTGATATTTCCTTTTTGTAAAACACCACAGTCAGCAATATTCCAACATTATCACAGCAATGTATAACGCTAGCTGCAGCCCTGTGTGTCCTTACCTTCTGTGTCTGTGGCACTGTCTACTATTTTCATCACTTTGTCTTTTAGAGCAAGCTTGGAAGAAAGGAGTTCCATGGCAGGCTCGTATCGACCAGTGCCGATTGAAATAACACACTGAATTGACTCGTTAGGCCACAAAAGTCGACCTTCATGAATGGCAATGGCTGTGGGGTTGTTCGTCATGAGACCACCATCCTGGAAAGATAACATCAGAAAATGTAACAAGGTGTTTGATACATATTTTGGCGCAAGTGAGTGAGTGAGTAATACGTATTCTGTTTGAGGCTTGGTGAGTGAGTGAGTGAGTAATTAATTCGGTATTCTGTGAGCGAGCAAGCATCATTAAAAGTGTGCAATTTAATTACCAAAATCTATCACATTTTCAACAACAACTGATCAATTTCACTAACAGTAATCTTCCCCAAAGGGGATTTCTAGACTCCCAGTAGTACAATTCTTCACTGACCTGATGGACATAGTCCCCAAGCTTGAAATCCTCGAAGTAGCCTGGCGCTGCCGACGAGGCTCGGATCACTTCCCAGATGGAGTGCCTGCACCCACCGGGGTATCGCGAGTAGGACTGGGGTGGCAGATTGTAGTTCCGAAATATGAAGTTCTTCAACTTCGGCACATTCATCAGAGTGGACATCCCTGAGTACTGGAGAAAATAAATCAAATGTATTTCAGTCATACATGGGGTAACTCTCATGAGCATGAGATATTGTCATATACTCAAGAGTTAGACACAAGTTAGACACAGAGGCAACTAGGATGATAGTCTGTCATACAGATCCTGAAACAATATATCCAATAAACAGGGATGGCAACAGGAAAATCTATTTTCAGCTGAAAACGTAATATTGAGTCATTGAGTTGAGGGTTTCTCAATGGATTTAGACGATTCTACAATTGAACAATTTGAAATAAAATCCACGGAAATCCGCGGAAAATTGCCATCCCTGAATAAAGCCCATACAAGTCTAAAATATGTGGCAAGTCTAGATTACTTCAGTTTCTGAAAATGAAGAAAGGTTCTGGGCTCCTTTTCATTATAATCTGTTCTGTACCATGGAAAACTAGTCTCACCTTTGGTAGTTGCTTGTCTTTGGCAAATTCAATCATCATTTGTTCTCCCAGTTCCTTCCTGTAAGATTAGGATAAATAATTCATACAAAACACACCCCAACAAGGAATAGCAACATATAAGGAAGATCCCAAACAACTGACATGTCTACGGTGCAAGTTGAGCGACAAAGCTTGAGACTTTGAACCTATGCTGAACAAATACACATTATCAATAATTCAGTTCTCATGCTTACTGATCGATAGATTCTATATAAATCAGTGATGGTTCAATACATAGGAAAGGTTTATTTCACCTAAAGGGAAGGAAGCAGATACCTGATTGTCATAATTGATTATATCAGTGCCTCTACCAACATTAATAGCTGAAGTAGGATATCAGCAGTGATCAGTATTTGTTGCAGTTTTGGGCCCACTCAAACTATGAAATATTGCTGTGAAAACTACCAAACATGTTCAAATTGCTGAAAACTAGCCTTCTTTTCTTTTTAACACCTGAACGTTTGGACCTCTGACATGATCAAGTGCAATACTGAAACACTTTGAAGCACAAACTCCAACAAATCGAAGTCAGAATATAAACATTTATGTGTTCTTGAGCTCAAGTACACAAACAAATCAAATGATATTTGGCCCTATTAAACAATGTTGTGTTTGATTATGTCACACTTAAATACTCAGAACAATCTGATTTGACTTTTGATGCCACTTTACCAACCAGATCTTGATTATTCTATATGATTCTAGACACTAACTTCATGCTAACCAATATCTTACTTGAGTATGTTCTCCCAAGCCTCTGAGTCATAGAAGGCATGATTCCAGACAAGCTTGCTGGTCCCCAGGACCCGGTTCCGCGTGAACATCTGTCGGCTGAAGTCCTTGTACAGGAGTTCACACTCGTCCAGAGGAACACGATACAGGAACACCATGGCAGCGACCAGCCCCCCCGTGCTCACTCCACAGACATAGTCGAACATGTCACGGATGTCGGTCTGGCAAGCTTCTTCTAGCTTCTTCAAGCATTCAATTGCAAGCAGCCCTCTGTAGAAACAATGCGCATTTGAGAGACCGAGTTGGGTTTACTGCAACTTCGGAACAGTATTAGTTACATTTCTGCAGCTCAGGTTGGTGTTTGAGGATAGCCCAAAAGTGAAACATGTCTCGGACGTCTCAACTTTGGTGAAACCTGTCAGCCTGATTTTGCAAAGCCAAACCAGGTGGTGTGAAAAATAATCAGCTGGATAAGACCATGACTACACTTCCCAAATACAGATCAGGGTCAAACTTTGTTGCCCGCAGTTGCTATGTGGTTAACATTTTTCTACCATTTGTGAATCAAGAGTCAATACCAAACATCTTCTGTAAAAATAGAATAACCCGGTCAATCCAAATGGATGTCACAGGGCACACAAACATCATTAAGCATTAGACATTAACATGATTAAGCTCACCAACAACAAATATTTCTGACCAATGACAAAAATACCTTTCCAATCAAATTACCCTGTTGCTTTATTATCAGTACACAAAACTATATTTATTGTGTTTTTATTTACCATTTCAAGAACATTTTATTGAAAGGGAAGTCCTTATGAAATCTGAAAACTGTTACGAGCTAAAAGCAATAAGGTTGATTGAATGTATTGGGCCTTACTCATGGAGTAGATGATATTGAGTATAACTATTTCATGAAAGCTAAGAGCAGTACTATGTTACATGAATATAGAACATTTGATTTCCTTTCTGTTCTAAGCATGACACCACAGCAGTGCCTCTTCGTATTTGAGTGTTAAGGGCTAAGTTAGAATTGAAATTGGCAAGGCTAAACATCACCTATTTTTAGTGTACTGTCATTTACACCAGACTATAATCAAAATAGAACAGAGTTACAATATACTTGATAATTGGGAATGAGCAGATTAAAGTCTTCACCCACCTGGTTCCGCCTCCATCTATGGTCAGCATCCGGATCCCCTGTCCCTTCACCGGGTCTACGTAGCCAATCTGAACCAGCGCCTGGTTTGCCTGGCTTGACAATGCTTCGTCCTGGCTACCTCGAAACTTCAACAGGTAGGGCACGACTTTGTCCTGAAACCATGACACAAGAGCGAGGAAGTTAATTCGGGCTCCAAACGCTTTGGAACATATCTCCAGATGTATCAGTGCATCTGCATATCATCATATCTGCTCATCCTTGATTCAGTGTGTTCTCACTCCGACATGGGCCTATATATATGGACATATCCATCACCATGTCAGCTTAAGAAGTGACAACAACTCTCCAACTTATGTACTGTATGTACAAGTACTGATTCTCTTGGAAAGGTCAACCAATCGAATGGCCTCTTCTATAATTAAATGACACTCTTAACCTCTTAACTAGAAAACATACCGAGTCCTAGCAAGACAAGTTTAGTAATGGTGACATTGCTGCTTCTTTCAATGACAAAAAACAGTTTGTCTGGACTTGTGATTTAGCACAGTGTCATTTGAAGCTAACGTAACAAATAGGTACAGCGTATTTATCATAATAAATTAGGAGATAAACATCATGTGTTGGCTAAGGCAGTCGGTTCCAAATGAATTCCTGTGCTTCAAATACTCAAAACCACCCGGAAATTGGCCAACGCATGATGAATATAGACATTGTAAACACAAGAGTAAACCAATAGGTCCACGAAGGCTTTTCTGTCTGCACTTACTGAAAAACGTTCCAGTTATTTGTATGTATTAATACGCAGTGAAAAGTCTTGCAATTTCAGGGAATCAAATACAATTCGATGTTTTTCAACCAATCAGATTAAACACCACAACGACTTTAGGTTTACAATTATGCATAAAACACTGAGTAATGGACCATCATGGATCCAGGACTAGATATTTACAATGCATAACACAAACCACTTAACATAGAAACAGTAGCACCAGCTGTAGCTGAATATCCAAAGTATCAACAGTATTTGATTCCTTCCTGTTACCATGGTGAAGCAAGTACAGTATCTAGCAGGTGAATTCATTAGTGTCCTGAGTGTAAATATGCAATAAACTGGTCACAATAAGACACTTATATTGAGGTTACGTATGAATACAAAACAATAGAAGTATATATATTACAGATGCAAAGTATTTCAAAGTGTTTTGCTCATAGACGGCCTAGTATCTAGTAAGGAAGAAATGTATCATGGTATGAACGCAACCTGTGAAATACTATAACTGATGTTACTACAACTACATATTCTTACTCATATTCTTAATTTTCAGGGGTCCTGGACTACAAAATGGGGGTCCCAGGCACTTAAATATTATTCTTAATACTGTTATTGTATTGTGTATAATGATCATCACATTGTTACAGTAATTAAATTACAAATAATACATAACCCAGCTAGTTGCAAACTCAGTGATAACTTAATGTTACTTGATTGGAATTTTTACAAAAAGTATTTGGACTTTTTCTGCGTCCCAGTGGACGCGCTAATAAATTTTGTTGCGTCCATTGTCAATTTTTATGTGTATAGGACGCAGGAATTCGCATCCTGTAAATCCCTGCCATACATTCTCACTGATGGCATACACTTCTTTCAAACGATCAGTCAGTGCAAAAACGATTTTGACTTAAGTCTACTCTCTAAAACCATTAAGCTCTTACAGCCATTAGCTTATTTTACTACACTAGAAAACACATTACAGGCTTGGGCTTCGGACTAGCAGCTAAGGTCACAGACAGCATGATCATCAGAGCACTGAATCTTCCTGCATCCTACTGTGAACTTACATGGTCAGGATATGGTAAATTTTACATTTCAAAGCCCTGTCCATTGTAGTTTACAACGCAAGTAAACATTGAGAATAGCATTCATACCTACAATTTCTACACTGCCACTGGCTTGCAACAGTAATACATTTAGTGAGTGAGTTTTAGATTTTAGCAATATTCCAGCAATGTCACGTTGAGTTACACCAGAAATGGGCTTCACACATTATACCCATGTGGGTAATCGAACCCCAGGTATTTGGCAGGACGATTGAATGCTAGGCTACCTTAATACATTTAGAACACAGCTAACGTCCTCCAAAGTTTATCCAAAGAATACGAGGAGTCTTTAGACCTTGTAGTTGTTTAGACCAAGGTAAAGAATGTAAACTGTCAGTACCTTGGTAGCTGTAAATCTTGAGTTAGGGTACTGAAGAATGTGTTTGCAGAAGTCCTCCGTCCTGCGTAACTTTGACTGTAATGTAGATGCAGTTTTGATTCCTTCTACCAGTGCTTTTGTTCGACTGTCTATAGCAGTTTTTGACACAAAATCTCTCTGAACCAATGGTTTCTTCTTAACCACAGTCGATGCGTCATCTGGATCTTTGTCAGCTTTAATAGGCCATACACTTTTGAAAATACTTGTCATGAGATCATCTTCATTGATTGTCTTTGCTTTCACACCGGGTTTGTTTAGTGAGCGAGAGTCAGTCGTATCAATAGTGTCATAAAATTTCACTATACTTTCATTTGTATCTTGCATTGCTCTTGCAAATGATTGCTGCTCCTTTGAAACCGGATCCTTAATTTCATGTGCCATCATCTTGTCTTTTACCCGTTTCTCCAAGTTTTTTAACTGAGCTTTCTGTTCCTCTATACTTTCTTGTAAATCTTTCTCAACATTTTCTCTCAACTTGGTAGAAAATGGAACATACTTCTGAAATTCATCTGCAAATCTGGTCGGAACAACTGCATTAATCACTCCTACATTTGGCAAATTGTTGGCTATACTGTCTTTAACCTTTTCCAAGTACTTGATTTGTTCTTTTAGTGAATCCATATATGACTTGGATTTGGACTCTTTTTTGTGACTTTCATCTTTCTGATCAGCATTCTTGCTATCTGTGTGGTTGTGGTACATCTGTTGCATTGTGCTCATTTCCTGACATCTACAGACTGCATCAGTCCCTCGAAGCCACCGATCAGGCGATGCTGTTCTCCAATGTCCACCAGCACTGACCTGGCCAGGAGGTGGAGTTAGCAGACGGGCACAGGCAGATGCTGAGTTCCTCAAACTTGCCATGGCGTATCAACAATTCTGAACACCTGTAAAGCATAAAATAAAATAGCGTGATGTTACAAGGTACATTTGCCAATAACTCTAAATAGCATCTAAAAAATCCTCAGTAAGTGAACCCTCAGTAGATATTGTCCACCGAACCTAAATGAAGGACACAGGATTCCTGAGCCACTCATGTGTCAGCTTCCAAAATCAGTTCTCTTTCTTAGTTTCATTTCTTTTATCACCTCAATTCACAATTTTTTAGAATTTTAACCACCAAGAGCGCAGATAACTGGGATTAGCTAATTGGTTCAAACTGCTAGCTCTGGCTCCCACCGTAGTTCTTGCTTGCCACTTCAATCCTTAGCATTATTAACATGATTAAGGTGAGGTAGTCCTTTCCAATCAAATATATTTTCATGATCTTTTGGGGCGGACACCATTTGCCAATCAAACACCCTTTCAGTTTCATGATAATAAGGGTTTGGCACCCCTTTACAATCCTTTAGGCTAGTTATGAAGTAGGGTATACGTCAGCTACCTCTATTAATGAATTAATCAAAAGCAATGTATAGAAACTATTTTTGTCAAGTTTCCAGTTTTGCAAAGAGAATATGCATGCACACAAAGGCAAAAAATCAGGTGATAAAGACTTGGTAAAACAAGCACTGATTATTCATGATCATGATCGTCACATGGTAGAGTGGTGACTAATTACATTTTAACTTGTTGCCAAGCTTAAACTGAAGTTGGCATGGGGAGTTTGGTCCTCCTTGCAGCGTTTTTTTGAAATCTTAAAAACTAAAAAGAGCATCCGACAATAAAGTGCACTACTCTTTCTTCACTAGTTTTAACAAAACCTCTGTTCATGTTTACACAAAAATATTCTTTTTCCATCTTTACATCTCGCAGCAGATCAAAGCAAAAGCGAAACACTTACAGCATCTCATCTGGATGGAAGGATGTAATGAATATGGGTGAAAGATTGGCGTCGCTGTTCAGAAATTCAAGATTGTATCAATAATATTGATATTGATGATGTTCAGTATGGACACATGTATTGCATAAGCCATGTCAAAAATATGGCCTGATACGTCACATGAGTCAGTGATAAAACTAATGAATACTGATTCAATCACTAAATCTGAAAACATCTGCTGGCAACACTCTATATGCTCTCGTCGTGTCTAACATGTGGAACCTAACAGTTCTATCAACCATGCTGATATATTCAGTCTGTTATCTTGTCTTAATGTAGTCATCTGACAGTATGAATGTTATAGCATATGTGTTTCTGAGATCATCTAGATCTATTTATACGAAACAAGAATTACTGAAATATGAAACAAGAATCATTGAAATATGACAGTCTTATGTCTGATTATGAACTGATGACAGAGGATATGATGAAAGTACAACTGAATTGACATCACATCACGTCTTATGCGATATAAGAATCAAGAATTCAGTCTTGTAAATTAATAAAGTAAACATTCTTACCTTGATTGCTTAAGATTACACGTAGTTCAGTACCGTCACCTGTGAAGTTGAACTACACTATGTTGATATTTTGAGTCGGAAAATCATGCCATGGCTAAAACGACACTACTTCCCCGAAACTACCTCCAAATCAACAAAATATTTGTCGTTTATATGTTATCTAAATTATAAATTACAGAGTTCATATATAATATAAACGTAATCTTTTAATCTGTATTCATACACATTTGAACAAAATACACCAAAATACAAAACACTATATTTGTATGGTATTAATCTAAAAGACATAAGCAGTGGTTCAGATAATAGTATACTATTTACAAACCGCAAAATGACAACATTCTGGCGTGATAAACAGTGATCACAAGGCAGTCGCTGATTGGTCGAAATCAGGTCAGCCGCAAAATGGGTTGAAATAATGACTACTGCTTCTAAACTTCACTTCAGAGAACTAAGACAGAACTAGTTGTAGTGGGCGGTTATTTTGATACGAAAGTATAGTTTGATCAAGTTGAATATGACATTACCGTAAAACATTGTTGGGGAATCGTGAAAAAAAATACAGATTCAGTCTAATGAATATGCATAAGAGACGACGCCTTCTTTATAGACCAATGGGACTACGCCTTGCTTCTGTTTATATACACACCAGACACGTGTGGCACTTGTTACGAGCTAAACATAGTTGTTACCAATGGGATTGGCCTTGACGAAACGTGTTATCATGCGAAGAACGCGAACGAATAATGCTGATAACCTCATTCACTCATGGGAGCAGTAACAACAACAGACCGTAAGATAATATGTAGTAGGCATGTACCACGAACGATTATATAAACACATAGCAATTCGTTCTGTATTTGTCGTTAAATTATAACATTTAATGAACACAGCCATGTGTAACTTCGTGTAATTTCAAATATTTTTTTCGGTAGCGAATGATTATCGGTTGAATTGGTTTGGCATCATTACTTGGATCAACATTACCATCAATTATTTTGTTTCAAACATGTCAATTTCTACTGAGTGAGTTCTTTAAGTTTTTTTAATGTCGATTTTAGCAATCTTAGAAAATGTACACCAGAAATGGGCTTCACTCACTGTACCCACATGGGAAATCGAGCCCGGGTCTACGGCGTGACGAGCGTTAACCACTAGGCTACCCCACCACCCAATGTCGATTCCTAAGGGAGATATAAGAACGTATATACGGGACGAACTGGGCAGGGCAGGAATGGGGTTTTCATGACAAAAATAACAGAGAAGGGGTGAATAGGGATGGCAAAATTTATCAAAGCTATTGAGTGCTACAAAGAGAGTTCCATTTACTCGGACTTGTTCAAGTACCCATATACATCTCTCTCTCTCTCTCTCTCTCTCTCTCCTCTCTCTCTCTCTCTCTCTCTCTCTCTCTCTCTCTCTCTCTCTCTCTCTCTCTCTCTCTCTCTCTCTCTCTCTCACTCCCAGGTGCCGACACTAACTATGACATCTTTGATGGGCATTTTAGAAGTTAAGGTGATGAAGAGTGAAGATAATTTTATACATAAACAACCGCTTTATTCGTCGCCTTTCACCGAATAAACACGTTGCATATCCATAAAATTATCATCATTCTTCAACACTAACTATGTAAACAAATGGCAACGCATGATATAAACACTTGATATAAACAAGTTGTACAGGATTTGTCTTACAAACGCAATATTGCAAACTGCATGTTTCGTGCTGCATGTACCTTAGGTACGTGCTTTCGGTCATAAATACTTGTTTGTCAATGATAGGAACATAATGTCGGTGAGGCGATAAGGAAACTGATCAACAACAACTCCCTTTGTTCTCTGTTAGTCACCTGTTAATCCGCTGTGATTAACTGATATAATTACCAATCAACCACTGACGTCATAGCGTTTGAGGCTAGTGTCGGTGACAAATACTCATTCATCCAAGCACCCTGGGTCGTTCGCTGTGAAATATAGCCCGCTGTATATTCATTCAGACAGACTAATCGTAAACCGCCCAGCGATCTGAGTCAGTGGGTCATTCATAGATGGGTCATTCATAGATGAACCACTACCTACACAGCTGTATTGTACACTCATTGTAGTGCGCATGTCGCACTATACCGTACTCGCCGTAATAAGCGCTCCGCACCAGTAAATGCCACGACCTACTTCTACACCAGTCTGAAAGTAATCTTTACAAACGCCATCCAGCAGAGACCATAAAATAAATATATTTTGGTCACTGTCCCTTCTAAGTACCAACAATGCACGTTAGAGTACGTATATGATCTTCTCTACATTACAGGTTTGTCAGAAAACAGGAGCGTAAAAGGGGTGTGTAATTGCGTAATAACTATTCTGAAGAAGTTATAGCTTCACCTTAGAATTGTTTGTTCGATACCACGCGATCTCTGAAGATATGCGTATTTCGTTTATGGTACTAATTATAAGCCCTCAAGGCTTGTGTTGCAGCAAATGCGTCATTCTATAGAACACGTCATGCAAACTGACACAAAAGGAACGCACTGTCATTCAAATTTACGAGAATGTTTAAATTCAAACCATGGACAGAATGATAATTTCCCCCACTGTTCACTAAAACATAATAATTGTACAAATGACGGTGATTTTAAAACAGAAGCATTAAAAAATCTAATAAAGCATTTCAAAATACATGTACGTGCTTTCTTATACAGCACCATGTGTAGCAAGAGTCAGGCATGCAGTGTCTTCATACTGACAGAAAACACGTCGGCTTGACATGCTCGTACTCAAAACTGTTGGAGGAAAATACTTCTGAATTACTGAGATCGTGGACGATGGAAGTGATTGAGTGAGTGAGTTCAGGTTTACGCCGCTTTTAGCAATATTCTAGGGTTGATTACGGGCAGTACTCAAAGCGTTAGAAAGACATATATATAGACCCTACCCTAGTACCTATATGTCTTTCTAACGCTGTTTCTAAGCGTGACACGCCCCTGTGGTTAGAGTTACATGCCCTTGACATTACAGAGTTCTCTACCTTTCCGGTTACTCGATTCCGGACCCAGATTCGAGTACCCGAGTGTCCGTCCCAGCCCTACAATTATCCTCCAGCATTATCACGGCAGGGAACACCAGAGATGGGCCTCACACATTGTACCTATAAGTGGGGAATCGAACCCGGGTCTTTGGTGTGACGAGCGAACGCTTTAACCATTAGGCTAACCCACCACCCCGGACGATGGACAGAGATATAACCCAACTAACTACGTACGCTGAAGAACAATAGAAAAGTTACCAAAATGAAAACTGAACATTAGATCCGAACCCTGAATGGTGTTACAAAATGGCTGATAATCACTCGCCCAAACACAAGCGAAACATGCAGTTGCTGGTTAAATCACGTACTGCAGTATCCTGATCAGTAGAATAGATTGCTATAATCTGTCTCCCAGTCCCTGAACCACACTATTTTCCCTACTGCTTAGCCCTCCATGCAATGCTAAAGCCCTAAATGAACCATGTCTAGATTTCCTCAGGTTCTGAATTTCCCACCTCACTAGGTCTCCTTTTCAATTTAAATGGGTGTATTTGGTACTATCAAAATTATATATATTCAGAGACAAAGTAAAGCGTTAGTCTACGGTTGCTGCTGCTGCTGCACTTGTAGTATACAAACCCAGGGATATCACAGGGTGGAAGCGCAGTCCACCGAAATGTGGAATTGCCCCAAAAGAACCTAATTTCCTCGCTGGACAGTGAAAGAAGAACATGTGGCTCAAGAGTAATTATTATAGGATATCTATATAGCGCACATATCCAGGCAACTAGTGCATGCTCAAGGCGCTGGTACAAACACTTTTGTTCTCACTTATAGGATAACTTTTTATGATGTCCATTTGTCTGTCAATACAAATATCTTCCTTTTCATGGGCCCAGTTCAGTTTTTAGAAACAAACAACGTCAGTAAAGTTTCTCTTGTTATATAGTTCAGATTTTGCAATACTCTTCCTCTTAGGTGGTAGCTATTTTTATTCTTATATATTTGTATTGTATTTATTTTCCAAGAAAGCGTGTAGAAAGGGCATTCCACATCACAGTCAACCACCGTCTTGGTCGTATCACAGCAGGACAAGTAGAGTTAAGAATCGACCTGTGAAGATCCGGGTTAGAATTGATCTTCAGCAACCCATGCTTGTTGTTGAAATGAAGGTCAAGGTCACCAAACCTGACTTGGACCTTTCATATAACGGGATCGGGTGGTCATCGTATCCCAAATGCGTAGATCGATACCAACGAAGATAATGACTTGATTGTCTGGTCCAGACTGAACTATTTACAGACCGTCGCCATGACTTGACTTGACTTAGCCCTCTTTACTCCTTGAGGAACATAGGGCCTCAACAGTCCGTCGCCATATACACTGTTAAAAACAACAACAACAAAAACACCCCAAAATCCCAACGCATAAGCCATTTTTAGAAGAATGTATTTCATATACGTTTAAAAGCAATTATTTCCTGTAATTTAAACGGTAAAAAGGGGGAAATTCAAGTCTTTAGACAAAGAGTTCGCCAACACAACAGGAGCCTTTATTGTGTTTCTGTTTACTTGAGTCCACAAGATGGCGTCAAAGTCAGTACTTTGTATGGCCACCATTGGCAGCAATTACTCGCTGCTCGGCACCGTCTCGGCGCAGACTGGAGAAGTCGACGAAATCGCTCTTGCGGAATTCCTCCCCACTCTTCCTGCAATATACGACGGCCAGTTGTGGAAGTGTTTGAGGCGTGTTTTCACGATGACGTACACGTCGATCGAGTTCATCCCATAGGTGTTCTATCGAGTTTAGATCTGGTGATCAGGAAGGCCATGGCTAGACATTGACGTTAGGAATTGGCAAGGTAACGGACCGAGACGCGCGCTGGATATCACCCAACACCATCCCTTCAAGGTCCGCCTCCGTGGTGTAGTGGTTAGAGCGTCCCCCCGGAGAGCGGAAGGTCGCGGGTTCGATCCCCGACCGCGTCATACCAAAAGACGTTAAAATATGGTACTTGTTGGTCCCTGCCTGGCGCTCGGCATTATTGGGTACAACAAGGACTGGTCGGCTCGGA